CTTAATGGCCCTAAAGCGCATTTCAGGTATTTGGTGAGTGACTAACAACTTCATCAAACCTTTATTTTCATGAGATTCACTTCCTCCTTTTTAGGCAAATTCAGACATCCAAAGTCGACCATTACTTTGTCGTACATCAGCAGAGGGTAACGGCTGCATATATGCTCGTGGATACGGCAGATTTGAAAGGTCGCTTGGCAGGGTGCCATTTACAGGTTATTCTACATACGCCCAACGATTTATACTAAGCTATACCTGATTCAAGCAATAAGATATGTTAAAGATATTAGCCAGATGCTAATGGCCCATCGAGGTGTCGTGTATGGGACGTTCTCATGTGATGCTGAGTAGTTTAACATCAAGTATTATACCTAGACTTCGTTGATTCGAGATTTGGCATGGAACGTGAGAAACTTCTAGGGACAACGAAACTGAGCATGATATCTAAGTTTCATTCTGCCAGTTTCAAGTACAAGAAAAGACTTCAAACTTGCTGCACAAACATGGCTGCAGCTCATATTCTAAGGAGGAAGGCTGGCTCAATACACACTCCATGTTATATCACTAATGGCAGCTGGCATCTTGTTAGCTGTGGAGCTTTAGCACTTCAGTTTGAGCTCGCTTCGTTCGCTGTATGAAGAACAACATGACAACAGAGCTTTGTGTGTTCATGGTTGACACTGCAAATCATTTCACAATGATATATGATAATGGTGCAGTATAAAACGAACAGCAAAGGACATGCAACAACAGCTTTGTATTCCCAAATACGTGGAGACCTCTGGACGTGAAGGCCGCAAATTTAGAACAAAAACACACCCCATACGGCTTCAATTCCAACATGGACTAGTGAGAAAATCATCGCCAACATATATTCTGCAAATCCGCTGCACATACCATTGTTGGTGCATAGAGAGCAGACCCTATCAAATAAAATTCAGTGTTTCTCATGTTTAATAAATAATCATCGAATAGAATATTACCGGAGTCCTCCGTCGCGCCAAGAAAAGCTGGATATCCTGTAAAAGACATTCATCACAACTAATAGTCGATTATTCTTAACTTAGAACTAAGAAACATACATCAATCGCAGTGGACATGATACCTGTATCTGACATCCTAGATCGCTTATCCCATGAAGAGCAAGTGTGATTCTAGTGCAAGCAAGACTCGTCCTTGCTGACATACATGTACGGATTATGGAGGAGTCCATGGAGCTGGTTTCTCTGTGGATAATCATGATGTAGTCAAGTTTGAAGTGGACCTTATCAGAGATTTGAGCTCGGATAATAGATGTGGAAAATATCACTCAAGGAGCATGGTCCTGAAGTGACCAGATATGTCCTTTCTCTGCAAGCTGACATATTTCGCTTCAATACAGAGCTCTTTCATTCTGCTGCTAGAGCTTCAAAATCCGATTCTATTTTTCTCAGCTGATGTAGCCAGATATGCACTATCGGACACAGCTCTGAGCTCTGATGCTTATTTTGCGATCGAACGTTAGGAGCGCATGAGCATAAGTGGAAATTCACTCTTTGTTTCTTCATAGTTTTCTGATACATCAGCTTCTGTCCACTTTCTGGACCATGTGATCGCTCAGCTCTGAATAGTCATGAGCATCTCGCGTAGTTTCAAGGCTGACCCAGAAATTCACATTCTCTGAAATGAATGTTCTCGATTTATTTGAAGTCAGTTTATTGTCAAGTATAGATATCTTTAATAGGTCAAAAGTAAACAACTCTGTAGTCATGCTTTAGGAGAGAACTACTGTACTATATTTTTTGTCTGAACACTTGCTGGTTTCAATAAGACGTTTTTTATCAAGTGAAGGAGGGGGAGGTCCCGGGTACACTGAACTTGTATAACAACATAATTACAATAACCACTTTTTTTGAAGTGGATTTTGCACCCGAATGAGAGTGCTTAAATGATTTTCTTCTGATAGGACAAACTCTGAAAGAAAAATAAAATTCTTCAACCATATGCAATAAAGATATGATCTCGCATTCCAAAATATCAACCATTGTCATAAATCCAATGAATGATGGATGGACTCCGAGATAACAGCGACACCTTCGATCTCATGATCGGAGACTTGGATAAGATATCATATATCTTACTATCTGACCAACAAAAAGCTCTAATAATCTGATTAGAAAGGTGGATTAAAAATTAATTCTTTAATCTGAATTCGGCCACACAAGATCTGGCTGGTACCTGCCGCTGCTTAACTACGATCCATATGAAGCAGGTCCCCGGGTCCTATCTGCATCCACTTATGATCCGCTTAAGACCCACCTCCATCGAGTGTGCACGTTCTGTTTTCCTACTACATAGTGGAGGTTCCCTGCTCAGAATCTGTCGTCTGTAGCTAACATTGGATTGATGAGAATTGGATTAACGCCCTGGCATGGTGATAAGATTTGTTCCACAGTAGTTCCCATAGCATTTGCGCAGAGCTTAGACCTAAGAAAACAATCTTCGATTCCTTTTCTACCGGCTCATCTGTGCACCTGTTCTCGAGAGTTTAACATCCGTTGTCAATGAGGAAGGAGTTCGTGTTCTAGTGAGGCTTTTCGATCCAGATTCTTCGGACGCGTCCAGCCATCTCACTTGTCGGACCGACCGTCCAGCCATCCCAAATCTTTTTGATTGGGATGCCAAAGAATATTCAAACTATTTTAATACGATCTGTGATATTAAATATATGTAAGAAATTTTCAAATTAAGATAAGAGTTATTTTCTCCAAATAAACCTTGACCCATTTTAAGAACATTTAATATTCGAAATTTTAGCAGAAACATTTGTAGATTCCCTATCAAAGTCTTACAAGTATGAAAAAAAAATAGCTTTGATGGGGCTAGGTCCAAGAGCATCATCATAATGATGATATCATAGGGCACCAAGTGAATTATAATTATAGTGATAAAAAATCCTAGAGACTATAAAATATTTCAGATAAGCATAAGCTGATGTAATTGCTCCCATAAAGATTGCATCAACTATTGCTCTTTATAAAAACATGGATAACAAGGACTCAGAGAAATATATTGAATAAATTAGACAAGAATCATCCTTGTTGACTGAGTGATAAATTTAGGATAAACTTTCAGGAAATATTTAGTTTAACATCTTAGCTTCATAAACTTCAAAAGCTAGGTGACGACAGTAAATCAGAAGGACTAGGTCCGGTCAGTCCGGACCGGACCGTGGCCAAGCCTAGCCGTCAAGTGGTCTCAGACTAAATATGTACAGCGTGAGCTTTGCAACTTTCCGAATTAGAGTACGTGTCGAATGGCGAAAGGATGAAGAGATCTACTTCAGTACTTAGTAGACGAGATGCCTTTGTGGTACAGACTAACACAACGTGCTCGGCCAATGATATTGTCCGACGTGAACAACGAAGATTCTCAGACATCAACGTCAGCGAAGAAGGAACTCTTCTTCGAGACTTCGATGGATGGCTCGAAATCCGTACAGAGTACGGTGGGTGTTCGAGTCTGAATGGACTTCTGACCAGCCCAGCCATGTAGAAATCGATTGTGCTACGGCAGAGAGGTCAACATGCAGTCCTATAATAATAGTGAAGCGAAGGAAGACCTGAGGTCTGCAAAAATGGGATGCACGGAAAGGTCAGCAGGAGGTGTTCGTGTCTCAGAGAGCAGCTTTTCTACAATGTGACTGATCAGTCAAGTCATGTACGAACACACTTTCAGTCCCGGTGGAGGCGAAGGAGGAAGTGTGTCTGGATGGGTTGGTGCCATTGAGAAGCCAGTATCTGTACAAAACGAAGGACGTGTTCGTGTCTGATTGAACTGCTTTCATTTGTCGTGTTCGTGTCTGATTGAACTGCTTTCATTTGTCTTCGTCACCATCCCAGCCATGGACATCAATTTCCTGTAACGTAGAGCTTAACTTCCAGCCCTACCGAAGGGGGAGTTTCTGTTTGAATAAATTTGCTTTGATTTGATATTCATAATCTTCCCAGACATGGTTCTTGTCGGACCGTGTTGAGATGGAGTTCACAAATTCAGTCCCTGCGATGGCAAGCGGAGGTAACCATTGCTGTAGTCACTATTATTGGTCTGCCTAATGCCCATTTGTCCCAGTGAGCATAAGGGACTGGTTTGTAATAGACAGGCTATAGTCCATCGTCAGGCCAAACCAAGTTACGGGCGATGAGATTCTGGAAGTGTATGGCAAGAGTCGATATGTAGAACCTTATCGTGTGTAATGTATCAGTACAAAGGTTTCACCGGAGCCTGTTTTACCTCGGAGCTGCAGACATACATGTAAGATCTCAAGGGCAGCTACGCTTTCAAATCAAGATGTCAAAAAAGTGTCCGAAACATCTTTGTCGAATTTCTAAAACTTATCAGAATCGTGTTAACGAAATCCGAGTTCGATCCTCAGTGAATGCCTGAGAGTCCGTAAGTCTAGGATTATACAAAGTCAGAAGAGTCTTGGAAGTTTCTGGAGCCGCACGCAATTGGCAATCACTTCAGCATTGGGATAGATAAGTTCTCTAGCTGCAAGACTTTGGTAGTTAGGCGAAGTTGAACAGAAACGAGACAGACCATCAAAGCAGATCGGCTGTTTATTAGAATGCGCCGGATTCTGGAATCTGTCCTGAAGAAGCCCCACATAGGCTAGAAAGTTTTCGAGATCAAGCCAGAAATTCTACCGAAATTCCAAATTTCACTAAACTCACTTCTGAAGGTATCTTCAATCGTTGAGATTCACTTCTCACTTTGATGTGGAAATTTTGGACAGCACGATCCGACGGGTTCAAGACAGATCGAAACTTGTAACAAGACCTCCTTACAATTAATTTCGTTATTGAAGAATGACGAAAGTTCCTCAGAACTTCTGCCACCTGAGTCATGATGACTCCCATGATTAATGATTGCAAAGGAATTGGTGACGATGATTCCCGTCTGTAATCCATCACGATGTGATTGTGCTTGTGATCCTCGAGCTGTTCCTTCCATGTAGATACAATAATTTCGGTTTGGCTCTTCAGGACTGCTCACACGTTTCTGTTCATTGGTATCCATAAACTGCACTCCCTCCTCGACAGTTCGGTGTCATGGTTCACATCACCCGAACGAAATCTTCATCGTGCTTAGCCTTCCACGATCTCCCCCATGTCAACCTTGCATTTCTCCAATCAGTCAATCTCTCAAAGTCAAAACAGCCCGCAGCTTGAGATGATTGAATTTGATGATTACAAGCCTTATGGCACTTGAGTACACCTGCTCATGCCTCGAGGGTACATGAAACGAACATCACTCGAACTCACGAGTTTGCAATCGAGTTTGTTAGAAATTTCACGATTCAGAAATTTGCAGTCGATGGAAGCAGGCCAAGGTCCAAGCCATCCTGCCGTAGGTCCTGATGGCGAAGTGCCGAAGCTCTCGAACTGGAGATACAACAGTCCTCTGGTGCAAGTGGCGGGGTTGGGCCTCGTGTGCTTCTGCCTGCCGGGCATGTTCAGCGCCCTGAACGGGCTCGGAGCTGCAGGCAAAGCAGACGCCACCATCGCCGACAATGCTCTCACGGCTCTGTCCGTCAGCTTTGCCATATGTTCTCTTCTAGCAGGCGCCATGTTCAACATCGTCGGCCACCGAGTTCTTCTCCTCGTCGGAGGCCTGACTTATGCACTCTATGTCGGTTCCTACTTATCGTACAATCCTGCGTTTGTCATCACAGCAGGAGCTGTGCTCGGAGTCGGGGCAGGATTTCTCTGGGCAGCTCAGGGCGCCATAATGGTTTCCTACCCAGAGGAGGACAACAAGGGAAAGTTCATCAGCATGTTCTGGAGCATATTCAACACGGGCGCTGTTCTGGGCTCGCTCATCCCTCTTATCATCGAGTGGAACAGCGGCAAATCCTCTGTATCGATCCAGACCTACATAGCTTTCATGGTTGTGATGGTGCTCGGTTCGATTCTATCACTGGCGCTGCTGCCGCCAGAGATGGTCATCCGGAGCGATGGAAAGCCAGTGGCCATACACCGATACTCGTCTTGGACGAGCGAAGCTGTGGCAGTGGCCAAACTCTTCCTCGACTGGCGCATGATTGCCCTGTCTCCCATGTTCCTGGCGTCCAACTGGTTCTACACCTACCAGTTCAACGCCGTCAATGGAGGTGGGCTTTTCACCACTCGAACCAGGGCTTTCAATGGCACTCTGTACTGGACAGCGCAGATTCTGGGCTCCATGCTCATGGGCCACTTTCTGGACTCGAGCAGATTTGTGAGCACGAGCAGGAGGGTTCGAGGTCTTCTGGGCCTGACCCTCCTTCTGATCGTTTCCAGTGTCATCTGGGGAGGGGGTCTGGGATTTCAACTCACATTTACTAGATCTTCTGCCAAGGCCGAGACTGACAAGATGGACTTCGAGGATAGCAGTGAATTCGCTGGTCCCGTTACTCTCTTTGCTCTGTATGGCCTTTTCGATGCGTTCTGGCAAACTTACAGTTACTGGATCATGGGAGCTCTCACGAATGACACTCGCGAGGCGGCCAGGTTCGTGGGGTTTTACAAGGCTGTCCAGAATGCTGGAGCTGCATCAGCGTATCAAATTGACGCCAATCGTGTTTCGTTCCTCGTGCAGCTCATTGTCAATTGGGCGCTACTTACTTTGGGGTGCTTCTCAGCCTACCTGGTTGCACTGAGTGTGAAGGACATCGATGTCGAAGCCTTTGTTGCTGACAGTGGAGGTCTGCAGATTATTGTTCCTAACGCCGGAATGGGTGAAACTTCCCTAGTCACAATTGAACATACAGAGGTTTCTATGCCTGTTCAATTCGAACCAGAGAACCCTATTCACAAACAGCGTTGATCTCCAGCACCATGGGTGGAATTCTGCACATGCTTTAGTTCAGGAAAGAGTACACCACGATGAACAATCAAATTTGCTTCCGCTCGATGCATGCATGCTGGCAGATTCCAACTCAGATCATTCGGTTTAGGAGCAGAAAATTTCAGGAGTAGCGAATGAACATAGAAAGTACACAACTTGACTGAGAGTCATTTTCATCAGTTTTGCTGCCACCAACGTGAAGTCTATGAAATCTCTTGTTACGTGCAGGTGTCGCTGACAAGAAAGTGTTCGATTTAAATTAAATTGCATAAACTCCAATGCTTATTGACTAAGTTAAAAGGTTCCAGGACTTTTGCTGAGTGGACGATCAGACTCAGTCGAGGGTATTTTGCCAAATCAGTGTACGGTATGCCCCTGAACTTGTTGCACTCGAGTGGCCAGAGGAGCAACGTGGTGATTTGTTCTTCCTCAGTTTCACCCTGACTTCTAGTCTGAACTCACAACACAGTGTCCCCCATCCAATCGTGATCTCGTACGTGCAGGTGTCCAACGCGAATGACTTCGCTACTGGTAGTTGCGCCAAATCTCAACCATGGATCGTCTTTTGACTCTCAGATGACACTACACTCTGTAGAGGTGGCCTAGCCCCTAAGAGCTCGTTTACTTTCATCGCATTTATCAATACGGTTACCACCTTCTCCTAGCAAGGACTACTAATGTATTAGATCCATAACGATCGGATTTGCAATAATAGCTTCATACGGCTGAACTAGATAAATTCGTTGTGACAAGGTGGACTAGAGATATACACTATCTGCGCAATATATAACATTACTGTCTTGTCAGGTATATGCTTGACTTTGAGAGTAGAGTGAACAACAGTAGCTGTCATTTGAGTGATAAATATGTAAGATTCGTTCATGGTCAACCTCATGTCCAATCTGCTTCACCATATCTCGGGCTGGAGAGAGCATAATGGTTACGTCGAGAGTATCAAGAAGAAATAAACGCCACAGATGACATTGGTGCTAAGGTTTTATGTAACTCACGAGAATCAAGTACTTAACGTTGAGTCTAACCTACTAATCTCCATTTACCATAATAGTAACACATTGGTGTTAGGTTTAGATATCACTGTTGGGTGGTGTCACTTATGAAAATGAAACTTCTTATAGTACATTACATCACCCCAATCACATTTCATAAATGTGTTATTTGGTTTCAAAATAGCTTTCATTTGCACATCTGAATTGTTGGAACGCGTCGGTAGCATTTAGCGGATCATATAGAAACATTTTTATTGTATGTTATTGAATCCGTTACGGATCATTTGGGGTATAGTATCATTCTTCACTACTTATCTTTAAAATTAAATATCTTATTCTCTTTAGTAAGTGTAATCTCAGGTCGCCAAGGTAAAGCAGAGATAAGGTCTCCAAGATAATTCAAAATTATAAATGGTGAAAAGTCAACCAGCAGAGTTGAACAAATTCGTAGAGTGATTTGTGTCGTTTTTTCATTTGGAAAATAATTGAAACAAACAAAGTGAAAATAACATAACACGAATAAGAATATACAGGAATTATATAGACCAATAAATATTAATAAATCGAGGTTACACAACCATCATTTCCGTTATTTTCCTTCAGCAAGGTGCGCGGACATGAAGGACGAGGATCTTCTCCTTATCAACTGAGAAGATTCAGATTGTTTCAAGTTGTAAGACGTCCTCACATCCAGAGTGTCACTTCAATCCCAATAGCAAGCTACTCACTTTTCTTCATGTGAGTTTCATCCAAGAATATGCCTCTTGAGATAATTCCAAATTCGGATTCGGATTCCAAAGCCAATATAGAGAACAACAGGCGCTTCATTATCTTGGTCTGTGTAAGGCTACAAAAATCTTAACAATAGCTACGATAATACCAGCTTCTCTACGACTTGATCGTGCTTTCGTTTGCAGTTTACCAGATAGTGCACCACAGTAAGATACTCTTGTCTTTGTATCACACGAATATAAAATGCAAACTGTGCTTTATCTTTGCCATCAAGAGTAAAGCTCCATTACTTCATCTTGGAAGACACAAAGGTCTGGTATCTCCAGATGAACTTATGTAAGACTCATCTCGAGCTGTCATGTGTCAAGGAGAATATACACTGAAGCAGCGATCTTCTCGTTATGGTGTAAGATGATGAGAGGGTTTGGGAGATTGTGTTAGACATGACAAGCTTCAGATGCTCTCGAGGTGAATTTGAGCAAATGAATGCTAATTTTGGCTACTTTTGGAGGAACGAACACTCTCATCTTGTGATAATGTTCTTAGTCACAAATAAGTTCGTAATTGTTTTACAAAACTTTTCATATTATAAATAATTATTATGACTCGACTCTTACACCAAATCATAATCCAATGAGTCAAATGTAAATACTGGCTAGAAGTTTACAACATCTTAAAATCTCATTTTAAGTATTTCGAATGCAAAGCAATTCACAAAATCTGCTCGCTATCATCGCTACTCGATTTCAAGTACAAGGAGCCGCTCGTCATCCATCCACGGCCATATGACCATATCGTGTTTACGATAGGAGAGAGTTGTTTTATTATCTAGGTCCATGCTAATCCAGCTGAATGGCTCATCATCTGCTCCTGATGCAAGTGTTGGGGAGCCCTTCTCCCCGCACGCTTAAAATTATATGGTGACACTTGATTATTCGTTGAAGAGGTTTCAAGATTGTGTCTGTGAAGAATACAGACAAGATCAACGGCATATGTCAGCAGCATGGCCGTGGCCGTAAATTCATCAAGCAACTGTTAGCGCAAATTACTTCTGGATCACCATCTCGAAGATGTCATATAAACACCGTGACAGATCGGAGCAATTCCGCTGCAGATGAGCTTCAAGAGAACTTATCGATATCGATGGTTGCCCATCATACTCGATCGTGAAAGAAGTTGTCGTCTGTGAATTCACGAAGCGTTACCAATCTCCGAATTGACTCGGTGAAATGCAGAGGGCTCAAGCTGCACACTGCAAACTCGTGCCCAAGCTTCGGGTAATCCATATCTGTGTCGCTGTGCGTACTGAGCTGTAGCCCGAGGAGACATGAAGACCGTCGGCACTGCCGATCGTACTTGCCCGATCCAGTTTACAGATGCGTGAGGGAAATCTTCGGGGAGGAATCAGCGTCTTGGCCCCGACGAAAGCTGCTTTCAACGCACTCGTCGTACCGATCTTTGGACTTCGTGAGCGCCATGGTCGACTTTCTGCTGCAGACTAACCCGTGCACCATCGCCACCGAGGTACTTTCTGGATGCGAGTGCCGTCCACAGAAGGGCTGTGTCGTTGCAGATGGGATTCGTTGATGCCAGCATCGCTGGGAACCTGTACATTGCCCGATCGACTGAGTCTCATTCTCCGTTAGATCTCTGGGAGCATACTTTTCTGAAGCAGCTCCTCCCTCCCACTGGTCGGTCCCCTTGCTGCCTTCTCTTCGCAAGCATCGGCAGGTTCACATCAAGGACTTCGAAACATGCCGCTAACACTGCTCGAATCAATGAAGCATGCCTCTTCTATTGCTCTTCTCGTTCGATGCTGTTGCGTAAGGAATGTAACGAACCGCTCGTAGGAAACTTACTCCCTCAGATTTTCGTTGGGATTCACGTCCGCCCTGAAGATGGCTTACACTGTTGTCTTGGACCACGAACCTTCGAATTCATGCTCGACAAACAACTCGAAATCAATACGTCCTGTCCACGCAGATTTTCAGAATATTTTCTATATTCAGAATCAGACTGCCGAGGTTTCGGTCATTTTGAGCACCGCTGCCACTATATTCTCAACAGCCAGTGCACACGCCTGGAAGTGCTCAAAATTCCATCGTGAGTCGCTCTGGTTCTCGTTCTGGAGATCTTACAGAAGTCTCTTGCATGCACTGTAATCCCGGATTTCAAACCCATCCCCACACCTTCTACTACACCCCGTGACATAGTTATGAATGTGTATCGTCCGTCAGAAATCTACCTGCAATCAACTTAGGACAAGCAATTAGCGATTCGCTTCTATGGTGGTCTAAGGGTAGTCCAAATCTCTGCCATGGAATAGACGTCCGATTCATCCGAACTGAGTCTCGGTGGAGCTCAATTTCACGATGACATGCTTCGTCCTCAATGGTACTTTCAATCTCCACCTGTCCACCGTCATGGTGGCTGAAGCATCTCATTCATCGTGTTTCCGCTTCGCACTTTTGCAGCTCTATCCCGACGTCGTTCGCATGGAAATTATTTTCTGCTGACATTACTCCACTTCCCAAAGGTTTTCTACATTTTGCTCTTTGTATGTCAACCGATACCAGCAGAACTTTTGTAGACAGAAGTCTTCTTATTCTCAAATGATCGTATTGAAGCATTCCGCTTCATCTTCCATCACGCAAATTCACTGCGGCGTGCTATCGTGTTTCCCCTCACATTGAATGTGTGCTACGCTTCAATTTTGGTGATTTCTCCCTGGCGATTAATTTCGTAGACACAGATTCGGGTATTTGGATATTATGATATTCCACACCGCGAGATAGAGGGAGAGGTCCACGTCAGACTGTTGGGATTTTCTTCTGGCATTTGGGTTGCCAGCTGGGTCCACAGGTCATCAGTCGCGGAATAGTATACATTATATTTTGCTGCAGTCTCTGGGTTTATTCAAAGACAAATTCATCAATCATATTTCGAAGAATATATATGAAATATGGACTGTACCGTCCTTCTTGACTTATGGGTTTTTCCAACAGCGATTTCAGGCAACTCAGCAAATACTGGGTAGGGAGACGTTTACCTTCATTGGAACTGTGTATTTCGATTCCTGCAGATTAGATATCACCCTACCATAGTCAACTATGATGAAAGTAGGGAGGGCCAACCTTTATCTCCATCGTGGACAATCGGTGGTGGGTAACTTGAAGGATCAGTGCTCTTCGAATTTGCTGATAGGGTATTATAGGATAGTATTTATTAGCTGAAGAGCTAACCAAATTTTGATTGAGCTCTTCGCGACTCTTAGAAAGTAAAAGTTCCTTGCCTTTGATTTAAGGTATGAAAATATTCTGTCAAGTAAAAAAATTAAATAATCCTATTTCAACAAATTGACATTTTAACACAATCCGTTGTAGTCTAGTTGGTTAGGATACTCGGCTCTCACCCGAGCGACCCGGGTTCACGCCCCGGCAACGGAAATATGTAAAAATCGTCTGAAATGTAACCATTTCAGACGATGTCCACATCTCGAGTCCTTTGGTTTACGGTCTGTGAAGTGGCGGATGCAACCTACCGTGTACTACACTCTTCTTATTTACATGTTCTAGGAACTTTTAGTCAATCTGAACCCACCACCCTGTGATACCATTTGCTTGGTGTTACCAGTTGGTCCGGCCTCGGAGAAGCGCGAGTTGCAATAATTTGGCCTGCCATCGATATCTTTTTCAAAAAAAACTGCTTCAGCAGCACTGATGAAAATCTTCCATCAAGTCTTATGTGGATAGAACCAATAGCATCATAATGATAAATACATGTTACCAGATGTAATATCTAGGTCAAACGGTGTGCTTTGTGGCCGAATTTGTGTCATGATGATTATGTAGGTTATAAAATATAATGTAATGAAATATTTTGTTCTCATTCACTCCAACTATCTACATTTAAAATATCACCGATGAATGCCATGTCTAGATAGTGTGCTACATAATGTACACACCAGAGCTGAACCATGCTCTCAGACCCATCTTACCGCTTGATTGTTTTGATGAAGTGACTTTTGTGACAGTCTTAAAACCAGAAGAGATTGAGCTTATCTCACAAGAACTTCAGGCAAGGTTGTTTCTCTATTGTGGTTAATTAGGTTCCTCCCTAATGTTATGTTCACCGGATACCTAGAGCGATTGATATCTACCGAGAGCTTAGAAGAGTCCATGAACAGGCCGTATGATTATTCACCGGGAGGATACTCAAAGCACATAGCCCTAGTCCGTGAGAAGAAATGAGCTCGAGGTCCCTGATCCTAACGATGAGGATATGGATGTTATACTGAAAAAAGACAACTTCCAGACTCCACAACACATGAACGGTATTCCTCTTCAGAACCTCAGCTGAAGATGAGTGTCATCACCTGTCTTCAATTCAATCCTGGGACCGAAGAGAAACTCGGCTTCAAAACCAGAATATTCTAGTATTAGAGTTTTTATAAACCTTCGCGGTATATATAGTGTACTCTTCTCTTCGAAAAATTATATCCATCGGATGATCATTACTTCGTTATATTCTGTACACAATAGTTTCAAAAACACAGATCTAGGGATTCTCTTTCCGGTCATTTAGAGGATACTGACGGCAATGCGATCTAATGCTAGCTTGGTTGGGATATTTACACTCTTCCGTCGTCGAGAACACCGGTATGGCCTAACTTAACTTCTAGAATGTGCGAATCACTCAGTCGACCGATATATGACCGACACATGCCAATCTGTGTATGAGCGACTAGAGTGAAGTACTTCCCAGTTAACATTCAACTCACGGCATGTGACAGCAAAGACCAAGGATAGTGATGCATAACAACACAATCCAGCCGCATGAATCAAATCAGTTCTCGTTTGCAGTAATCTTCGTGTCGTAGAATCAAATCCATCCAATTCCATAGGCCCGGTGTGAATCATCTCGTTCGTCCTTAGACCTGTCATGTCATGAGACCATCTCACGAAGGATCCAGTAGAGAAGTAACCTGCTTCATCTCACCAACACAGATAACACTACCCGTGCGAGAAGAATTGCCAACAGTTCAGTTTTGATTTCATTGTGAGATCCAGACAAAGTCGGATCTTCCAGAAATTCGCACGCGCCGGTTAGGGCACGGGCGGGGGTTTGGAAATAGTTTTCAACCAGCAATTGACGCGTCTCGGTTTCACCTCACTAACTGCGTCATTGCCCCAAGCGCAAAGATACCCTCCTTCTTCGAAACAAGGTTTATATACGACTTGAGTGAAGTTCAAGAAACTCAAGCCGTATGGGTTTAATGTTTTCCCGCTCAGATTTTTTGGGCTATACTCATGCACAGTACATCGAGCCAGAGAGAGAACCGCACCATTCCTGTATAGTATTCATTCCTAGATCCTAACGAATATAGCCGTCGCGCATAAAAAAGGAGATGACAACGCCCACAGTGAGAAACAATGACGAGCGAAATGCATTTCTTCAGAATACAGAGTCGGGAATTCTTTCATTGCGAGAGCTTAAGAGCACCATAGGAAATTGGGAGAGCTCTTAGGTAGATGGAAGGATGCGGCAAAGAGCGTTTGCCTCAGGTGCGAGATTATTACGTGGAAACAGGAATTGAGTAAATGTGGGTAATGTTCCAGAGCTTGTGTGCAAGTATGTGGCTCCTGATGCAGAAAGCCTACCAAAAAAGTGCTAGGTTTTATCCAAGTTGAGATTTATAGGGCATGGGTTTCAACGAAATATCTGTACAATTCAAATTCAGATGCAAGAGGAAATGGAGTATGGAGTATCCCAAACAACAACTGTAATAATTTAGTACAGAGTAGGCTTTGAAGACTGATTTGACAAGTGATGGCGGACCACACACGGCAATTTTAATCCAGGATCACTAGCTTAGGTTTCAGACATGCAGACATATACGCTAGAGATGTTTGGCTTTGCCACTCCTTGTGTTGAAGTAGAAGCAGCGGATTATGTCCTGGATTACGTCTGGATTCACCACTTCTTGTGAAGAAGAAATAGCTGCTTTTGACTTTTAATGAACACTACAAATTTGTTTGAGAGAAGCATGGACCTTGAGGCAGAATTTCCATCCATTGCGAAACACAAGGCCCTGCAGCATGTTCAATGGAGATCCATTTAAGATTTGTAGAGCTCCCATAATGAAGGCAAGGCTTAGTTGCAAGATCTATCACCCACCGTTTCAAGAAAATTACTTAAGTATGCGGAAATAAATTTCTGAATTGGCAAATCATGATATTGTCTTGTATACTAACAACCAGTGAAATCTCAAGTTTTGATATCATTTGTCAATATTCATCAATATTTAAAGTTAATAATATTCTCAACAAAATACATAGAAGAAATAAATGGTTCATCTTTAGGAGACTAACTTCATGAAACACACAAAGCATTTAAGCACTAACACTCATGTTTATAAAAGAATTTATTTTTCAAACTTTTGAGAGTGTTAGCTCATTATGATGACATACTATATTTTGGAATATTTTTTTTGCTTAAAGAAAAATCAAGTTTTTTTCTCAAATTGTTTCACATGAAACACATGCTATCAAAATAGTTCTAGTCCATGCTAAAAACTCAATTCTTATTATATGAAATTAAATCAGCTTTTTTTTATCTATGTTGTAAATTTGGCATTGATTTCTTTTGATTTCGTTGTAATATTATTTTGTAATTAAGATTACTATTTTTATTTATATGATCCAAGATTTTTAAAAACGAATAAAATCATCCAACACAATTTCCTCATGTAGCCCAATAACTCAATGTTCATTTTATCCTTTTTATCATCCGCTTTGTTCCCAATCCTGAAGTACATTCAACGGAATTGTTCCAATATACTCCTTTATACTATCTGATCTAATAAAGGTGTATTGACCTATGTACAATTCATATTTCTTAAATTTATGAAAACTATGATTTTTATGTCATATTTACATTTCATATCATAAGTTTTAATTATATAATACACTAAGAGTTCATTCCCTCCTTAATACAACTTAGGTTGATTTGAATTCAATTGCGGGTTAGACGTATAAAAAATGTCAATTTCTAATGTCGATTATGAGTATGCGTTTTGTTCTCGGTTGAATGTTGGCTGCGATGGTTTTTTCGTAACAATTGATTTAGAGGAGGCAATCCACTTGGATGAATTTGATGATTCTTAGTTAGATTTCCAGCGGAAAAACGAAGTCACTGCAAAAAATTTGAAATCTTTTGCATTTGTTCAAGCCTTAAGTAACTTTCAACGATGATAAAGTAAATTGTGTAGTGATTATGATGATCGCATGAAGAAACACGTTTGAGCCATGATTTTTGCATCAAGCACTTACGTCATTATATCTCTCAGCGTGAACTTTGTTCAATTCAAGTGTAAGCACAGTACTATGATGCTACTTATGCATGCGTCAGAGGTTTTAAAATTTTGGATATTGCAAACTATGTAAGAAAAATAAATGGTGGTATTGCACTATCTTATATATGTTTAAACAATAATCCTATTTTTCCTGTTTTCTAAATAAATTTCAGGGATCGTTGACTTTTATCAATCTTGTGGCTTAAATTCTAAATCCGGTTAAAGGAGTTTTGGGCTTGAACGGAGAGGCGGAGTACTCTTGCGTTTGCTTCAGCATTTTAAATTATTCAGTTTGTGGTCAATCTCTCGTGGCACTCAACTTTTGGTTGATTGACCTAAATTGTTTTTTTAAGAGTTTAAGGAGATATTGTGATACTTTTGAACTTTTGCATAAAATGCATAAGTCGAAGTTACTCACAGACTTATTGATGCAGATATATTTTTGGCTTGGCTACAATTTAGATTTAGTTTGCTCTAGTATACACTATTTACTTTGAAAAAATTTAAAAAAAGTTCTCGCAAAATAATTATATACTTTGCTGACGTTGCGATATCAAAAACATGAAGTTAGGGAAAAATTATTTGGAGTTAATTTAGCTTTAAATTCAACTTAGATTAGATAAACCTAGTTTGTTTTAAATTGATTAGATTGTCATAATGTAAGAGAACTAACTGAAGCTCTCAACAACACAATTAGGGCTCTTATGAGTTATTTGTTTGACAGCAGACCTCATTGGTAAATTAGGTAATACCACTCTTGGTTGTAAATGTCTGTTTTGTTCTTGTGTGGAATATTGGTTGCTTTTGATTTTTCCTTGATGTAAAACTCATACATGAAAAGTATGATATGTTAATATACAACTCATATGAAAAAGAATCTATAAATTTGATCATAGCAATATGATGAATGTAATCTCTCTCTGATGATATTAAAGGAAGAAGCATGTACAGGTTAATTTTCAAAATAGATGAATGTATAATAATAAACGGTTGATTTATCAATCAACAACAATAATTTGATTGATTTTAGATGATCATGCCAAGAATCTGTTCACACTAGTTTTATCAACATGATATTATTGTTTGCTTACTCATCTTGAATAAGCATTTGATTTACAAAAACATTGATTAGTATGGAAAAGATGTGTTATATTCGTGAAAATACGAGCCAGACTAGATTGTGCGTGAATTTACATGGAAGATATTTTAGTGTACAATGATATAAAATGATTTATAATGAAAATAAATATGCATGATAGGTTTGAACTTTTAATACAAGTTGCTTCCTGGAAAGTGCTAATTTGTTCACAAGAATTGGAATACTCTGTTAATGATCCCATTAACCGAGTATGGCTAAGATATCAGAAAATCAAAGTGGATGCAATCTTGGGAATTCTATTTCTGAGTAGGTGATGAATTCAAATACCATTCAGTTTTTCTCATTGCATCTATAGACAAGTATTTCAAAAATATCAGACATCACTATATTCGAATTCCTTCACTCAAATCAATGGATTGGAAATCTGAAATATTTAAACTGATCTGACATGCAGGGATGAGAAAGAAACGTGGTTTGGACCAAAAGTATGAGGTGGTTTAAATCCGAAAATCCTCACACAGACGTCATGCAAAGAAGATACTGTGCATCGAGCCAAGATATTCATGGCAGAACGAATTGTCGCGAGAATCGTGAAGGGGTGTCGTGTGAACTTAGAACACGACGAGGCTGCCCAATCATGGCTCAGGACATCCACGAAATCAGGGCCAGAAATCGGCACATCTTTAGAAAATACTCCTGCACCAAACTCGCCGCCAAAACGGAGGCAAGAAATAAAAACCTCTCGGAATTCATTCCTTCCGTCCTTCCGAACCTTCACTAAGTCTTTAGATTTTAAGATTTTTATATGAGACTTCAAAATTAAATACATGAATTTCAGTTTCTAAATCAGATTTCAATCCAGAAGTTTTGATTTATGAATATATTTCTCAAAACCTGTGGAGTTAGATCTCAGCACCCTGCATATGAAATGTGAGGCATGACGGCTGACTCATCCATCCATCCATCGACCCTCGACCATCTGACCTAATTCCGAAACTGTATGGGGAACGGTACGAGAAACCCCTCATCCGCGCTTCGGGCCTCTCTCTGGCTCTGGCTTGGACGCACAACGGCGAAACACGTGCCCTCGCCGGATTGATACAAGGCGTCCCGGGACAGAACGGCTTTTGGCAGGTCCAGAGACTCCGGCCACTGCTCGGCTTTCCCGGCGAGAGCAGGTCGTCGTGGGTGGCTGGAGTGCCGGAACATTCCCGAGAATCTGTCACCGAGGTCGTGCGATCGGCCATCGGACGGTGGAGTGTGGGAGACCACCTTCTCTTTTGAATTTGGACTCTCGACGACGCTCCGACGCGAGCCACTTGCTGGAGGGCTGTTGGAGTAGGGACCCCCCGCGCCCGGCGCCCTGTGCCTTGTGTAGACTGTCAGCTCAGCAGATCGATTGTCGAGTTAGTTGTCTCTGTGCGAGCTCCGCAGGCGTTGGGACAGAGCAGACGGCCAGGTGAGTTCTTCCTATGCTGGATTCTTCTTGTAAAATCGAAGCATCGAGGTCCGTGAAGCTTTATTAGTCTTTCGATTTCGATCTCGGAAGGAAGGTCGCGATTGCTGCGTTTAATTTAAGGTTTCGTTCTCCGCGCCGAGAAAAGGTATGATTTGTCGGAGCGGTGTCGGATGAGTATGTTTTTCGTTTCTTCTGATGGGGATCACAGTTCATCCGCTCGAGGAGCGGAGGCTCACGCGAGTTATTGTCGTAGGGCTCTGGTCTTTCGCAAAATTCACGACTCTTGCTTCTTCATCATGCGTTTGTAGGAGTGATGTTGGAAATATTTCAGTATGACTGGTTTTCAATGAGGACGGTTTTCTTGGTGCGTCGGACGTCAAGATCCGAGTCAGTTTTTCCAAGCTCGGTCCTGCGTAGATAGAATGCTCTGATATAAGTGTCTCTGAAGTATTTGCAGTTGTCCTGTGAAGCTCTTATTACAGTACGCTGATCTATTAGTTACTTCCAGCTTGTGAATGCTCGCGGATTTTGACCTCACGCTCTCAGTATTTAGAGTTCCTGGAAAGAACAAGAGCTCAGGAACAATTGCAGATGTAAACTTGTTTCTCTACTGCAAGTTTAGATGTTACGAGTCTGTTACTTTTTTCGCACAGTAAGGTTAAAGAAGTTCTGGAAGGATTTACAATTGGTTCTCAGTAATAACGCAAGCCGATTGATGTGCAGAATCCTTCACTTCCTTGTTTACAGCGAGCGTTCTAAGCACCTTAGTCAGTCAAGATGGTACAGAACAGCATAAAGTTGAGCAGCGGGTATGAAATGCCCGTTGTTGGTATGGGAGTATGGCGCGCCGGGTCGAGCGTCCAAAATTTAGTAGTGGAGGCCGTGAAACTGGGATACCGTCATTTTGACTGTGCCGGTAAGACCAACTTTTTCAAGCTCCGTTCAAGATTGATCTCTCAGGGAAAAGTTTCAGGATTCAGTGCAGGATCGGGGATGCAATAGAAGTTTTGGAAATCACATCGTTGTAATGGAGAGCAATAATCATAGTTCTGACTTAATGTGTATCGTGCTTGAATGGATATGTTAAGAGCTGGAGATGATGGGCATTCTTGAATTTTGCAGCTGATTATAAAAACGAGAAGGAGGTTGGAGCGGGGCTTGCCGAAGCGATCCGCAAGGGTATGGTGAAACGTGAAGACTTATTCATCACCACCAAGGTATGTATGTGAAATCCTTAAGACATATCGAGAGCCAGATTTATCGCAGGCGACATGAAAGCATTAGATGTAGATTTAACCGCCGTGATGGAGGTAAGTGGTGGATATCTTGTCGACCAAATTGTTTCGATGATGTTGGAGACCTAGTAGCACCAATGGGTAATTTATGTCTTGACTTAACTTATCGTTTTTCTTTCTATTGTATAACATGCGGTTGTTTTTGACAGCTCTGGAACTCCGATCACAAGCATGTCCGAGCTGCTTGTGAAGACAGCCTGAAGAATCTGCAGTTAGAGTACCTAGACCTGTACTTGATTCACTTCCCTGTAGCGATCCGTCATACTGGTTTGTGACTCTTACAAGAACTCTGTTGTTGATTATGATCCACTTCAATCTGGTTATTATGTGTCTTATTATTCTACTCCTCGTTGTCATATATTCATTGATTACTATATCTGAATGCGTGGAGCAGGTGTGGGAAAGACCGACAGCCCAACCGGAGAAGATGGTGTGTTAGACATTGATGTCACCGTTTCTCTAGAAACAGTATGGCACCATATGGAGGAACTAGTTGATGCAGGTCTTGTGCGCAGTATTGGTATCAGGTTGTAACTTGCAACCTTTATGATTTGACACACCTAAATTGTGCTTTAGGATGTGGCTTAATCCTTGTTAACCTTTAACACTAATAATTTGATGATTTCTCTGTATCAACTTTACCTAATGTAGAATGGAGGTATTAATGCCTGCTTCGTGTTGTGCAGCAATTACGACATTTTTTTGACAAGAGACTGCTTGGCTTACTCTAAGATCAAGCCTGCAGTTAACCAGATTGAAACTCACCCTTACTTCCAAAGAGGCGACCTCGTGAAGTTTTGCCGGAAGCACGGCATTGCAGTCACTGCTCATACCCCTCTTGGTGGTGGTTCTGCAAACACTGAGTGGTTCAACTCTGTTTCAGCCATCGACGATCCCGTTTTGAAAGTAGGTTTTCTCACTAACGTCTTGAAGTGTTGACTAGGCCTGCATTTTGTTGGGACAATGGATTTGTGAACGTTGTTTGTGAAATTGTTTTGAAGTATGAGAGCAAACTCGAGTTCAACTTGTAGAGAATCTTATTTGTCCTGTTCTATTCTCAGGAAATTGGCGCCAAGTACGGAAAGAGCCCTGCTCAAGTAGCTCTCAGATGGGGACTGCAGCGCAATACAATTGTCATCCCAAAGTCAAGTAAGGTAGAAAGGTTGAAGGAAAACCTTAACATCTTTGACTTTGAACTGGAGGGCGAAGACATGCAAGACATCAGGCAGCTTGAGAAGAAAGCAAGAACCAACAACCCCAAGAATTTCTGGGGAATTGACTTGTACGCTTAAAGTTAGACAACAGGCGATTGTGCGTCTTTTGCTAGGAAGATTTTGTAGAAGCTAAGAGTCTGTTGGTGTTCAATGACCTGAAGAATCGTTAGGTGAATTCGGAAAATATATTTATAAATACGTCACTGGTTGCCAGTTCACGGCCTTTGGCTACCTGTACATGTACATGTCCTCTAATGTACATATTTTTCAGCTCGCTTCCTTCTGTCGCTCTTTCTTTTTGAAAAGTTCCAGGTATTTACTAATCCCTGTGTCTCCAACGCAAGGAGTATGGGTTTTGGTTCCATTCTGCTTGTTTTGATTCTACCTCAAATCTAATCGTCTGAGAATCGTACAGCTATCTGTACGTCCTTAATGCGCCTGCTCTCTGTTTGGCAACCAAATGTCAGGACAACAATGATAATGCCTAATGCAAGACGCTACCTGTCGGTTTCCAGGGCAGTTCAGGGAGAATGGATGCATGCATAATTAATTCATGCTAAATAACTCCGACCTTTGCTCCCCAACCAGAGAATTGAGTGAATTTAGCTGAGTGATTTCTTTGAGGACGCGTTCAGTGTATGTCTTCTTAGTCATTTTTAATATTTAAGTATGAGGTCTGAAATCTTTAGGGAGGGAGATGTCCATGCCACTTGCAAGACACGAAAACACTATGTCAATTGTACCAACAATCCTGCAAAAAGTCTTTTTTGTTGTAAGTAAGAGGTATATTTGGTTTAGGCTTTGGTCAATGATCTCTACCACCTCTCTTTTGGGGAACCAGTTGTCTTCCCTTCAAATGGTCATTGTCCATGTGCACGGCGAATAATGATTGTCTGCACTCTTTCCCGGCCCTTTCCGTTTCCCTTACTAGTCAATCTTGCTATATCTTTGAAAAGATTGTGCTCAATTTAATTCGTCCAGGTATCCCACAGTTTTTTCTGCCAATTGTTTGATACCTACTGTAAGGTGTAGAAAAGTTTCTTTTTCAACGATACTTTCTTTGAATCTCAACCTTGGAATCCACGAGTGCTGATGATTGAATTTTATTATTAGTAGCCTCCAGCAATATTCAGATGTATGGACTTGTGGCCGTAATGCTTTTGTTGATGTGATATCCATATCTTCAGTAGCTGAAACTTGGAACTGTGAGAAATAGAATGGTGCATATTCTCTCACCAACATTCATATACCAAAGAGACTGGCCAGTAACAAATCCTTGTATAATCTGTCCAGTCCCATTGCGAACGTTGGTCATCAGTTTCTTGTTAAAAGCAGAGATCGCCCATTCTTAATATTGATTTCAGCCATCTTGCTTGTGATATTCCATCGATATTGCTCACATGTATTTTGACAGTTCTCCCAAGAGAGACTGAAAGTCTACGATAACATGGCTGGGAAACTGAACGAAATAGGCCATAGATGTAACAATAGTCTGCTACAGAACTAGGGTCAAGGTGCAGCCTATCGATATGCCCGATCGAACAAGGATCATCTCCACTTCTTTCAAGCTTCCTCACAGACCAAGTAAGATGGCCTGGAAGCAGAAGACATAGAGAACGAACTTAGTAACCAAAATCCCAATACATCTCTGTCAGATCCAAAATGAGATTATAATGTAAAACGTAAAGCTCTACAATATACCTACTGATTCTGAATCAGGGCATGATCCAAGTCTTTACGTGCGCCAGTGGGATCCGAGTTAGCGATAATTCGTCAAATTATCTTTTCGAAACATCAGAGAATCCACAACCAAAGGCAACTTCAACCAAATACCCGATTTCATGGGGCGAGCAATCATCACTGCACTGGAATATTGCCGTTTATGGACAAACTGATCGCCACCAAAGTTCATATATACAGGCTTTGGTGACCGGGTCTAAACTACACAATAAACAGTTCCACTCTGAAATCTATGTCAACTGCAACCACTATGTCCGATGCAAAGATAGCAGATCGACTTGTGATATGCAGTATTGTATTATCTTCTGTTAGGAGAATCTACTCTGAGAATATGAATGGAATCTGACAGTTACAAATGCAATATCGTCTACAGACGGGTGAAATCTGAGAAGGGATGAATCCAGCATTACACCACTGCGAAATGATTCAAGAGCAAACCAGCCAATGAGTCCAAATTCAAACCTGGTCAAACACTGTTATAACATGGCTGTAGCTGCAGATGATTCAAGATGTTCACTTGTGTTCTCTACAATTCTTTTGATGGAGGATGAACAGTCTTTGTTCTCACTGTCTTTTTGTCCAAAACTGCAATCGAACTTATTATTTCAGAAGATGCATTACATATCTCTATTAGGAAGAGACTGAAATCGATAATCATCATACCACAAAGCTCATTCTAATGATAGATGCATGTGGAGTTTCAATGAACAGTTTTTTCTAGCATATTCCATAGAGACCTAACGTAGTAAGCTTTTACAACCTCCCCGACTCAGACTCGGAATGATGAATCAATGGCGTACAAACGTGATGATTACAGGAAGAACACGACTTTATCTTCGGCTTCATAAATAAATCTATGAACAAAGCGTGTGTACAATATGGCAGAGCTCAAATGTAGCTTTTATCCACATAGATAGACTATGACTAGTATGCATTATTCGTGTAAATGTTGGAGTGTTTACCGAGCGGGAGTTAAGAGTTTGATTTTGACCAAGCTTCTGAATCGCTACGTTGCAGTATATCGTGGGGGTAACAAATTTTCATCCTAATATACTTGATTCTATCTCTCTGGCGGAGGCCACAAAGTTCTTCATGTGATTCAGTGAATTCTGTACTAGAGACGACAGGAACCAGATTGTCCATCCCACGACCAATATCGTTGCAGTGGAACTCTTTTGTTTTACTCTCGTACTTCTGTTTCACTTCTGTTTCAAAAATCTCATAAAGATGTCAACTCCACAACCAAGGCAAAGAACACATTTCGTTTCGTACATAAATCAATGCCATCTCAAGCGGAGACGAAAACATGGTATCCACAAATAGTTCATACTGATCTAGATTGGGTTCAGGGCTGTCGGACAGTCACAAGTAATTCCTTCATGGCAAACGAGTTGAGCAATCAAGGACTCTAACATTGACAAACATGCTGATTAGTACAGACAGAGTTCGTCAGAGAGAGAGAGAGAGAGAGAGAGAGAGAGAGAGACAAACATGCTGATTAGTACAGACAGAGTTCGTCAGAGAGAGAGAGAGAGAGAGAGAGAGAGAGAGAGCCTACGTCTTGCAGCTGTACCAACGGAGGGTGCAATCGAATAGGTGCACTTGGATCCGTGACGTTGTAGGCATCTGCTGCAGATGCTGAACCTCATTGTCCTGCTAGCTGACCCGTCGAGTTCGCAATGCTTTGCTAGTGCGTGTACATGTCGAAGTCATACATTCCCTTCCGAACACATGTACTCCCAAGAGTCTTTGCTGCCAACGTCCACAACTCAGTTCGAAAGAGAGCTTGTTCCATCACGAAGGATGCCGATTGGCGGACCACAATTGTTATTTGGCATCAGTCTGACCATGGACTGGCAAAGAGTGAGAAAAAATGTCTCGATTAAATGCAATTCTGAGGATAAGAACGATTCGAAATGACTTGTCAGATTGGGAGTGACAGAGAGAAAAGATTCCACACACAAACCCAAAAAGTATGGCGTCCATGTGAAGGCTACAAGAAATCATATTTACCGACACAAAAAGGCGACCTGATGAAAATTTCTACAAAAATAACGCGAAGAGCAGTTCTGTACTGTCGTAACACTGCGCTGTGAAAGCTGTGTCAATTGTAAACATGTCGCAGTCGATGGAGAGATCCTTCAGATTCAGACGTTCATGAACAAACTAACGACGCATAATGTCCTTCCGAGTTTATTCCGATCTGAGATTTATTTGGTCCACGGAAGTCTGAATTCACCTTTCGGGAGTTGGTGTACACAACAAGTTTAAGCTGGTGCTCAAAGCCCCGACTGCAGGCAGCAGAGTAATGTCAACCTCGCACCTCGTGTAGCTGAGACAGAGACATGTGGATCGAGAGATTGAGATGAGTTATTCTCACACATCTATATTCTGCAGTGCATACATTGGATAAGAGTTCAGCCACACCGTCTTCTTCCAATTTCTCTCAATACTCCAATCAAAATACCGCCACCGTCCATGACATGGCTCGGCTAATTGTATAGCTGCATCCTCTCCAGCGAGATGTATTTTGGCCAGAAGAAATCCTTGCCGATATGGAATAATCTTTTTTTATATTTTCCACTAAGAAATTTTGGACTGAACAATAGAAAACGAGTTAATCCTCACCTGAGTGGATATCTTGCAACCGTACTTCCAATGCATTATTCTGATTAAGCCTTAATCATGTCCTTAATCATTAAGGATATGCACATCTCTTATGCATGTACCTGACAAGCATCCTGCCGTCCTTTGCTCTTGTGATGAGTTGAATACAACAGAACCATCATTAGCGTTTCAGTGAACATGTAACACAATCAAAGAAAAGTATTTTTCTGGCAAACTATCTTCGTAAGAGGTGAAACCTGAGGTGACTTTTTCTTCATGCTCTATATTTCATTCGGAAACTTGTAAAAATAACACATTATCTTTCCTTTTTCGCTGTGATGTGGATGGTTGCACGCATCGAACTTTAACTTAGGTTCCTTGTGACAATAATCGAATAGTCATGTTCCTTTGTGCTCCTGATGGATTTGAACAAAGTATTAAGTTAGGCGCAGGCATTGTAACGGGACTGCACCTTGGCAAGAGCATACACCATCGTTTTCATGGTGATCGTATGGGTTCAGTTCTTACTCACCAGTGCTGATTTCCAGCATCATTCGTAATTTGTGCACTCTTTCAATATTGTAATTTTTTTTTCCACGTACACTCTCTTCTCCCTTCTTTGTTAGTATCTCCTCCACCATCGCTGATCACAGAGTCAAACTTATGGATGGATGAATTGATAAACAAATAAACAAATCAATCAATCAAATTAAATAATTTCTACCTACATCTAGTAGAGATTCAGTACCGCAGTCTGATCAGATCCGCGAGATGCATGAAAGGACTGAAGTTGTTCCGAGAGTGGTGAGCTCGACGGTTCTCTTTCGTAGTGCACGTAGATAAGGCATGTCGTTGACTCTTTTGTTGGCCCGTCTGTGCGCGTGATATGATGATGCATCGGGAGGACTCACATTCATCGGAGTCAGAGGTTCGATTCGGTGGATCCACAAAGAGGAGCATAGCAGTTGCTCTCTGCTTCCAAGATCAGATTTCTGAATTCCCCTCCACAAAGTTCAAGGAACCTCGGCCGAAGCCTCGGCCTCGAGCATGGGATTCGAAGCAGACGTCCTGCAAGCATTCGGATTGCAACCCACACTCGATTAATAAGCACAATTCCACAATTACAGCAAGCGAGGAAATCTCCGCTGAACCCCAGATCACAAATGCGGAAAACCAAAACGATGATGGACCGTCTTCACTGTTGAAGCTCAGTACACTGATGAGTTGCCGAAGCCATTCTCAAGGGCATGGTACATCGTGAAGATTTACTCATTACCACTCTGTATTAGAGGTATGTTTGTGAAAGCCATCGTTGCAGACGATATAGTGCAGCAGCTGAAGTAGTGGACAGGTACTCGAACGAGTTTTTCGTTAATGTCGCACATAAACTGGCAGGGCTCCTATGGACGGAGTCATTTGGCACCTCAATCAATGAAGGAATTGGACTCGACCTGGGCCCTTTACTCTTACCATATCTTTGAAGAGACTGTGCTCAAATTGACTCGTTTAAACCGTCCCACAGTCGACACGAGCGTTAGTGCTCATAGAACCTTCAACTGTTGGATTTTGGTCTACAGATTATACGTCTTTAGCGTATGTATAAGCTAATCTTGAGAGCTTGTGATCCATGATGAATGATATTATATTGACGCAGGTGTCCTTGTTACCGAATTGCTTTTGTTGGTGTCTTTGCATGATCTTGAAACTTGAAATAGAACAAAGGAGGAAGTTAGAACTAACTAACGTCTGAGAACAAAGGTTTCTTCTCTTTGTTTCTCGAACTGCGTTGAACCCACAATCCAATTCTTGCACTAAGCACGATCTATGCTTAGCATTTTGTACGTTTCCACGTTGTGTCTATGTGAACATCACTCTGAACTTCTAGCCAACCGTGACCCACAAGTCCTTGGAAGAATCTCGTCGATGACCTTGTGGCCCCCGGAAGAAGGAGCTAGCCTGATGGATGGAGCTGCAGACCAGTTCGGCTAGCACCATGTTCTCAGAGGATTTTGAAGAGTCCATAAGGATGTAGACTGATACAATATAAAACCGATCTAGAAGCTTTATGCTTGAATTTAAATAATATGGCTTGATATCTTCGATTGATAAATTTCTGGCTTTGTAATGCACAGCCACTAGCACAATGTCAATTCTCTAAGATGTCCACTTTACTTAAGAAAACAGAAACAAGAAAAGTATGGCTCATTGTCTGGAGAAATCATGAATAACACTTTATAAGAATATATATAAAAAATTTGAGATAATGGAAAAAAAGGTAAGTGTGATGAAGCCCACTAGGAACGCTACAAGAAGGTCAAGAAGTCCACGCAGGGCTTGTTAAGACATGACCCAAACGCCCTTGATTCACTCAGCCTTGGTCAAATTACCACTACTAACCAAATTTGTTGAGACATACCTGCATGCCTCCTGCCTGGAGAAAACATTGGAGCAATTAATTAACACCACTGACCCAAGTCAAGTCAAGTATCCACTTTATGAATTGAGTCAGTATCCTGGCCTCGGGACTTGCGCAGCTCAAATGATCACTTGAACACGCGTAAACAAAGCCCTGAAACCTTCGTCGCCTGTCGAAAGCTCGTAACTCATTCCATGAAACTTGTCGAGGCTCGCTAGTTCTACAGTGGTCAACTTTCAAGAGGACACAGCGTAACCAAATGCGTAGAAAATAAAATAATAATCGTCAGATTCATTGGCACGAAAGGAGTTCAGCAACAGAAGGAAGAAGCGAGAACAATCATGAAAAAGTTGGCATATTCATCAGAAGGTAGAAGATTGGAGACCGAGACCAGTATTCAATTCAATTGCTCTGCCCGAGTCTTTGGGGTCCCGAAGCAGAAGAATAAAGTAGACCGACAGATGAAAATTTGAGACGAGGAAGATGGATTTTGCATACAGAAGCCCACAAGTGTGAGGCGAACACTGTGGGAGCAACCAGGTCTTCGTGAGGATGTATAAAACGCACTGCAGAGCTGAGATTCGCGGATTCCATCAGCCAGTGGACCTCAGATAGATACCAAGTCAAGCCACAGTCGCCAAGCCACATGGTGCGAGAATTGGAGTGTGCGTAAAGTGCGGACCTGGATTTGTTTCCGATACAGGTGCTTGATCTGTTGGTTGGTCGTCCCAGGCAAGATTATATGCTCCAGATTGGTAGTGGGTCTACTGCGAGTGCAAGGAATGTGTAGACGAAAGCGAAGGATGTGAAGATGCTCAATGCTGGGGCCAACACACGATTCCAGCCATGACGCACGAACAGCCATGAAAGCTCAGCCGAAGTCCAGCCAGCCACGTGGCCTATGGCTGTCTCTGGTCGAGAGAGAGAGAGAGAGAGAGAGAGAGAGAGCAAGGCGAGGCACTGACGGAGTGGAGTGCCTGTCGGTCACTGAACGCATTGGAAGGAATGCAGGATCGGAACCATGAGCCAATTTTTGCGTAATGATTGATCCACATTGACTCGGAGCTGCAGGAAGAGGAGGACGAGGAGTTCATACCGCGAGAGAGCAGCTCTGAAGCAGATGCGCCAATCGAGACGGCTGCAACCGATCGGGTCCGGCCAGCACACATTTATGCATGACTCTGTTTACTTGGCACCGAGCGAGCATCAAGTTTATCGTGGGTTTGGTTCTCGCCACAGCAGCAGCACACACAAAGCTGGGCTTTTAATAACATTGGGTCTGAGACATAAACATCGGAATGAATCAATTGCACTCCCGTAGATATATATGCAGGCACGAAGATGGAGCACCAGGTGGAATGTCATACCATAACGTCGTGGCACAGCTGACGTTGTGTAGTATCTGACGGGAAGGTTTTGGGAGGCACCCAAGTCAAACACAGGCCTATAATTAGGCCTTTCAGATTCATTCCTTGCCTACTTCCTTCCTGCACGAGAGACCCGGCGTGCAGTGCTCGCACACCCTCCGACTGAAGTCGAGTGCTGCAGCACCCACAGGTCAAGCGGAATTCTGTCCTCAAAAGTTTCATGGACACTCAACCTTGAGATCCGAGGGCCAGGTTTCGAAGAGTCCTCTCCAGTGGACTGACTGCCAAAGGGAGGTCAGCCCAGAAGAGGAGGAGGAAATCCTGGACTGACGTCAGACAGACACTGGAAGTGACGACACCTGCTCTCGGAGTTTTGCATTCGTGACTGGAGAATTTAACGGAATGCTAGATTCTTGCGACGCGTCAAATTCTCAACATACTTTCCCGAGAAGAGAATTTCTCATGAACTTAAGTAAGATGTGAAATTTGAAATGCGAACGGAGGGAGGAATCGAAGACTGCCACTGCTGGACGTGTGTAGGACAAAATCAGACGCAATCAGACCGGCCCCGAACAGTAAATCTCCTTCTTCTTACAATATCATTGGCCTGTAAGTTCCCTGGAAGTGTGGTCGTTCACAGAGTGCTCGACTGTTCTCGCGGGTCCAGATGAATCCTATTCATGCAACCGAGTGACGCGTTTGTAGCTTTCAGCGCTCGGAAAGCAGGCTCTTCCCGCCACTCCGGGACCCTGAACCAGAAGAAACGTAGAATCTGGAGGTATGGTGGACATGCATGGAGTGCAGTGCAGTGGTGAGCGCGTATGGACGGAACTTTAAAGGGAATGAATGAATACATGAACCAATCTGATGAAGAAATTGAGAATTACACTTCACTGCCATCATGTCCATCATGCTGGTCTGGTCTGGTCTGGTCTGCTTGCAGTGAGCAATTTCAGAGGCACTGGACTGAAGCTTCATGCACGCAGGCAGGCAGCTTACAGAAAATCCGAGACAGGGACTGTAGTGTCTGTCGAGGTGACCTTTCTTCACGTGAAGTGGTTGCCATGCCTCGGACCATCATTTCCGAGACCTGTATGGAGCTCCTGTAGCCAGCTGCTCAGAAGCCAGCTGGAGTTGTAGGCGAGCTCGACCTCTCCATGCTCCTCGTTTGGTGCAATCAGTCCAGGAGACTGAGAAATGGCTTGCTTGCCTTGCTTCCAGGCAAAGCAGGAGTGACAGTCTCGCCGCTTTTCAGCGCATTTTCTAGTCCGAGTGCGGGTGCGGGTGCATTAAGCCATAACTATTCACCTTGTGCTTGGGGGTGGGTCCGAAGCAGCAGCAGCTGTTGCGTCCGCTGAGAAGGATAATATATTCACGTGTCCTGGATCATCAGCGGGCACGGCAGGATGATGATTGTGGGTCCGAATGCACAGCGTCGAATGGTGAACACAACAACTAACAACAAACCCCAGCCCAACAGCACATGAACCTTCTCGTCGTAGTCAGATGTGGCAGGGCGCACCCGCTGGGAATCCCCTGCAATCATATAGCGTCTGGTGATGCACTCAATCCGAAATGGAATGATAAAGAAAAAACGGTGTTGAATTCTGAAGCTCCTCACCTCAGTTCTGCCGAGGCTTGCCTTCCCAGCGTTGTTGTCTGATTTTTTTCTCACCTGGCTTGGTCGCTTGGTCCGATCCAGCCCCGAGGGCGTGGTTCGAAGAGAAGCAGCAGAATCGCCATTTCGAAATTTGACGAGACCAGATTCTTCGGGGTTCCTTCGATTAGAAAGTTTGGCCTTGTTCCTCGATTGAGTGTTGGTCTGAGAGAGCTGATATTCGTGAGTCGAGAAAGGAAGCGAATCACGCTCGATCAATCGATCGATCGATCGATCGACCAATCTTCGCTCGCATCGAGCAGACGGAGCGCAATTCGCAGCGAATTCGGGCGCAGTGCGCAGGGCAAGAACAGTCAGGCAAGCTGGATCTGGCAATGAAATTTCAGAAAAGCAAGACACTCTCGCTGGGAAGGTTAGCGACGCTGAGTACGATCAAGGAGAACCTGCGAGTCAAGACCTCGTTTCAGAAGAGCGAGTCGCCCTCGGCCCAAGTCTTAGACAACTCCAATGGCCACAGCAATGGAGGCGACAGCGATTCGATTCTGCTGTTCAGTGCCATCTCCGGCTACAAGGAGAAGACGCCGCGGTACGCACCGCCGCCCGAGCATTTCAGCATCAGCGAGACGGACTCGCCGCGCAGGCCGTCGTCGGCCCTGAGCGGCAGCACGGACGCCAGGGCGTCGTCGTTCAATGGCCAGCACATTGCTGCGGACGAGACCTTCAGCAGCAGCGCCGAGTACAGGGACTACGACGGGCCCGTGATGCTGCGCGAGCCGGCGGTCGATGGGCGCGAGGCGGACGAGGACTCCAATGGCGAGGTCGGGCTGCAGCGCGGCGAAATCATCTCGACCTCGCGCGATTTCGAGGAGGAGGAGGAGCTATGGCAATTTCCTCCCAAAGTGAGCGGTTTAGGGCTCGACCGCAGAGATCTGGCGACGGACGACAAATGGGTGCCCCGGCACCCGGACCTAATTCGAATCAAGGGATTTCATCCTTTCAATGGCGAGCCGCCGCTGAGCACGCTGATGCACTTCGGGTTCTTGACGCCCACCTCGCTGCACTTCGTGCGCAACCATGGCGCCGTGCCGCAGGCCGGCTGGGAGAGCTGGACCATCGAGATCACGGGGCTCATGACGAAGCCCAAGAAATTCACCATGCGCGATCTGCTGTGCTTCCCGTCGCGCCGATTGCCCGTCACGCTCATGTGCTCGGGCAATCGCAGCAAGGAGCTCAGCAAGGGCGGCAAGAGCTTGGGGCTCAAGTGGGGGCCCGGCGCCGTCAGCACCTCGGTCTGGGGCGGCGCCCGGCTCTGCGATGTGCTGCAGCACTGCGGCGTGCTCATGCCCAAGAAGCGCGGCGTGCAGTACTTCGTCTGCTGCTCGGGCGCCGACAAGCTCGCGCCTTCGAGCTCGAGCTATGGCACCAGCATTCCGCTCGAGGTGGCCATGGACGAATCGCGCGATGTTTTGCTGGCCTACGAGCAGAACGGCGATTTGTTGACTCCCGATCACGGCTTCCCCGTTCGGCTCATCGTTCCGGGCTTCACCGGCGGCCGCTCGGTCAAGTGGTTGAACAAGATCGAGATCAGCGCCGAGCAGTCCGACAGCTATTACCATCTTCATGACAATCGAATGCTGCCCTCTCAAGTCCAAGATTTAGACACCGCGATTTCTGAAGGTACGCTCTTGATTTCCCTCCATCGATCGATTCTGTCACTCGATCACGGCCCGAGTCGGCCATCAATTCAATTCGCTGTCTGGTTAGTTCACGTTCCAAGCGCGCTCGGAAATGTAATTGATTGATGCTTATGAGGTGCCAATCTGGTGAAATTATGATCTCGCCGCCATAGATCCTCCTCCGACAGGGCTAGTTCATTTTCCTCTAGCGAAACGGAACGGGGGAATTCGAACTCCCCCAGTGCCTGGCATCAGAAGAGGAAATCACTTCCATGATAAAATGGTGGATCTGCTGGAGGCTGGATTCGGGTGCGTTATTAAGAACAATTCGATTTCGGTTGATGAACGCAATGCACGGGATTTTCACGGTGAGCATGCTTGCGCCTGGTGTACAATGGACTGAGGGTGTGCTTTATTTATCTGGCCTGAATCTCACTGCCTAGCCTGGAAATTCAGCGCCTGCGAGAAATTGCCATCGTCTGCAACATTAGAAAGGAGTCGAGGAACGTGCAGCGATGGAATGCTTGGCACTTGTTAGGACCTGGACTGGCCTTGTATGCTGGCCAGTACGTGAGCAATGTCACGAGCCCCATTGTGTTACGGAGTAAACAAGATAGCCACAAGGATGGGAAGACCCAATTAAAACCCAATCAAGACCTCACTCATCCTTGGGGCTTTGGGCTATGGAGTAGGTAAATGACTATCTACTGACATATCTGCTGGGCAGCTGAGATCGACAGACCTACACTGATGCGCAGAGCCATTGCAGATTTGAGCAGGCAAGGCTTTACGCCTCGAGGCTTGCCCTGCTTGAACCTCGGCCACAACCATCGTTTCTCTCTCTAATAATCGATACTATCTGTGTAAGCGTACACGTGATTTGGAGAAGATATTTATATGACTGTAACAGTCCATGCCCTGAAGCCTGCGTGTGCTCGTGGGATGGCCAGAGGGCTCGACACATGAGAAATCTCGCTCATCTACCTTGAGAGAGAGAGAGAGAGAGTATGGCAGGGACTTTCGTTGACAAATCCGTCTGTTGACAGAAACTGTTGACTCAGTGGCCATGCGAGGGCTGGATGCGTCGAATTCGACAAATTCCATACCTCCAAACGTGCCAGAGCCACTCCCAGGGGATGACTCTTGAAATACTTGGATGCTGGTTAAAGATGGTAGAGATCAGGAGAGGAGGTAGTGTACGTGGTCGATGCGACTGCGATGGTGACAGAGTATCTTGTCGGAGTCGACTGTTCGTGACTGACCATTCAGAATGCACCCTTGCCTTGTTCCAGGATGGATGAGCAGGCCGGAGTTCGTCATCAATGAAATGAACGTGAATTCCGTCATCTGTACACCTGCGCATTCTCAAACTTTGACGATTGATCCTTCAAACGAGGATGCCGCTTACTCCATCACCGGCTATGCTTATTCAGGTATCCAATCAGTCTGACCAATCCGCCTGAAACTTCTGAATGTGTCAGTGCTCGGAACCGCCAACTTCAGCATGTTCATTGTTGACTTAGGGGATTTGTGGTCGCCCTGATGACGTCATAGTGACCTCGGACCTGTACTGTCTGCGCTCGTTTGGCAGGAACTGGCAAGAAGATAGGGAGAGTGGAGGTGTCACTAGATGGAGGGAAGACGTGGAAATTTTGCAGTGTCGGCTACCCCGCACAACCCACAAAGCATGGAATGTACTGGAGCTGGTGCTTTTGGGAGACTAGAGTCGATGTGATGGAGTTGGTCGAGAGCTCGGAGATCGTCGTAAGGGCTTGGGATTCGGCCATGAACACTCAGCCCGAAAACTCTTCGTGGAACCTTCTGGTATGACCTTCCATCGCTGTCTTACGTTGGACACTTTTCAGAGAGGGCTTGGGCTTTCGCGTGTGGGAGTGACAGGTATTAGCATTTCGTACTCACACATACCAATTGGCTTTCGTCTTCAGGGGAACATGAACAACTGCTGGTACAGAGTGAAGATTCACCGGGACGACCCTGCTGACGACCCTGACGCAGGTCAAGATGAGCGCACGATTTCCTTCGAACATCCGACACAACCCGGCATGTTAAATGGAGGTTGGCTGCAAACTTCACAAGCTTCGGAGCCTGAGTCGGAAAGGGAGCTGACTCTCAAGCTAATGCACCAGGAGAGCTCATCGAACTTGGACCTCGGCGACCAGCTGCCCAGCACCCCTCGACTTCTCTGAACATCACCTATACAAGAGTATTGATGACATTTGACTCTTCTTCTGGATGGTGATCGCACTGACACCTCGGTGCCATCTGGGACGAACCGCGTGTGAGGGTTGCGCACTCACAAGTCGCTCAATACCCCATGACCCATTCATTCTAGATGGTGAGTCACCACAAGCATCTCTAAGAGGTCAACCTCCCACTTCGGTACTTCGGTCAGATCTATGTATGATAAATCCCTCCCTGAGACTGAAGTAGGCAAGTGAAGGACAATGTTTGATGATGCTATAACATCCATCCTCCTACGCGGAAACACGCATCTGGACAGGAGGTCTTGGATTCAACGAGTCCCTGTTGGAGACTAGTGAATCAACCGAACGACGTGTTCAAACCCGAACGACCGTGAGCTTTTCAGAATTGTTCTCATGGCAATTTCCTCCACTGTGAGCTGCCTTTCGGAAACGCTGAAGACAACACATCAAGCAAGCACCTCTTGAAGTTCATGGTGCAGGTACTACGTATTTCTTTCATCCACAAGTTTTTTGGCTATGAATCCAAGGGTCAGAAGTATAATATTAGGCAAGCGGATTCTTATTTTACAGTTACTTATACTGGCCCTTGTATCGTACACTACTCGCCACACTTCACTTTACATAATGAGGATATAAACATGCTTACGTCCAGATAACATTCGATGACAACCCGACCGACATCCAATCAATTACAAGTTCGGCCATCTTGATTGATCTTTCGTCGCTTGTTACCAACTTTATGATGAGTGTAACTCTCAAAAGATACAATAGAAGTTCAAATAGCCTGCATTTACTGCTGAGGCTATATTTCGTTTACGGATATGGGATGCTAGTTGCAGAAAAAAGTGTACTAGGGGAGGTTACTGAGGTGGCTGACCGGGAGATCCCACCAGACCAGTTGGTGACAAGAATCTTTCAGGTTGAAATGAATGGTAGTTATCCAAATCATAATATATACAATTAGACGTCACCTCTGCCAGGATCTGCCTTGATGGCTTGTCCAATTTTTAAACACGGAGCGGGCGTAGCACTTCCGGCTCCACCGGCGGACTGTAAAGCGTTCATCTCCTCTTGGAAACCATAGTACAAAGTGACCAAAAACTCTTCGTTCTCGAGGCTGTACAAATACATTCCTTGCTCGATCTGCAACAGCACATGCACGAATTTGTACGTCAGAGCCTTCATATGTGTGTCTTGTTAGAGTCTTCTGGACGACCACCCAACCAAAGGAAAGAGATACACGTGAAAGAAGAACTTGTCTTCCAAGGTCCAGAGGCTGACTTTCAACTTTCGCACACAACCTCCCTGCTTTGCATACCTCGGACCAAGAGCAGAAATCGTCAGGTGAAATCTGGAGCACTTCCGCAGCAGCTCGTCCCGAGCACGAAGCATAAGCCTGTGTGTGGTGACCCGGATACACGTCCACCAATAAAGCTGTTGAAAAAAATGTCAACACTGTCTCCTTCGTTTCACACGCTCGCCTGCAATAGTTACAACTCCACCTGCCAGGAACTGGAAGCCCAACTACAGGGTGTCCACACGGTATATGACAGAACTTCACCTGCACCCCATGCTGTGCCAGATTCTTTATTTGCACCCTGCATACCTGGATTCAGACGGAGAAGTTGAACTATGAGCACTGCTGTACCGATCTGAGAACAGTTGGCACGCTTTGGCACTGACGTTAGCCTACAGGAAAAACCTTGGTGACGGTACTAATTAGTGTTGTGATGTGGGCATGTACAGACTTCCAGCTAGAGAACAAATTCGAACACGGACGAATTCTCATTGCTGGTATTGATGGCAATTCCCATTGATATCTGTGTTACACGTTCACTTGGGGCTGTACAATCGGGAACGAGAGCTCTTACTTGCACTGTTAAACTAGAAGAAGATATCTTAGACAGGGGAACGATCCGGTGGAGGCAAGCAGTTGACAACAATGCCGGAAGCTGGGTCATATTAACAACCAGCGCGCCTCCTTGCTTTTCGGTCCACGTGCAGTCCATTCTAAAGTGACCAATCAGACGACAGACAGTGGCACTTCGTCAGTACAATGTTGAGTATCCTGTTTACATGTTCCCTGTCAGGCCGTCAACAGTTGAAGGACAGTGGAAAGCACATTTACTTTGTTCTTAATGAAAGTAATCAACATTCGTTCTCGGGTTCCGAGACTGTTGCAAAGTTTATGTGAAGAGCAATGATTCATACCCTCCCATCATTGCAGCAGAGGTTCGGAAAAGTAAGCGAGTTAGTTATGACTCAATTGAACCCAAAACTGCACAAAAGATTCTCGGTCTCCAGAGTATCAATCACAACAGGTGATACTCACCCGCCATTGGAGTTCACTGTTGTGAAGATGCCACCGACGAAAGCTATTTGACCTACGTGTATTTCTCCCGCTGACCTGCAAACGCAATCATGTTATAGCATTCAGAATCCTGACGTGTATGAGAGAAAGAAAAGAGACGAACAAACGCACCCTGTTGTGTCTCTCACCATTGATCACTGAAATACAGCCTGATATCAAGAGCTCCAGAGCAATCTTGGATTCGTAATAAATAAGCCGATTTGTATGCTGCGAAGTTGCGTTTGACTACTGATTCCAGATCAGGTAATGGGGAGAGAAAAGTGACCATCCCATAGAGAGCCACGTTAGTCATCTTCGGTCGAACATTTTCCACGAGCAACTGCACACCACAGTTCCCATGCCCATGCTTCGAGTGAGTTACAGAACGACACTTTCTTCAGTCACACACTCATCCAACAGAAGTTGACATGCCCGTACCCGCACAGGGAAGAAGTTGAAGTCGAGAGAACCCTGAGGGTCTCGGGGAACAGAGACCTGTGACACGGAGGCACTCTGCCCGGTTTCTGTCCTCGACCAGTCCAAGTCGTGCTCCAAGAGATTCGGGGTCATCGAGCTCATTCTCGGTTGAGTGTCTTCCACCGTCACCTGCAGGTCCACCGTAGCTCCAGATCAGATGTAATCAACAGGACTCGTATGTGGCAATGAAGACCATACTCTCCCACAGTTGACTGTACTGAAGACTATTACGACACATACCTGTTCTGCCACAGGTACATATGGAACAGTGTACAGGCGCGTACGATTCCCATACTCGAACCATACTCCGATCGCTCGATTGTTCTCACCCTCTTGTTCGTAAACGATTAAAGGGCGCTCAATGGCTACCATGCTCCCTTGACTGCTCTTAATCACAACGCCGACAAGCGAAACCGAATATGCTTAGTCTTCAAGAGCAATAGCAGCTGACTGAAGCATTTGAATAGGCAGGAGACGGATCACTATCAGGTTCGTAGAGGTTGAACCACATACATACACTTGAATGTACAATGAATGATGTACAACGTCAAAAGAGAAGTACACACACAAGACTGGATAAAATACTTGTATTCCAAGCACAGCACTAACCTCAGCAAGCTACAGATAGAAACCTGTTCATTCCAGAGAACGAGAGGAAGAGAGACTCCATTATCATCGCACAAAGTGAGTCGTTGTTGTTTCACTTGCTCCTGTAGACCTTGCACTCCGGTCGCTTCGATCTCATCCACTCTGCAGACACGGAAGTTCCAATCAGTACCTTGCACACGACTGCCCGTACTCTACTATGCCATCATGTCTTCTCGCAAACTTCAGGTAAAGGGGGAGCAGTTACTTGAGACTACTTCGCCAGTACCTGTCCCTGGTCCTCAGATCAAATGAAATGTCATGTAAAGCAATCCACGAAATCAATCTCAGGTCTCGAGCTGATCTGATCAACTCATCGACACTTTACCTTGCATAAAAGTAGTATTCCAGTCCAGCGCGGATGGAGCTCGTTTGAATGCTCGAAAAGTTGTCAGAACAGAACTGGGCCCCCAACAGAAAGAGGTCTTCATCTTGTTCCTGTCTTGGGAAAAAGCCGATACTTTCAAAGGGGTTCACACTTACAACGCTGTCATGTGACGTAGCCAAGCTAATGCACAGAACGCACGATCTGGAAATTCTACATCGGAAAAGAAGAGCACTAATTCACGCGCAAATCAGGTGAGACAACAATAACTTTCATACACATGAACAGACTGAAAGTATGAAAACGAAGTCACAAATGCACAAATGAACTTCACTAGACTAGGTTTTCAAGAGGTGTGTTGACAAACCTCATCCAACAGGATAATAACGTACTCTGTTGGTAGTAACCGGGGCGGAACTGACCCCGCACTAAGAGCATTCCTCAAACGACAACCTGTGAGACGTATCTCTCGGCCTTTTCTGAGAATGCCACTGGTCGGATCGACTAGATCATAAAATCTGCGACCCACGAACGGCAATCCATGCTCAAGTGTGAGGATACAGCCAGCCGGATCCACAGAGTTGTGCTGAGCGAACAGCCTTGTGTAGAATAAGCCTTGCTATGAGTGAGGATTTGAAGTTGCAAAAATTTGTTCACTTGACTATCATTCGCACCGTTTACGCAAACCATATGAGGCTAAAGTGATAGATTACTTGCGGTGAAGGTAAAATTCGATGCTGTTGAAGCTCCAAGTGTCCCCGAGGGTCAAGAGGTAGCTGTTGGTACCTACAACACAATTTTGAAACATGATGAAGATGATACCACGTCTCCCAGAACTGTCGAACTTGATAAAGAGCTTTTCTAAAATTTGAAAATTGAGCCAATAGGCATGACTGTCAACTTCACTGTAAGTTCAGTTCTGTTGCCACATTTGAATCGCTTCGAGGAAGAAACGAGAAGATCCCGAAGAAGAATTAGATGTGTACAGGAATGGAACGACACCACACGACGAGTTGGGCAGACAATTACACCAACCAGGGAGGAGCTGAATATCGAGAATGACTGCATCCAACACTGCTTCCAAAGGTACGAATTTCCTTTCCAAGATGGAATCAATCGTGGTGACCTTCGAGCCCAGCATCTGCTTCTGTCTGCGTACGCCGTGGGCAGGCCCAGGTCTGCCCTTTCCTTTCACGCATCTTTCGACCCGTTCTCTGGCTAGCCAGGACTACAGACCCGAACCATAAACCCAAGCTTCGTGAGTTCAGCAAGAAGTCCTAAAATTCAAATTTGGGACAAGCAAGCGCAGATTCTGGCAGGATGGGATGATGCAGTCTATGCGCCATTAAAAATGAGGGAATCAGGGTGCAAACGCCGAAATAAATACCAGAGGTTTGAGGGAGAAATTCTCATGGAGAGTGAACGCAGGGGTGGCCAAAAAATGCATCCCGAAAGAAAAGACTAGATTTTCAGGAGGAAGCGAGCAGGGAGAATCCTCTAGGTATACAGACCACGGCAAGAATTTATTAGGGGGACAGCTATTACCTCGTAAAGCTCCGACAGCAGAATCGCTGCGGTGACACCGCTAGGATACGCCTTGCAACAGGTCAGAATTCGGGTACAGACCCAGCTCCAGCTGGGTCCGTGAGACTGAGATCTGCCTGCCGTGGCATCGCACTCCCTGTGCTGCTCGGTTTCGAAGCTCTCGCAAAGCATACGCCTTGCGGATTCCACAAATGTCACAAAAACATCATCCGCACTCATTTCCCTGCCTTTGATTCCGTATCTCGAGGAACAGGGCGAGGATGAGGTAAATTCCGGTGGCCACAACGCCACTCGAGATTACTCACTCACACACTCTCTCCGTGACCCAGTAGCGCCTGATTCGAGGATCCCGGATGATGCCCGAAAACTAGCTGCATCTCTCGTGTGTGAGTAATGAGTGACTCACTACCCTCTGCTCTGCTGCTGCTGCTGTTGCTGTTCCACTCCCCCCTTGCCTTGCCTTGCTATGCTGTGCTGTGCTATGCCTCTTCTCCCTTGCCTTCCCTTCACTGCGCACGAGTGAGTGGAATCATACAGTAGCTCTCACGCTCGCTCTTTCAAGCTTGCCACAGGGAGTTTGGGATTGCTGCTACAACTGACCTCTCTTTCCCTGTGCTGAGACTCTTTGAACCAGGGCGCCCGGGGCTGCTGTGGGGGTGGGGTGGGGAGGAGGATTTTGAAATCGTGGGGATCGCTACACAGTCTGAGCAAGTGCAAGTGCAAGTGCGAATGCTAATGCTAATGCTGCTGCTTCTACTCTCCCTCCCTGGTCCCTGGACTCTTACTTGCTTCTTCTGGAAACAGGTACTGGAAAAAGAGAAAGAGAAAAGAGCAGCAGCAGCAGCAGCAGTTTCATGGGCCCTCCAACTACGTCATCGACTTTCTCTCTCTATTTCATCTCTCTCTGGAAAATTGGATGGCCAAAATGCCTCGCTGCAAGTGCCAGCCAGTCAAGTCAGTCAGAGTGACAACAGTGGACAAGGCATCATTGCTTTGCTCAGGACGTTATAAAGAAAAAAACTGTTGTCGATGCAAGCTTGGCAATCAGTTCGGTTCAGACACACAACCTCCTCCTCCTCCTCCTCCTCCTCTCTCTCTCTCTCTCTCTCTCTCTTCTTCTCCTCCCTCTCCTCCCTCTCCTCTCTCTGCTTCGCCCCTTCCCCCTTCCCCCCAGCCTTGGCTCACCTCTCTACATCTTCCTCTCTGTCCGGCTCTCTGCTCTGCGAGTGATTGCATGCAACAGCACAGAGCCTCCCTCGGTCTGATGAGTGCGAGACGACGAGTGTCTCTCAGTGGAGCCGACGACGAGAGAGTGTACTTGTTGACCGGAGAAATCTCTCGATATTTGTTTTGTTGAGCGTTTTACACACATTCCCGCCCGAATTTACACCTCGTCCCTTGCTTGGATCATATTTTCATACTTGTGTTGAATTCCAGTCCTCCCTCCCCCTCCCCCTCGCTTGACTTTTTCCCAGTACGATCATCCCCCCCACCCCCCATCCCCCCCCCGGCTAAATCTGGCGGCACACGCCCGCCTCTCTAGTCTTTGCGGCTCTGGTCCGTAGTCCCCCCCCTACCATACGTGGAAAATAGAGTGGGCCCCTGTCCAAGCGAGCGACGCCATGGATTTCGGTTCTCTCGGTCCCTCTCTCTTGTCAAGTGATCAATTGCACAATTGGGAATCACCAGAGTTCGAGCCTTCTCTCGATGGAACTTCTTCCATCACGCTCGATATCTTGGCAACTTTTCACAGAATTGAGTTCTTTCGACCCCCATAGAGAGGAAGGAAGGATGTGGGGCCCGGAGAGCTTGTGGGCCCATTATTAGAGCAAGGGTTGAATGAATGAATGAATGAATGAATGAATGAATGGCCTTTTGAAGTCGAGAACTTCGAGTCTAGCCGCTCTCCTTTAGGAGATGATGGCAGCTCCAAAGTCATGGGGACTGGATATGTCCCAATTTTGGATTTCCAATGTGGGCCCAGGCCCAGCAGCCTTGGCAAGATCAATGGTGGAATGTAGTGCGCTCGTAGAAAATAGTGTATCACACTTCTCAATTCTGCATTCCCTTTCACTTGGTTTCCAATCCCTCCCTCCTTCTCATAGAGCAACAGAGCCACCTTCTGCAAACGGAGACAACAATGAGACGCTCGGAATCAAAACCTGATGTCTTCTGCCTTCTGCCATCATCTGCTTTTGGTTTTTATTTTCATTTTTATTTTTATTTTTATTCATTCATTTATTCATTGAGTAAGTTTTGTTTCGAACGAACATCTTCTCCCCAAGGGGTCAAGACTGAACTTGCCTCACTGGCTTCAGTTAAAGCGAGTCGTCTGTTGGGTCCTCAGAAGTGTTTTCATTGACACCATTAAAATTCGGAAAGTTTTTTTTGTCTTCTCTGGGTCACGAAAGTTTTGTACCACCTCCCTTTCTTGTTTATTATCATTTCTGGAGGTGGTACCGACCAAGCATAGCTCAGAGGCTCTGGAACATGTTAGAAGTTAGCTGACGAAAGGACTCCAAAGTTTCCATAGACTCGCAGCGCCGAGAGAAATATATAAACCTTTCGAAAGCGTCAAAAAAGGTTGTTCTGTTCTTTGCGTTGTCTATTGAGAATGTTTCAAGTGCTCGAGAATTTGCACCATTTTTCAAATAAGGACATTTTTCTAAGGGGTGGAGGCCGGTCTTAATAGGTCCTTCGAAAGGATGAGCCTTCGATGGTCAACGTCTCGTTGTGCAGAAAACAAAGAATCGTCATCATCATCTAGTGACGAGAATTGCATATGCTCGCATTCTTCTCCAAGAGGGTCCTTGTTGTCTATTGACTCATGGAGGCAGTTTATAATTTGCACGGGGTCGATGGCCTTGCTTAGGAGTGGAGCAGGAGGAGGAGGAGGAGGAAGAGGGTGTGGAAATTGAGGAGTTTCTTCCAGTTAGTGAGTCAACGCCAACTGCAAAGGTGCACGAAAATAAATTGGGACGGGGAGCATTGACTACAGCCTCGCCTCGATAGAATGGAACATAAAGCATCTTCCATTGCCGCTTTTGAGAGGAGCCAGGGCACTTGAGAGCTCCTTGAATATCTCGAAGCAACGTGCTTCGCAGGTGGCTGGCCTCGATTCAATCATGTCCAACTCTACTACAGGCTTTGACCGATCGGGTCAAATGCGCGAGGCCTGAGGCTTGCCCTCCCTCCCTCAATCATGTGCAACTCAAATGGCATCTCCGAGGAATTCCCTCCATTTGCGCAGCCCTCCCTCCATGGCAAGAATGTTTGCATCTCCCACAGGCAGGCAGGCAGGCAGGCAGGCAGGCAACAGTGGTGGATCGAGCTGCATCGAACTTTTCGAAAGAAGACGTCCTGGAGGTATGTATGTATAAGCTGGGGGGGAAGGGGGCTACATTGGACTCACTGCATAAAAAGACTCGCAGCCCGGTGCCATGGAATGGAGTGCACGAAAATGATGTAGACCTGGTAGAGAGAATGGGAACGACAACTGTGGCTCAGGCCTGCTGCTGCTGACCACATGGTAGTTGATGGGCTGGGCTGGGCTGGGCAACATTGGAGCTCAGGCCCCTATCTCGTCCCATGCATGCGTCCCATGGCATATGCTTGCGGATTTGTGGCGATTGATTGACTCACTGCGAGCAGGTCAGTGGAGGAAGGTGGTGGTGGTCTTGCCATTGACCACCTGCTCTGAAACTCGATCCAATGAGCACAACAAGCTCGGGCTGGGCTGGGCTGGGCTGGGCTGGTCATGGATCCGCAAGCATGCACTGAGAGAACAAGAGGAATCGCTGACCTCCTCCCAAATGAGCCCGAGGAAGACGACATAGCGCCAAATTGACCCAAATGGCATGTCTCGGACGGGCGACCTGCTTTTCTTATGGTCTGTACTGCGATGGAAGAAAACGCTGAGCCTGGGAAATCGCGATCTCCCCTGATTACGGTGGCCGCAAGGTTGGCCAGACTCGGAGGACGCGTCGTCGTGTGGGGAAGTCGGCGCACAGGAAAGAATTTTCTGCAGCTCTGCAGCTCGCAGGTCATTTCAGAATGCAAAAAATCCTCCCAATCCTCCAAATCCTCCAAAGCTCCGACGAGGCTGCTGCGAGCTGGCGCATCGTCCATTATCCTCGCTGCTGCTGCTCCTGGCTGGCTGGCTGGCTGGCTGGGGGAGGAAGATGGGTTCACCCAACTTAGAGGCAGAGGCAGAGCGAGAGCATGAGCATGAGCATGAGCATGACAGACCCGAGCAGCAGCAGCAGCAGCAGCAGTCGTGTACACGTAGTGAGAAGACGAGGAGATGTAGACCACCTACTCTCGGAGGACATGCAAGTACTGTACGCTCTTAATGGAAGGACGCTCGTGAGGGCCCACCTAAGAGAGAGAGAGAGAGAAATCGCACCTCCCTGCAATTTCATGGCACCGAGAGAGAGTTTTTGCATCTCTCCTCGGCCGCCCGCCCACCCACCCTCCCTCCCTCCCTCCCTCCCACTGTAGACCTTGTAGAGATCCGCCAAAGTAAGAGAGAGATTGAGATTGAGAGAGAGAGAGAGAGGCAGTAGGCCTGCTGCACTCACTTCTTCCTCGCAGCAGCAGCAACAGAAGCAGCAGCAGCAGCAGCAGCCGTCGTCTAAACTTAGAGTCAGCTCAACGAACTCTCCACTGCGACCTGGTGACTATGGCGAGCGATCCTGCCCTCCTCGTCTCGTCTGCCTACTACTCCCCTCGCAGCAAACAGCCGACAAGGCGTAAGTAAGCCTTTGCTGGCTGGCGCTTGAGGGAGCTGCTGCTGCTGCTGCTGCTGAGGTCGCGTTTGTTTGGCGTTCTCCAGCGCTGCTAAGCTCTCGGTGAGCTCCAGGGAGTACGTTGGTCGCAGTGCAACAGATTTAGTGCCACGCGTGGAGGAATTTCGGTGGAATTGGTGGATCTGGTCCCCCCCTGGACTCGACGACATTTGTTGTCGTCGAAGCGAACCATGAGAGCCTGGAGTTACTCTGTGCCAGACAAACAAACTCCTCCTCCATGTCTGCCCCGCCCGCTCGCTTGACTTGGAGAGCTTCGTTCTGTTTCGACCAGCACTCGCTGCGAGCCATGGATTGAATAGCTTTGAGGGCTAGCGAGCTGTCACGGTTGCACCTGCTGCTCGCATTATAATACTATTTCTTTAAACCTGCGACTAATTTAATATTTCTCCCCCTAATCGTACTGTCCCACGACAGTAGACCTACGGCGCTCTCTCTCGTCCGCCTTCCAAATCCGTAAGGTACACGGACGCCACCTAAATGTCGAAATTCCTGCCGCATGTGCCACTAGATTAGATGTAGCAGCAGCAGCAGCAGCAGTAGCTTTCATCTTCTCACTTCTGGCTCGATGATACACGCTCTAGGCCCCTTCCCTTCCCTTCCCTTGGTTCCAGGGAGTTCTCTCACATTATTGCCTCGCATCCCGTAGCTGCTAGAGAGCTCGGAAAGCTGGCCTACAGTGGCACACTCTCGGCAGCACGAATGTAGCTGCTGCTGCACAGAAAGAAGGTCGCTAAACGAAAGCAAGTGCATGAAGAAGGCACGGACTCTCGACCACATTTCATTTCACAGCTTTTCTCTCGACGCAGCGCCAGCAGCGTCCAACGTGAGCTGTAGCTCGTCGTCGAAAAAGCTGCAGACAGACAGACGCCGAGGCCCTCCTCTTCTTCTGGAGCATCTGCGAGTTCCTAGACATGGTTCGCACGGTCCTGGCAGAGTCCGAGGCGTGGGGATATGCCCATCCCCATGGCGCTGAGCTGAACGTGGCTGTAGAGTATGAGAATAGAAGAGGCCATGGGGAAATGATTTGCGACTAATGGGGCGAAATAAATAAGAATTCGAGGGCTCAGGGGCTCGTACCAGCGGATGCGATTAAATTCTCACTCGGCGAGAGGTCATAAATTCACTCGTTATGACATGAGCTTGGGGTTTGTTTTGGCTGCACCAGGATCATAACTTCGAGATATTCATTCATGTTTGTCTTCGGGTGTACGATATGATCTCTCGGCTTCATCTTTGCTTCTTCTTATTCCCCTGTATACAAATATTCCCCTGCGGCCTCGCGCTCTATCATGTCTTGCAATTATGTATTTGCATGACTGCGGGTCTAAACTATTTAAGAAACGTGATTGTTTTATGGGTCTCGGTTCACACATTTGGGCATTCGAGAACGCTGAGCTTGGACCAGATTCCCCCCGACCTTTCCGAGCTTATAAAAATCGGCCCACAATCTCCTAAGTGGCTCAGTTTATCACAACTCAAGAGACGTACCCTTTGCTCTAACAACTACTTCTCATCATGGTCTGCGTATTTAACTAATTTGTGACATGATGATCCTGGTACCCTACAGGCAGCGTTTAATTAAAGGACGCATGTATTACTCCATCGCCTGCCTGCGCTAGCTCGCAACGAAATTCCTCCAAATTTCAAGCCCTTTTTTATGCTCCTCCAATCATGAGCCGCGACAGACTCAGCCTCAGACTCAGACATGGTAGTAGGCCTGTGCTCAATCTCGTAATCTGATGCACTTCCCAGAATCTCCATCCCCACCTTGGCTGGACAGACATCACCACCACGAAGAAGAAGAAGAAGAAGAAGAGACAAATGTCCGCAGCTGCTGCCTGCTGATGTTAGCCCAGTTCTCTGGATAGCTCGATGGCGAGCATGGAGGCAAGGGGAGGGATGCAAGCAGCCGGACTTGTGGCGGAAGTGCATTAATTTAATTGCTCAAGTTTGACGTGAGCTGTCGATGACTGAGGCCCAGGTCTTCGCTGCTCTGTCGCTAGTCCGTATGGCGTCGTCTCGTAGGCAGGCGGTGGTTATTCTGTGCACCAGTGGAACACGCAAGTAGGAAAATGGCCGAAGCAACAACCACCCAACGCAACGCAACGACAACATGATGCCACCACCTTTGAACATGTTCGTCAACGAAATCGGGCTTATTCGCCATGTTGTGAACGATATCGTCATGTCCACTTCGATCCACTGGGCCTGATGATCATTCCCTCCTGCATTGCAACACCACTCCCTTCCATAGCTGATGACCACACCACATCACATCCAGCCAGCCCCTCATTGCAGTGGATGCATCTGCAGCCTCCGAGGTGCACTTCCTTATTCTCGGACCTTGCTGCAGCTGCTGCCTTTGCCTTTGCACTTTACTCTGTCGGCATGGCCGCATGACTCATCCATCCCCGAGGCGAAAGGGTGGCCGGGGTAGGATTTGTATGAGCCTCATGCATCATCCCTGAGATCCATCCCACTGCAATTTGTTTGTGCATCTGCGATCTTGACGGTTCGGTCAAACGAAGAAAGGCTGGCGAAAGGTTGTTGGATTGGATCGGACTCTCTCCCTTTTGGCTTCGGAGCGACGAGATCTTTGTCATGGAATGAAATGGCGGAGTGGTGCACATTTCCCTTTTCCGAATCCTCGTTGCGTCATTCTGCGACTCGCAGAGCGGAGAGGCGAGTGGACCCTCGTCAGCTGCACGAGTGGAGTGGACTCCATAGCTGGAGGCTCGGGTAATTTAGAGGAGGAGGAGGACTAGCAATCTGATCACGGCTAGCTCCCCCATTAGCTGAAACCAGAATCAGCGTCATCTCAATTCTCATGTCCCTTGAATATAAACTCTTCTTCTTCGTCCTCTGCTCTCTGGAAATATTCTTCCTGTCACGGTGCGCCACCTTTTCCCTCTGCCATATTCTCACGCGCTGATGGGGTCGCGATCTACTGCGACTCCATCATCGCATGCTGCGGTGCGAGGGAGGGAGGCCCGGACCCACGACCTGGGTCGATCTGCAGATCGGGATTGGCTGAGAATGTTGCGCCGTGGAGTCTGCGGCTGCCGAAGCAGAAGCAGCTGATTGATTATGGATTGTGTGCAGCTGGCACAGATTGGTCGAAGACTACCGACAGAGATATGGAAAGTCAAAACCTCAAGCTCACCTTCATGACCTACTCGGCAGCACATGAATCCGGGCATAGTATATTATAAAGCGTTAATCTTAAAGCGAGCATCTCTTTGCAGATCCATGCACAATCAGCAATATCTCGAGCTCTAGGCGAAAAACATCTCGATGTGGACCAAAAATCTTATCTTAATAATAATAAATCCGATCTCCAACCATGACCCTGTGCACAAGGCCGAACCCTGTACTTGATCATTACTATCGTTTCATAACTGGACAAAGAACTCACATCACCTCGGTTGTTTTATGACCTCAATGCAAGTACCGCCAAGTACACGACGCAATTATTAATCACCCGACAATAAAGCACAAATAGAAGCCTAAGCACCCCATCTTAAAAAGAAAGTCAAGCAACAGAAGCTCCCACGCCAGAGCCCCAGACAGCCCCTTGTGAAACGAAATGATAAAACAACTCCGGGGCCGAATATAATATTGTTTCCCAAGGGTTCAGATTGTCCGGTTTACTGAACAGATCTCACGCCATTAAACAAGAGAAAGCATGTCCTGCAACCGATTTTGCTGTTAGTCAAGAGTATGAGAGATGAGTAATGTACGTGTATCTGGAATGCCTACGCTGCGCTGCGGCTGGTGGTACAAGAGAGTTTCAGAAGGCTGGTGAAAAGTATTCGCGGCAGCGAGCTACTTCAGAAACGTGTTTGATTAAAGAATATCTCATGTGTGTAAGTGGACCTTATTTGGCTCTCATGTCCTGGACATTCGAAGGACTGCACCCGAGCTCTGTTCTGTTCTGTTCTCCACAGGTTATGGTTCAAAATCAGTCCACTAAATACGTGATTATTTTCATAATGTCGTTACATCAAATGATCATGTAAAGGAGGTTAAGTGACTTCATGATGAATGCTTTTAAGAGTTTAACGAAAACTCTGAGCCCTAACAAACTCATTTCATTAAGACGCCCAAGGCTCCAATGGCACGTCGTCCCGGTCCTGAGTTAGTAATTGGTGTGTAAGTAAGTCGTTATGAACAAACTATCCCTCCCTCTCTCTCTCTCTCTCTCTCACACACACACACACACGAGACATTGTGACTATGAAATCTTCGGAAATCAAGCACCTGAGAGCCTAGTCTAAGAACAACTCAATATCGACGAGCGTCCTTTTGAGTCTCTTCTAGTTTGAAGAGGAGGTCAAATCTCATTTCCCAGGTCGACAGTCAGTCGACAGTAAATAATGCCTGTGCATGGGCACGCCATTAAATGGTTGTGATCTGTAAGGCTGGGAGGAGAGTGTACTCATGTGTATGCTCTTCTTTCTTACAGGGCCATGATGGTCGAATCATGTAAATTCTCGGATGGATTCAACATTGAAGACGTTTTCTGCCGGGGTCAAGACCTGCTCTTGACCGAGCATGACAGTTGAGTTAAAAAGGATCACATATCCGACTTTTCTGATTGTTTAAGCTCGTCCCGATCTCATATCCTTCACAAGAATCCGGTCTCGATCACATTAACTGGATTCTAATGATTGCTCGTTCTTCCAAGAGGCAGGAGAACAAAGGATGGGTGAGGCTACTCTACTTGCATCGCTCTGGATTTTGATCTTACAAGTAAGAGAGAGTTCCAAATCATTTTCGTCATCGAACGTCTGATCACCCGATCGTCCAGTCCAGTGCTCCCTTCATAATCATCCCCAAAAATATTCCCAACCATAATTTACAACATCAGCACCTCAAATTCGGTGCATGCTTGTCCTTACAAGAAGGGAGGGCTTCATGGATGGGCTCAGATACGTTTGCCAGTTGTGCTTCAGCTCATTGCTGTAAGTGGCTTAAACTATACACATTTTATAGTCGGTAATAAGCTTCTCCTCCCTCCCTGTGACGTAAAAGCTGCGGATATGGATGATATAAACAAATCCGATCCCGCCTGTCGAACAACGCTCTTTCTTTTTATGTGTTTTTGTTGTTTCTTCTCGATCTCTGTCTTCAGCACAAGTCATGATCGTCCTCCTGACAGTAGTTACAGCATTGGAGACTCGGTTTATTTATCTCTACTTTATGTGCGCCATCTATTCTTTCGACTTGTTTTCCCCCTCATGGATTTGGCCCCATCCTGACCAGCTTGAAAAGGCGTGAAAATATCCCACTGCCAGAACCTTCCTGTTCTTCTTTCCACTCGATTTGTCTCAATTTCCTTTCAGCACTCTTCCGACAAGGGGTTTGGACATCGTACCACCAAATTGCAAGGAGTGAGTGAGGGATTTACTCATATCCGTGATCTTCATGATGTTACTGAAGCCGAGACGAAGGTCATTAATTCCTCATTTCTTTTAAAACAAATCAGATGTTGAAGAATCGTCCACCAACTTGAACGGTATCAAATCTTTTGATTTCGAGTGCTTGCATGCGTTATTAAGAGGTAGAATAAATTATTTATTATCTAGTTCTTCCGACTTGAGGTAGTTTACATTTTTTTCCCTCGAAGAAAATGGATGTGAATTCAACTCTCAAACCAAGGAATCTTTCGTCACGCTCCTCTGCCCTCTTAAAATGGAATGAAGCGATTCGTTATAGAGAATCGCTTGAGAATGTTCTTACGCTTTCTTTTGGGCTTTGTTCCATTCGTCTTTGGCACCTACGGTTGAGATCAGAGCTATTTGGCCCCCTGAGAGTCTTTTTGTGTCAGATCCTTGGAAAATTACTATTTTATGTAGATTCGAACGATTCGTTTCTGAGCATAGTCTTAGAGACGAAATACGCACAACAGAATACACATGCAGCTTCTCGAAAGCATCATGATTAGAAGTTTACGCTTGCAAGTGGGATTCGTAGTTTACAAAATCTTTGGATGGGTTGACAACTCTTGGAAATGCCTGCAGGTGTCCTCAAAGCCTTCTCACAAATGAAATGCGAGAATCCCTGGATAAATGTTCGTTCCAAACTACATGTGCAGCTATGGATGCAATGTGCAAGTTCAGTCTCTTGAATCATGACTTTTGACAGTATAAGATGTATATGTGAATAATTGCAGCCGTATAGGGACATAAAAAAACAACAAAACAAAATAGAAAACAATTCGAAGGCAATGTCGGAAGCCACAATGGCAATAATGGATTCGCAACATCGACGATTAGGGAGTCTAGAAACAAACAGAAAATTGTGCGGGCTGGAGAAGCAATCATAGCAGATCCGTCCATCCAAGCAAACCTTTAATTGTCAGGAGTACTACGGGCTATTTTCACGTGTGCAACCATCGGATCTAAAACTGTCCTTTGACTTCAGTTACTCAAATATTCACACGCGATATCGTATCTTGTTTGAGTCTTGACTCCGAACGCAGTAACCTTTCCAGATTTCAAGGCTCCACAGTCCGAGCACTACGTCCATGGCAAAGCAGAGGAGAGAAGGGGAATCAATGTTAGTGGCAAGATTCGCCATCCAGCTCTCACAAAAACGTCTATTTTCCTGGGGGGGTGTTAAAAGCATGCAACTCGGAATCCAACGTGCACGGAAGTGGAGATTTCGGTCAAGACCCGAGAGTCCAAGGATGGGAGGGATTGATTGACTGAGAGTATATATGTCGAGGTTTGGGCATGTGCTGTTCAGATCATAATCAAGACAGGTGTCAGCCTTAACCATGAGCAATAATCACAGGCCTGAGATTGAATGTCGTCGTCGAGTCCTGCTGTCACTCCAACACCTCTGAAGATGCTCCGCATGAATGAATGCATCAACCATGCTCCATTTGCAAAGGGTTTGATTGACCTGAAACAAGTGTTCTAAATGAGGTGTGTGTGCAGAGCATAGAACTACAAACCGCTGAGCTCCACCGTCTTGGACACAGTAATTTTTAATATAGTTTTGTATTAGTTTATCCCGAAAGTAAGCAAGGCGCTGTTAGCATCTAGCCAAAGCGCCAGGCTCTGCTAATTTGGCGAACCAACCAAACGCACTTGTGGGGGTTCCCAAATATGCCCAGTTTCTCTTTCTTCGGGTGTTAGCAACCCGCCTGCCCCTCTCTCTCCCTCCCTCTCTCTCTCTCTCTCTCTCTCTCTGCAGTACCGTCCTTCGACAGGCCAGAAGCGCAAATATCATGGGCTATGTTCCTCACTCTCGAGAAAAACGATTGCAGGCCATGTTTGCAATGGGGCCTAAGAGAACAAATTCAAGGCATGCAAAAAATGGTCAGGTACGCTCCGCTTGAAATCTATGACGGCCTGACTCGACCCACAATCATTGTTCGTAGTAAGTGACGTATGGGTCTCAACTCCTAGATGAATATCTACTTCTGGATTCCAATGAGTGACTCAACCTGAGCTACTTTCTTCTCTCTCTCTCTCTCTCTCCTCTCTCTCTCTCTCTCTTTCTCACGGCCTCTCACCATGAAAGAGAGATGTTATCTGATAGGCAGCTTTCCATTTCATGGTCCACTTATGTAAGAAATGACGATTGGAATGCACTTAGTCTCTCTGCATTCATGATTATCAGCACGCTTACTGGCTCTGGTAAGTTCAGGTGCTACCTCTCAATCGTAAAATCTACTGCCTACTTCTAAACCCCTGGCGGTTTGAGACGATCGGCTGATCTGAGCAAGGCATTACAACATCCAGGGTGCTTAAAAAAGCCCACCTGCCAGGAGGTTGGTCAGGGAGGGGGCTGGAGGAAAGGGGGCAATGGGGGCGGCTTGCTTAAACCAGGTCCTATGTTGACAGATTTTCTGTTGTTAGTTCTTTGTCATTTTTTGTGCAGCAGCAATCACCCTATACACGTATCTATCCCGTAGCATCAGCTTCAGTCTCTTCACCTTCCAGTCTTGCACTTTATTTTGTTTTTATATACTACACGATCACCAACGAACATCATGTGTTATCCACTCTCGAACTCGTTTTCAAACAGATCAAAATCTCCACGACAAGACCGACCCTCGTAAGACAGATCTCTTTCTACTCTGAGATTCTCGTACTTGCTCACGTTAGTGACCTGACAAGTCACATGAAACGACTAGTACTACAATCTCTCATCTCAATGCCCTAAGTTGTAACAGTGGTTCAGCGATGTTTTTTTACTTACTCATAGCACGTGCACTGATCCCAGTCTTTACAAAAGCTACCTGAGAGCTATGCAAGGCACATTTTGCATGGTATATGTTGTGTCCTCTTTACGCTGAATATCTTCAGCCTCTTCTGAGTCCAGTGCAGAAGAGACAATTGTTACCACATATGCTGAAACCCTTTTAGTATACTTACAATGCACTGTCATTTCGATGAGACTCCTTTTGGCAGGAAAGGTCCTTGAACCAGAGTAACTGCATGAACCAGCTGGTGCTTGCTCGTTTGGTGTCCGGAAGCACCTGCAATGTGTGCAAGCTTAAATTAAGATATAGTCAGCGGTAACCGGGTAGTTTAGAAGATTGTTCTGATTCGGATTCTTCTATATTGTACGTTGTTGGAGAGAAGTCCAGAAAAGATCCGAACAATGCAATGTACAAGTCTTTTAGGTCCACAGGTAAGGATGAGGCAGTAGGCAACATCTACTGAATCAACTGATGGAACCACGTGCTTCTGATAGGTGAACGTCTGGCAATTCTTACGTTGACAGTGACTTTCCCTTTCTTTGTCATTGTCGATCTTGGCAAGAATTTTTTCCAGATCAATTTGTACCTGCATATCACATTTTTGAAGTGCCAAAACCCAAGTGCTTGATTTTTCAAGTCAAAGAGTTATAGATACTTCATATGTATTCATAGCAGAAAACGCTCATGACACTGTAGGATTTGGAGAGGGCATGTGCTGTGTGACGCAGAGCACATGAGCAAGCAGCATTCTTGCAGACCTACATGATTCGTTATCCTGGTGCTGCAGTCACATGCAGGTTCGATACTTCCAAGAACTTCTCCAAACAATAACTAATTTAGGATAAGACTTGACAAAGCCGGTGATAAAGGATTTAAAGCCCAAGAGAATCAAAGTGGATCATGGGTAAAGAATTAAAACCCAAGGAAATCAAAATGGATCATGGGAACGGATGCGATTATTCTTTTTGAACAAAACAAGTTTTCAATTCAATGACAAGGGAATCAAAATGGATCATGGGAACGGATGCGATTATTCTTTTTGAACAAATCAAGTTTTCAATTCAATGGCAGGCAAAAGCTGCGCTACACTTGTGAATCCAACCTGCTGGTTTAATTGCCGAAACTGTTGCTTGGTTTCCTCCACATGCGTTCTCTTTAAATATTGTTGACGAATCCACAAAACTGTATCCAAGTGTTGCTTGTGAAGCAATGCTAGCTCTAGCGCCCTGGAAAAGAAATCAATCTCAGTAGCACGTGGAGTATTTCTTTGCAGGTGAACAGATAATAAGTGACCTGGATATTATTAAAAAATTGATCACCTGGTCAAGTACGCGTAATTTATGATTCATCTGAAACTTGGCATATTTGGATTGATCTTAACCTGTCCCAGTTGAAAAGCCTGGTGTGCATCTTGATTGCTCTGTAAATGAGACCTGCTTGCAGCAATATTGATTCAGCTTCTTCTGGTCTCCTCTTAAAGAGAGCTAGTTCTGCTTGGCGAGCGTCTTCAGAAGGCAGGTCCTTCACATGTAACATGTAGTGCACTTTATCCACCTATATATTCCATCAAGAGAACAGTTAGTTACTCTTCCATTCTGAAGGTACTTGACTTGCTATAGACGTCGCTTCCGAGATAGATGAATACACACGCAAACCAGAGCAGCCAGTTCTAATCGAAGCATGAATTTTTCGTCCAGGGAGCGTCAATTACATTGGGAAGGAGGAAAGGGAGAGCGCTTGTAGAAAGACACCGCAACTTTCGACCAATTTGATGAAGAAACATACACCGACCGTCTTAATGTAAAAAGTTCTATTGCAATGTCACATGACTACAACCTTCAGTTTACGAGGATATTTCAAAGACCAAGACACAAAGTGTTGAGTAGATATGATTCAATCGGTTTACTTACTTCAAAAGGTGATAGTAAACATCAACGGATGGCAAGAAGCAGATAGCAGCTTACTACAGAGTGAAAAATCCAAACTGAATTATCATGGAGAACGCAAGCTTTTATGGACCATACGGACAAATTGAAACGACATGTAACCACAAAGCCAATGTACACACGTTCAGATGAGTTAATTCCGCCACCTCGCTGTCTGGTGTGGAGAGATGACGCACCTCGTTTAGTGCAGCGTATGCCATCTCAGCTGTATTTAATTCCTTTGAATCGACAGCCATCGCTGCCAAACAGGCCCATAAAATGTTGTCCTGCATTATAGATCACACGCACATGACTTCTGAGAGTTAAGACACACTGACTGGTGCAACTTCCACAATACCCAAACTCTCGGCAGATATCAAAAAAGTCTTGTAGTTGTTTCTCGCAGGTAAAAGCAAGTTCTAGAAGTCTACCTTCGCATATCTACACAGCCTGATGGCTTGATCCCACTGTTTGAGCACAACATGCTCAAATAGCAGAAACGCATATGGTGAGATATCCGTGAAATAAGTTGCTCCATCCTTCCGGCGAATAGTGCATCTTGAGCCATGGAAACTTTGGAACTTGGCATTTTCTCCCACAAGACTGCATATTCCATGTGAAAGATAGTAAGATAGACAACGCAAATGTTTGTCAGTAGGCCACCAATAGGACATAGCCATCTGCACCGGTACCACTTTCAAGAATATCTCTTATAGGAACGTACTGGCATATCGATGCCAAAACGGTGTTTCAAGTGAATATTTGCCATCCTCCAAGGTATGTCTTACCACTCCTTCGTGAGCTTGACATACTTCAAAAGGTCTTTGTCCACATACGCAGCATGTGGATAGTACAACACAATCATTTTCTGATTTGAAACGGCTGCTAGGATATCGATGCTATCATTCCATATTGCATCGTCAATCATGGTTGCCAGCTTAAACAATGCTACACTCTGCAGCCATGACCAATATTCAAATGCGTGATTGTTCTCTTCTCCTGTTTAAGAAGGATGGCTATTGCAAAGGGTATCTGCAAAGTATAGAACAGGTTTAAAGTACTTCACTGTGTGCACTTGTAGAATGCAAAAAGACGAGTTGGCCTCACGAACCGTGTAAATCCAAGTCACGAAAAACATATGCGCAAGGAAAGAGATGCGACCAGAAGTAGTGCCTACAGCCTCACGTGCTAGAAAATTCAAGATGCATTTGGCAGAAGTGTTGATCATCGAAGAATGTATCGAGGGCTAGGGAAAGAAGGTCCAATTGAATCGTTGTTTCAATCCCAGAAAGTTACATGATGAGCCTTACAAAAATGGGGGTGATGTACAGGTCTTGATTCCGATCGATAAATATGAGTTTCTGATCGGTTGATGATCGCATCTGACTCAAAGAGATGACCACAATTTCTAAAGTATGCCGGACCAATTCACCCACTTGTTTTCCTTTACTAGCATCAAGGAATATAACAGCTGCAAAACATGAATCCACTGATTTCAGAAAAGGAAATGCTAATCCAAAAATGAGATATTTTCGTATGTCTAGTCAATAGCCTTTAATCCGAGATAACTAAGGCAGGTGAATCCTAGCAGGTGCATATACGATACATCCAATACGAGCAACTACGGAAACCAAAAGATAATGGGGAACAAACTTAGAAACATATCAACAGTTGGTGAGTCAAGTAGCTGGAAGCATGAATTTACCCCATGTAGACGCAATGTTAGAGAATGCAGCAAGAGGAAACACTATAATTGATAGCAGCGTTTCTTCCTATACGACTGTATTCATTTGTATTTCCCTGTCATGACGTGAAGACTTTACACCAGCGCCCTGGCTAGGCGTTGCTAGTAACAGTGTTCACTGGTAGAAAAATATACAGCAAAAGTTGAGCTTTAAACTCAAAAATTAAACTCTGCCAATAATGTAAACAAGGTGTTTCATGATCAGAGGTACTCGATGTGAAGGGACCATATCCTGTCATTATCGAGTAGGAAAAACATTTTTAGAGATTCTAGAGACTCAATACTCAGAAATATTTATCAGCGTTTCGTGTTCGAATGAAATGAAGACTGCGGACTTCAAATGCAGACTTAAAACGAGTTTTGAAGAGCCTACTTTTGTTATCGGAATGGTCAGTGATAGCCAAAATGTCGTCCGATAAGCTGACAATCTGGTCGTTCAACGACTCGGCACGTAAGCCTGCAATGTGCATCCTAGTTCTGGTCACTTTTTCTTCCCTGCACTTCTGCATCTTCTAGTCTCTCATTCTTACTTTTTCATTATGTAACGAAGACAAAGTTCATTCGACAAGGAGGCTCTTGGTGGAAAAGAAAACTTGGAAGTGACGAAGGTGGAGAACATCAAATCGAGTACCCTGATATTTGGGGTTAGACAGGTGACGGCCTTCATAAGTGAACAGCTGCAACCCGCAGAAAGCATCCACCATTAAAAAGTAGCGTCGACAAAGCTTCAGCAGAATTATGGTGTCCTTGATTTCAAATATATGTGGGGTGTTCCAGTTGGAGGTCGAGTATATGCAGCACTGTTCAACATCCCATATTCAGTTGTAAGTAAAACATGCTGAGGTCCCCAGAAATGAAGGGTCGAATTCAAGTGAATTCTATATGCAATTTTTGCTTCAAATCAAATTCTAGAAACACGAGGAGCTTATTCTATTACCTGTGTTGCAGTCGCAACAACTAGATGGTTAGCATTCAGACTCATTTTGATTATTCTGTCCCGGAAATCCAGCTCCTCTACTGTCTCGTTGAGCACATCCTGTATGTTCAAGTTAAACTTCTATAAAAAGGTTTGGAATTGGTCATCTTGTTCCACTCTGCAGTTAGAGAGTGCTGTATCCACTAACATACGAGGCAATTTTCTTAATCATAAACACAACTCATTCAGCATAAGATGGGCTCACTTCTTCACCTGAATTCGTATTCGATTGGATTCTTCTAGAGTAGCAATAATCCGTTTCCACTCTACTTGTCTGCGACATGCTCAATATCATTAGTGCCATCAGGTGTTTTGCTTTTCTTACTTCCACTGATATGTATGCAATCAGTCACTTGGATTGCAGAGAAGATATATGTGAAATTGCTGTCAGCAGAGTAAACTGATTTCGATTCTAGGTGCTAGAATCTCACTCGACCGAACCTGAGACACACCTGGCTACAAGCTGTCCAAAAACGACGCATCCATTTCCCGCAGCCCCTGCGATCTGTGTCCCATCTTTGCTCCATGCAAGACGTTGCATCAACCCCGTATCCAATCTTTCTTTTGAAAAAACCCACTGGTTCCAACAAAATCGGTACAATCCACATGAACCATCAGCAGGACAGGATAAATAGAGCAGAAAGAACTTTCAGCAGCCAACATCGTAAACACAGCTAAAGTTCAGACCTTGAATATGCACAGTGAATATCGCTAGTCCAGTCAGGAACTGAATGAGATTCTGCAAATACTACATTACTCTGCCTTAGCTCATCTGACATGGTAGCTTTTCAACTGTCAACTCAGCCGAAAAAAGTCAGAGCTAGTTGTCACGAGTAACATCGACTGATATGAATGACATTTCTATTTCAGCCCAGATCTTCCAGTTGCTTACCCCCGACTTATCGCATAGAAGTACGATGCCGAAGGAGGCCACAGAAAACAATTCACCAGATGGACACCACGCGACGGACGTGATACTGTAATCAAACTTCGAGCTTCTGTACAACAACCTGCCATAGCAGTCCCAAACCTGACATTCTCCTGCTCAGCTTTGTGAGTTGCATAACTAAATCAAGGCAGTCTTAAGGCGGGCTTATGTGGAGATTCACATTTTCACGTTTGCAGTTACGCATGGAGACTTGAGATCGTTGTACAGTGAAACTCTCGTAAACTACAATGTTGCACCTTAAAGAACCTTACCTTGTAACGACAGTCCTCTCCAGCTGATAAAATACAGTTGTTGACAGGATTCCAGTCCAGTGTCAGCACCAGAGACTCATGGCCTTCCCACTCCACTTGCTTGGATGTGGACTGAACATCACGATTGAGGTCATTCAAAATGTCCTATTCAGAACACAGAGGATGCTAGCTAACCCTGTGTGGTAGACACTTATGCCTGACATCACTTATCCCTCTTCGAAGTTCTGAGACACTTTCTGAAGGTAACTGTGGAATACATCATACGACTGATTCTCAATTCAAAACTACGCACGACCTGCAAAAGTCAAGGTCGTAGTACCTGAATGGGCCTAATGACGAGGACAGTACCATGGGTAAATAGAAGCTGATCGGAGTCTGGACCCCATGCAATGGCATAGATTGAGTACCCTACAGAACGGATCACACACACATCCCCGTAAAGCTATGTCGCATTGCAGTGCGCGGAATTATCAACGAACACAACAAGATCGAATCCCAGTGTATTTGCGAAAACATGTTACTTCCAGACAAGGCAAACTTCTCAAGAGTTCGATGTATACAGACTTCAAACAAATCGTTCTACCGTCCTATGAGGGTTATATCAACCTGCCGTCTGTGTCTAGACACTCCATTCGGGTTCGGAGACAGACCAGAGATTTCTAAAACCCTCAGTGTGGTCTGTCTCCCAAGCAGAATGGGGTGTTAGAGTCAGAGCTTTGTTTGTTGACAGTGTCTTTGCTTCTATCCTACCGTAGACGCGAGAAAGGCCTGCCGTGCACTGGCTAACCTGTTGTTGCCAGAGTAGATCTATGTATTCCACTTTGAGACCAGATTTTTACAATGCCGTCCTCTCCACCTGTTGCCAAAGCGGTTCCTGTAGATCAAACTGCCAGCTTTAAGTCTGCAAGAGGTTAAGGTGGCGCTGAGCTGCGAGTCCACGAGCTGGATAATGTGTGCTGACACACACATCAGGGAAGTAATTCGATAAACTGCAATAAGGTTGAAACACTACCTTCGAAATTCCATCGGAGGCAGATGACAGCCCCTTCATGTGCCTCGACTCGCTTCTCCCTGCTACCGCCTTTGCTGATAATGAGAAACGAACCTGCCATCTCTCACGTGTCATCTTGGCCTCAATGTAAGCTCAGATGAAGATTACCATTGTTAGTGTAAACTGAGCCTCATTCATAACATGACTTGAATTGCCCCTACATTAGTCATGAGATCAGGCTCTCAAGAAACCCTTTTCTACATTCAGTGCATAATTTCTTTGTGTATAGTTTCTTTCACCTTCCTAATCCCATCTTCGCTGTCATATTTCGAGAAATCATGATCGGTGCAAGTGTCTGTCCTTTACCAATTCAGACCTGGGCGAACGTCCACTGTACAGTCCCAAAAGCTCTAGCATTCAGACACGATGACCTCAAGGCAAGCAGTTCTTGCTTGTGAATCTAGATCCAATTCAGTCCATTCAAGACGATTTTCATGGACTCAGCAAAACTGCACTGACCCTTCGAGGTGTGGATATAAATCATCGAAAAATCGAACATTGCACGGGACGTACTTAATTCTCCGATCCCTCCTTTTTCACTAAATTGCGCATGGCGAACGGAAGATGCAGCTCATTATGTCACCAGGACGGTTTTAAAATATCCATTTCGTGCTCAATATCCGCCGCAGATCCAAGAAAAAGTAAGAGACTGCCTACAAATCACAACAGAGAATTTTCTCGTTGACGACTTCCCTAGTGACTGATGTTTCGTTTGGTGGCAAAGGACGATACGACGAAGAAATTACCGTCAGTGCAACCGACGACAAACATCTCGCTTTTGGAACCAGTTTGATGTCGCTGGGAGATCGATGGATACCATTGCAGGTCTGTAAAACTTGTCTCGGTGACGGTACAAACCTGCCCAACCGAGAGCAACACATTATTGTTCTTGGCTGGCTGTGCTTCATTTCTGAGCTACAACTACCACGGCAGTCGATCCTTGATCGACTGTACTCTCATTCTAGCTCTTGGGTTGTTTCAATTTCTTGAAACAAATTGGTCATAGGGACTCACTCGGCAAAGAGCCTCGCCATTCCTGCTCCATTTCCAAATAGTGTGGTCATCACTACAGCTGTACACTTCGCCAGCGAGGTTCCATCCGACTGCTGAAACGAGGTCAGTGTCTGAGAAGATGGTGTTGTTAAAGAAACCGATTTTCATGTATGGGTTCCATCTCGGACGAAATCATGTCCTGCCGTAACTTTCTGGTTGTGGACAGCTATTAAAGACGTGACTTAAAGCTTCACACGGATGAAATAACGAGGTCATGGATACGCGGAGAAGCAAATTTGGAAGGAAATGCGAGCTTCATTTAAGTGCAGAGTTGCAAGTCTGCGTTCCCACTTCATCAAAGAGGTGCGCTGGTATCTGCCTCTGCAAATAACTCCGTCGATTCTGCTCAGAACAGACCAGATAGAGAAAATACTTCGAACGAAATCCAAGATTCTAGTCAAGGCATGTCCTTCGACGTGCTTCAATGTATGAAGACTGAGATACCACACGAGAGAAATCTCATGACTTCAAATGCTCGATACGCCACCGTTCCAGCGCATAGCCTCAGTATTCGAAGGTATACGAGATGGTCAATCAAGTTGACAGTTGCAACGGATAATTGAAATATCCACTCGGCAGAATGTGAGAAAGAATCTGGCCCTCGACGACGGTGCGCACGTCAGGAGAAGGCCTGTATACGGACTGGCTCGCTTGATGGCTTCCAAATTTGCAATTTGATACTCTCCCTGATTGGCACGGGGTAGAACTGAACACCATCTTCATAACTTCGGGCAAATTACAGGCAGTCGCACAGGATCTTCGTCAAGGTCGAATACGGTGCTCATGCCCAGCACTCGACCTCATCTGTTTCGCTTTAGGTTTTGATACTGGCTTAACCTGATGAGATAAACGTAATTTCCAACACTCCCCTGACCCGCTGGGGTTCATGCATCACGTAGATGAAACATCGTATAAGAAAAAGCCTCCACCCTCTTATTATTTGTAGTCGGTAGCCAGACAAAAGTCCCCAGACAAAAGCCAGACCCAAGTCAGCAATATACTGCCACCCACGCATGTGAAACCGAAACGCGACGATGCAATAAAACGACCTCGGCGCTCAAAATAACGTTATTGTGAACAGACAAGACAATCTCTTCACTAGTATCTCTGCAACACGAGATAGAACTATTGTTAAATGCTTTGATCCAGGATAGCGTGATTAAAAAAAGAACGTCTATACGAGTGGAACAGGCATGACTACCATGACTACCAGCACTGCCTTCAAGGCCGCTGCTCAAAATTCTTCTGTGAAAAGATGGACTCACCCACAATAGGAATATTCTGCCACTAACGAACAACTTGATCCGTAAATACCAAGCATCATAATCCTAGTGCACTACTTCTAGTTTGCACATAGAATCCACTTGTTTATATCGCATCAAAAGCAAACTCCTGTTGTCCTGGGCTGTTCATGGGCTCTTCAGTATGTAAGCATATCTAACAGGTTATGAGGGAAGACCCAGGTCTCTCGCGCTTGGAACGACTGCTGTGGATGATGGACACGCTACTGGAAGTTCGCAAATCGCAATAGAACTAATGAATAATCCGAACCAGATTCGGCAAGAAGATAGAAAGCTCTATCCTGCACATTTGCAAGAGAGAGCCTTTACACCAACCATTCGCTGTTCCCCTCAGGAAACTCTTTCATATTGTGTTTTGTTTGAAAAGGTAAGACATACAACACGACCCGCTGTTAACATTCATCCACTGCAAAAGAAACATTAAATTCCAACAAAAAACTGGAATAAACTGAGAATCACCATCCATGCACACAGACCTGAAGGGATGCAAGAAAGTGTGTGAACACCGATCGGTTTACAAAAAACGTCTGTCACCTGATCTAAAGAACTTTATTGGTGAATCAATAATAGGAAATTTGTCAAAAAAATTAAGCCTACTCAAGTTAAGTACAAGAAGGAACCTCATTTGATTGGACGAAGGAAGCAAGATCATCTGATCGCAACTAGGGAGAGAGGTTCTTCCAAACACTGATGCTTCCAATCCAATGTTGACTCTCAATTTCGTGGAATCATGCGGAGGTATTGACCAACTGCGACCAGTCACCATGTCGACTGGCACTAAACGAACTAATTTCTGCCAACACAAGCTGAAAGTTGGCGTCTCCCACCACAAAATTAACCCTTTTGCTTGAGGGTGATCTTGTCCCCCAAACTAAGAGCAATGCCCTGAGTCTTGCTACGAATGCGAATATAACCGCTCAATTTTCCGTCCGGTTGCTTCTCAACACTAACATTGACCAGAGCATCTTCACCGAAAACACTCTTGGCGTAAAGATTCGCTGCGAGAAATCCACAATCACCATCCAAAGCGGACCTGCACTCAAGGCAATTTCCCATCTCAAGCTGATTGTAAGCAGCGGACTACAGACCCAAAAAAACAACAGCACTTGCATACTGCTAACTCCTGCCATATAAATAGAATAAAAAACTGAGGAAATTTCTTATATTCCTTTTGGAACTGTTGACTCGATGCACATACTTTAAGCTTAGCTCCAGTTCTCACTGCTATGACTGCCCATAGCCTAGGGCAGAAAATATACTAAGGTTCAAATGAAATAAACAAAAAAAATAAGTAGATTAAAAGTGAATCCAAGGACTTACGGTGGAGTGAGGCACTTCATGTTAGTTGACGCAACAATATGCTCCAGGAACTCTTGTACACCTTGAATTGTTGTGTTGACGGCCACCTTCAAATTCAAGATTCGCAGATCAGCGTGCTCACATCAGGTCAATAAAGAAAAGTTCAAGATATACATTCATCTGAACAGTCTCAAGACCTAAAACGTCTTAGTCAGGTCTTTAAAATCAGGTAACAAAGTCGACAGCCGACAAGGAAGGCCACTGGATACCGTTCAAATCACTCTTACAATAAAAGATAAAACAAAATAATTTGAAATCTATTTTATCAGCGATAGATTGGAAGCAGATAACTAGGGAGCTTCGTGTTGAGCGTATGAAACGAGATAGGTATAGATGGAATAATTGAAGTCCATATCTACGAGTGACGAAACTGAATGCAATTAAAACATATGCGAAAGCTCAAACATTGTGAGCGAAGAGCCGACACGGATAACATTATGTGAACTCCACTCGTCAGATACTTTAAGCTCGTGCTCATTACTCCTACAAATGTAGCAGCTAACGCTATACAAAACAAGCATAAAAAGTGGCAAAAGTACAAGTCGACCAAGAATAGAAAGATATAAGCGAACAGCGTACCTTGTTCTCCCACTCGAACTCAGCCCACATATTTCTGAAGGCCACTTCTGGACATGAAGCTGGAGAGATGTAGTCCATAATGTCGATGTGGATGTCGTTCAGGACAACCACATTGCGATCCAGCACACTAGTTGTCTCGTACACAATGTTGCCAAAGATAACTCCAGTTTCTGTGGAAGACACCTTGATATTTGCTCGGATCTGCTTGCTGGTCTCTGGGGCCAGAGTGTAGTTTTGAGGGCGCTCAACGAGCTTCAAATCTCCCATTGTGGCAAGCTCAAAGCAAAGATTTTGTAGAGTCTCGTTGGTGCGATTCACGACAGTAACATCGAGAACTATATCATACTGATGAACAGTCACGTAGGCCTCAGCGTATACAGGATCACTAAATCCTGTTAGCTGCAGGACTCTATTTAGTTTCCTCGTGTTGTCGCTATCTTTTGTGAACTCTCCTGTGGCTCGCTTGAGGTCAGTTTGGACTTCGTCCTCCAACTCGAGCTGGCTCATTCCCTGTATGCATCAGGGTCACGCTTAGTTACACATGAATCGGCTTAGGAATATCTGTACAGATAATTTGGAAAACATAACTATTATAAGATAAGTAAAGAAACATATGTTAAGCGGGAAGAATCTCGCATCCAATTGTAACCAAATACTGATCAACTAGGTTTAACAGTGCAGTAGTTTTTGACGTTATGATATACTTAGGAAGAGGAAGGACCTAAAACACCTCAACGTTCAGTTGAAAACTAACCTTTCTGCTCTTCAAATGATGGAAGTCGATAAGATCATCGGGCTGGGCATTGGAAACCTGCGCTTTGGCCTTGGATTCCTCTGTCTCACGGTGCTGTTTCTCCGTAATCATTTTCACAAAGCTCTCACGGCAGTACTTCAACCACACCATTCTCATGACATCATCAGGGCTTGAAAGAATTTTCACACACAGAGAAATCCTGTCATAAGAATCGTCGTCAATAGGAGGGACAGTGCGTGACTCTCCTAGTCTGAGCATGGACACCAAGATGAGCAGGATCTCCGCAGTTACTTTGTTCACTTTGACAGCCTGAGAGGAGACTTCCTCAAGACGCAGCGCGAGCTTCGTCAAGGTTGTGGAAATGACTGCTCCCAGGAAGAAATCTCCTGTCAACAAAATCGCTCTCAAATTTGCAGAAGCCCCTGATCCTCCTCCGGACAGAGGTGTTGAAACTGCAATCTCAGCAGCAGCACTCTGACTAGCATATGTGCCATCAGCAAGAACGGCCGGCCGCTTAGATGAAGCTGAAGAAGCTGGAGGTACGACACCAGATCCCTTCGTACTTTGATTGCCCGCCTTGCCACCCTCACCTTCTGTTCCTTCATCGGCAACGGTGAAAAATGGAAGCTCCCCGAGTGACTGCTTGATTGTGAAAATACCACTCTCGACTTCGGGTAAGGATAAGCAGTACTCTCCAATTATCCACAAAGCACAAGTGCACACCCTTGAGGACCGGATCTGGTAGAAGGTGTCCAGCAGTCTGGTGATAATCGACTCGCGGAGCTTCGGATTGGTCTCAATAATCTCTCTCACGAAGAAGACAACATCTACAGCAGAGGCAGTGTTGCTGTCTCCAAGGAAATCCATCAGCAAATGCACAACAGTGCTGGCCACTTCCGGAAACTTCAGAGCACATGAATGGATTGCCTGCACGAGCATTTGTCTGTACTCCCCATTCTTCTCCAACTCCTTGCTTTGGGTTTTCACAACTTCCTTCTTCAGAGTCATAACGACCTCGTCAATGTTTCGTGGAGTGATCAGATCTAGAGCAATGTCCAAGGTTTTTCTCCTAATGTCAAGGTTTGGGCTGGAAAGAGCCCTCAATACATCCATAATCATTTCTACCATCACCTCCCGGTGTGAAGCCTTGAGCTCCTGCAGGCGATCTAACACTATCAATTTGACATTGTTGTCGCTTTGAGATAACAAAAGCTGACAGTAGGTGTTGGCTGCAGCTCGGATGGCGGTAGGTGCCGACGAAAGAGAAACTAAAGTGCCGGCACACTCATACATGACCGCGGTCGAAGGGGAGTTGAGAAGGGAGATAATGATCTTGATGTACTTTCCCTTCTCTCCAGGATTCGTCCGGCACACTTTCCTGACGAGCTCCAGAACCACCATTTGCAAAATGTCTCCCCATCCGGAAACGCTTTCCAGATGGCTCAACAGATAGCTGACAGCTCTATCTTGGGCACAAGTATAAAGCATCAAGAACGCGTTTCTCCGGGAGGAAAGATCTTGCTCGGTGGAAAGAGTCTTCTCAATCATCTCAGGAGCATCACACAGCAAATGCTCTCCCTGGGGCAGCTTGTAAATAGCCATCATTGCCAGGATAGCATTCCTTCGCACGAATGCGTGGCGATGTTCCAAATTAGCTAGAATTGAGGGAATCAAGGGTTCAATCAACTCAGCCTCATTCAATCTAGAAAGAAAACGGAGTGTCACACCTCGGATGTACTCATTCGGGTGCTGCAAGTTGTTCCTCAGATTTTGGCAGATCAGAATCATCTCGGGCAATATCTTCCCGTGAGCATCCGTTTTATCGATAATCTCCAGGTACAGCAACAGCAACTTCTGGATCGTGTGATCCGTCGACGGGAGCACGTACCGCACAATGGTGATAAAAAGCTGCGGTAGAGTCTCGCCGTTCAGAAGCAGCATCACCGCCTTCTTCATGGCCTCGACCTTTTTGCTGGTGTCGCTGCCTTCCAGCCACTCCTTGATTTCATTGGCAAGGGCGGGCGTGCCCTTGTCAAAGTGAACGAGTAGAGTACAAGTCTTCTCCATCGCCGCTGCTGTCCACCACCGCCTCGCACTTCCCTATCCTGGCAATATTTCCTCCGCCTCCGACGCACAACGCCCGCAGCTCCTCAATGGCGCTCCTCCTCCTCGATCAACAGTGCGCGGCCATAGATCTCGCGCTCGCCCAATCTGACACCACTCCTGTCACCAATTTCCACAACCAAACCTACACCAAATTGCGGGGCACTCCAAAACTACCCTCAAATAGCTCGACCTGCGCATCGAATCGAAGGCCTTGCGAGCCGGCCGGGACTGCGGATCTGGATCGAGAGCGCGCGCGCAGACGCAGACGCAGACGGAGATGGATCGATCGATCTGACTGACGCTCTGCCGAGCAGATCAGAGGGCGAGCTCGGCCTTCTCAAGGAGAGCGGACTGACTGAGCACAAGAGCAGCGGGCCGAGCCGAGCCGAGGGGTCGACGCCTCCCTCCCTCCCTCGTTGCGCTGCCCGGCATGGAAGCACGAAGGTCCGACGGGCCGGGACCGCAAACACGAAAGAGTCCGTGGGACGTGGACGTGGACGGTCCCACCTACGCTACTACTCCTGGGGAATCGCTCCCTCCAACACTTCCTCCAATTCCTCCTCCAATTCCTCCTCTTTAAGTGTCCATTTGGCCCCGTTTTCTCTTGTGGGCTCTTCTTGAAACCTTGGTTTGCTCGAGTTGTCGGATGGTCTAATCTGTCGGGCCACATCTGCACTGCCGCTTTTGGTGACTGAGCGCTTCAGCTCCCATCAATAATATGCGCTGATTAGCTTTGTGCGAATTTGTCTAATTTTGAGCACTTTCTTACTTTCTCTATACCCACAAGTTGTTAAAAAGGCCACGGCAACTTTGTGCAAGCTCAAAATTCATGGACAAAAACGTCTATCACAATTGAAGAAAAATGGCCCTGCATTGAATTTCTCTTGAATGAACGAATCGTCATCTACCGACACAATTTTATGTGCAAATTGGAAACTTCACGAGTTAAACATCCCCGAGGAAGAACAAAAAACTGTCTGAGTCATCTGAGTTTCTTCTCCTTTGTTCAATAAGTGATGAAATTTTGTAGAAAATGAATCACATTAATTCCCGGAGCATCTGTCCATAAACTGAATCACCGGTCAGTTAAAATTCATGCGGCTGAATTATTTATAAAGAAAGATCCGCATTAATATTAACAAATCTAACTTCATTTTTTTTCATCTTCACATTTTTAACATTATTACATCAAATCTGAAAATTAAATGTTCTTAGGGTTAAGAGAATATTTGGAATAAGTCAACTCTAATATTTTCAGAGACTAGAATGAAAGGTTCAAATTAGGAAATATTTATCTGCTCATACCATCAAATTCAATAAGGTGTGGAGTAACCATAACTTTGATGAGCTTGAACAGCTTGAACAAACTTAGCTTTAGACAGCTTAGACATCTTCAGCATAATAGAATTTTTTTCAATTATATAGATTTTCAGGATCACGGAATTGGAATTGCCATTTTTGCAACGAAAGAAATCAGAGTATCATTGCAAAGATAAATCATGTTTGGTATGTAATGAAATATGTGCACCTGAATCTCCTTTATATTCCTGTATAGAACGTAGAATATTTGATATTAAAAATAATTTCATTCTGATTATTAAATGAGTTATATTGAACCTAACATTTTTTTGAAATTTATTTAAAATAAATTTTCCGTATATACTTTTCATACAACTTCTAAATTATGCTTTATTGGAAAGATTACAATCTTGAAAAACAAGTAAAGTCACACTTCAAAATACTCATTTCACTCCCTATGTATGTCTTCAACGCAACATCAATACTTTGCTAACACATCATATACAGCATTCGTGATTTGTTAGATATGAATCTATAATATACAAATTAAGAAGAAAATTTGATGCAAGTACGTGCTATTACTATGAATTCTGAATAAGCGTGAGATAGAGTTTGTGAATCAGTATCTGTATGAAATAAGTAAAAATATTCAAAATATGAATTATATTTAAGATAAACACTAATTTAAAATAAAATATAAACATTTCATATTTTCTTTTATTTTTATTGCAAAAAAAACTTAGAAAAAATTCTTTCATGATCAACAAAATCATCTTGTTGCAAAATTTTATGAAAAGGGGTTGAGAAGTATTATGATCTGTATCTTAGAAAAGCCTTACTTGATCAAGCAATTCTATCATGCTTGAGAAACTTTATATCAATCTTTTATTCTTGTTATGAAAAAATATAAAATTTGAATTAATAAAACGACTACTGAGTTTATCTTTATAATCAAATATTACTCCTAACATGTAAAAAACTTGTCAAAAAATTTCAATTTTAATTTTAAATTTTATGTTAAATTTACACTTCTAAATATGATCTAGACCATGATTTTTGTTGAATTTTCTTTCTTAACAAGTTTGTGATGTTGATGATTGAGTATTCTTTATGTTTATTAAATATATTAGAATTTAACATGTTTGAAAGATAGAAAATAAACTGATATGATATCAGATCCATTCAGATTTGAGAGCATCTTCATCATTGCATTTTTATTCAAGAACAGGCATCGTGTGTTTATAGTGGCATGAAAGGTGTTAAAGAAATCAATAATCACAACAATAAATTTAAATATTTTCTAAACCCTTTAGACACTCAAAACTACTCACATATGTTCCAAAAATATTGAAATTTGAAAAATCTAACAATCACACCAACTCTCATACTTCCATTCATTTTTAAAATTTATATAGGTCCCAAAAAAAATATGTGTATGAAAGAATCCAATATTATAAATCTGTGGAATATATTATGTAAATGAAATAAGATAATAGCCGATTTCTATTAAGCTAAAATGTGAATGTTATCATGATAAAATAGCAACATTCTTTAATTTATATATGTTTAGGGATACTCGATTCAATATGATTATCCGATTCTAATTCTTGAACATATATATATTTTAAATGATGAAAATTTTCTGTTTGTAACTCCTCATATCTGATTAAATCCGAATTCAGATGATAGTTAATTCAAAATAAGTATTGTGTAAAAAAATCTTTTCCTTCATATTGTAAGATGTTAAGAGTTGAACTCATTATTAAAGTTGGGAAATGCCTTTCTAAGAAATATACAACTATACCACAGTTACAATTTAAATAGAGAATTAAAGTTCAATAAAAATATGTAATTGGTTTTTGGATTGCCGAACTAAAAATTGTAACACATACATGTGCAAAAGACGTACATTACACATGTTAAAAATACAAATAATGTAATATCTTCAATTGACAAATTTGTCATGTTATAAATAAAAATTGACCCCTTGTTCTGTAAGTGATAATGACGTGAATAGATGAAATAACTGCATGCATGTTAATATTTTCACGTTGTCCTAATGACTCAACCTCCAAAACTTTTAATTAATGGTATGTACTTTAGTAGTCTTTCTATAACAATTTTGTTCCATGTGCTTTGTATGAATTACTTATGAATGACCAATTTGCATATTACATATGTACAGTGGTTCGAAAATAAAAAATTTCAATGATCTAAAACAATCAAAATTTTCAGTAATTCCATGATTTCAAATCATGGAATGCAAATCATCTTCGAAATGTCCATCTTTGACCGAGTGGGCGATTTGGTCATGTGTCGATGAACTTGAGGCCAAGGTGGACGTGGCTGGGCTCAAGGGACTGTGCGACAGTCAGCGTATTCTTGGTGCGCTCGAGAAACAGACCCACAATCTCATGATCGCGTCGCTGTGCAAGTCGCGATCAATTGCGGGGAGCTGATTGCTCCGAGGGCTGCTGCACATCAAGGTGTATCGGGATTTCACTTTCTTGCATCGATTCGATCCGCGAAAGTTGTGACCCGGAGAATTATGGGGTTCTGCATTGCTGCAAGAAGCAGCAAAGATAACATTCTGTGTTTATTGAGGAGATCAGGCGACCTAGCTCGACACCTGAGGACACCATATTCTCATTTTCCAAACTCTTCCACACCTCTGACTAGGAGTGGAATTGTTGCTCCGAGATGTAGCGGTTTGAGTCCATTTTATTCGATTTCTTTTGCTTCCACTTCGGTCGTCAATCAAACCAAAGCTTCAGGAATTATTTTCAGGCGGAGTATGTGGGGGTCGCGCATGGAGTCGACGAAGAATACGATGAAAGAGCTGGAGTGGATGAGACCGAGGGGTCGGATTGTGGGGCCTTTTGGCGGCTCTGGCATCAGACACTTCGGGCAAGGCCCCCCATAGCCTTGTAAATGGCATGCCCTCTGCTTCACCTCCAAATTCTCAAAAAACTTTAGTGCCAAGATTTGAGAAACTATTAGAACAAGAATTTGAAGCTTTTTGGGATTAAATTACGCTTTCACCAGTTTAGCAAGGTCCCGATGATCGGATCCTCTGACCAGCCCTCCACTATCGGCCTGGAGGTTTTTCCGCTATTAGCAGCCAAAAGGAATACATCGTGCTGATTCATTGCTATATGATGCTATGTGGAATGAAATGGGTATGCAAAATTCCTGTCTTTTCTATCGCTAATGATGTGTTCTTCTTCCAGGGGCGGTGGTTACGCTGGTCCTGAGTTGGCATTGGGACTGCTGATCGGCGCTAATGTTGGCATCTTTTTTCTCTGGCGAATTTTGAGTCCCACATTTATGCAGTCAAACTTTGTGGTCAGTTTTCCGAATTTTTATTCTACGTGATAGTTCTTTCACACATATTTTCTACAGGCTTTGAGATGCATAAGAAGACTGTCTTTGCTTTTTCGTACTTAAGTTCTTGCTGTAATCGCTTGAACAGGCCTCTGCTGCAGCTCTGAGGTCCGGTCGCTTGCACACTCTAGTGACGAGTGCATTTAGCCAGTACGAACTACATCACTTGCTCTCGAATATGATTGGTCTCTACTTTTTTGGTAACGAGGTAAACTGAACTAGGTGTAATTCATGAGCTCTTTCGTTGCCTTACCACAGTATTATGCCCATCCTATATATGTCGCAAGTTTCATCATTATGTCAATGGCCTTCATCACGCCCTCTTGTTCATACCAGAAAATATGTCAGGGAGGAATGGGGTAGTCTTTTTCTTTGAGATAACCACGATTTCGTTTTTCAAACACATGAGTAGATTATACTGAATATGTGTCGGTTTAGGGTTTAGGGTTCCCCTTAAATAGGTGCGTACGCTTATGCAGCTGCAACTTTACTCATTCTTTAACTCTTTATAATCGCCTTCGTCGGTTTTGTTGAACATTAGCCCTGGATGCCATTTTAATTTTGTGATTTGTTTTTGGCACAGATTGCTAGAATATTTGGCGGTCAAAAACTCATCTTGCTCTACTTGACTGGTGGCGTTGTCGGATCACTTTCCCATATGGCGTACTGGGCATATCTGAAACCATGGTTTGAGGTACATTTTCTGACATAGTAAAAGCCAAAGAAAACTCGTTAAAACTTTAGTTGGATGAAAGCTAGAAAACTTCTTGTTAGCACTCCTAGTGTCCTTGTGAAAGGAACTGCGGGGGCTATGTATTTTCAAGTAAGTGTAGGAGATTTCACCGATTTTCCCCGTGTTAAGTTTGCTACAATTCTTATTGAAACTTCATACGGTTCAAGTAATTGATGTGTACAGAATTACCAGTTCGTTGAAGATGAAAGAACGGAAGGAAGGCTTGAGCTAAGCAAGCCATTCTCGGTACACCTGTGTCGACCCTAACAGTATGATTTATTGTTGAGCAGGGTTATCCGTCAAGACGCACTCAATATTCACCCGGATTGCTGGTATTCTTAGAATCTCTTTTACACAAATCTGGTTTTTCCATTTTGTGTCTGACCTACTGAATGATCGATACTTATGTGTGAATACACGCACACCCATCGTGCTGTTCTATTGGATAAAGCCAACGAACTATGTAACCCAACTCATCGTCTTTCGTGGCTCTTCTCAGGGTTCGAGTGGGGCAGTTAACGCGATCATGCTCCTAGATATTCTTCTGTTCCCAAAGCGGATCATTTACTTCAACATGATCCTCCCAATTCCTGCCGCTCTATTTGTACGTCTTCCATCTTCCTTGAAAATTCGGTCGGTGTGCTGCAATATAAGGGAGTGAAGTGTTATGGATCCCAGTGAGTGATTGACAGCCAGCGACCTATGTGTTTATTCAGACCTATGTGTTTATTGCTGTGCAGGGACTCGTAATCATCGGCTCCGACTTATGGGCAGCCACTGACGTGAGTGATCTAACTATACTAGCCGGAATGTTCCATACTAATGTTCACACTTTATGTAAGCCAGACGTCCCTTACGAAAACTTGTTTGTAATCAAGGTTTTGCTGTTGAATATCCGTAATGCCTTCTGAATTGAAAACCGAGTTTCGAAAGTGATTTGCACTATCTCTTTTGCAGGGGAATAAGCATGGAACTAGCCCCGCTGCTCACCTGGGAGGAGCTGTTACAGGATTCATCGCTTTTTTGAAATGGCGGCTCTGAGCCATTTTGGGTATGGCCGCTTCAGGTGAAGTGTTGGGTCTACAGCCCGCTCTGAGTCTTTCTGCTCTGAGCTATTTCTGCGATGAAGGACTTTCACAGTACTGTAATGCATCTGTCATTATCGTATGATATGAGATGTACGTGGTGAGAAGTGAAGAATACTTTCCTTGTTCTTTAAAACCCTGTGATCATCCGTCTCGAGAAAACAATACTTTGCTTCATATTGACTAATGCTAGAGCTGTCTACACAGGATGTTAGATGATAGTAGAGTTCGTGTGACGTGTGTTCGAACTCCATTAGTCAATGCACTAGTAACATTACGTGAAAGGGACCAAAGATTCAATGGAGGGTATTGCGTTTCGATAAGGACACAACCGGGCTTACTTTTTACCGGATGTTTTCATTCTCCACTACTTAATACATAAATTACACTTATCACTCGGAAAATGGAAAGCATTTTCTCAATGGATATAGTTGTGTGACGGGGCGTGCAGTTTGACAAATGTGTGATACACTGTTCCAGATCTAGGCATATTTGTAGTTTTACAACAATTGGTATCTTCGCAGCTCTTTTATACCTCATTTTCGGCACTGTCTTCAGTAGTTTTCGAAGAGTTCTAGAGATGTAATGACATCATAGATTGTCTCTAACTAGATTGAAAAATAGAAGCTGGAAGGAAAGTAACGACTTATGCTTCGGCGCACATGCAGTCTGAAATACATTCAGTCTCAATAATGTAAGGTAAGATCGGCCTGTGACTACATCTCAAGTCCACATTTACGAGACAGAACTAGCCGTTCTCAACTTTGTGAATTTGCCCTGTGAAACGTTACCGAGATATACCGAAGAACGTGTGGCGTGAACTCACCAGATACATGGTAGAGTCCAATTTCTGTTTTATCTAACCATAGACCAGCAAAATACATGTCATCTTTGAGACACCAGTTGCCGAGAAGAAGGTATCTTCGATATGTTTGCGAGTCATTCCATGCAAACCACTACGTCGGAATCGAAAAATAACAAGTATACAGCAATATTTCCAAAACGAGCAGAGATGAGCAATTGCAAATATCTTCGTTCGCGAAAATGAATTTGTTTAGCCGTATGATTCAATGTGACTAAGAAAAGAACGGACGGAAAGAAAATGAAGCCTGGAAATGCGGGGTCTCCTTCAATCGACGAGATATATATATATGATGCGAAAGCAGTTGCGTACAGATGATCCATGCCAACGAAGATCGGGTTGTTGGATGGGAGAGTCATCCATCCAATTTGAGACTTCCGGATCAACAACTGGGCATGATGACTACGTATAGACCAGTGGATTTGAGGTATAGATAAATAGGTGGATTTCTGCAGGCTCATCTCTCTTGAAGGTGTTGCCCACCTCAAGCAAGATCACTTGCATTCCTAAACCTTTGCCCACCCAGGCAGAAATAACAACGGGGCCGCTGACATCCCGGACTGAACAATCCGGACAGGAGTACCTCTTCCCAAAAGAATGCGGTTTGCACAACTTCCCAAGCTTCCTGTAAAATTGAAAGTAGTGTTAGTAACACGGGATGAGGCGTTCATTCTTGAAACTGACAAAAGTAACCTTGCTCTAACACACATCGTGGCCCCTAGCCACTAATGACCTAAAACGAAACAGTCAAGCTCACTTACAAGTCGTGGTTACCACGAGATGATGAAGCAGGCACCGAAGTCGAGATTGAGATGGATCAAAACATGTTCCTATTTCTCTCCTGCAGGTCCTCTAGAAGAAGTTGCCGCATGCTTTCTCCAAAGTAGTTCAAGGACCTTTCGGTATCGAGGGCCCTGGCTATGGGCCCGTTCTCACTAGGATCAGGAGCAACCGGAGGCTCAGGTTCTTCGGCCAGCATGCATATGTTATGCAGCACACAACACGCTACGACAGTCTGTGCCGCGTAGTTCAAACCAACGTTGAGGTTTTGCAGAATCTTCCATCTCCCTTTCAGCAAGCTGATCGCTTCTTCCACCATCGCTCGCCCTTTCATCAGTCGCTCATCGAAGAAGTTTTGGGCCGGTGTCCCACTTCCGTTGCCTGTGAACGGTGTCAGCAGGAACGAGAAAAGCGGGTACCCCCAGTCTCCCACTATGTACGGTCTGATATGGTTGCCCTTAATCCGAACATGTGTGTCGACCAGAACTTCGCCGTTTGTCAGCTTTTGGAAAAGAGAACTTCCTCTAAGATGAGTTGCATCATCGGTGCTCCCAGCCGCCTTACAACACACGTCCCAAAACATCCTTCGATGATCACACACGACTTGTAGAAGCACTGCAAAAAAGTGATGTCGGCACTGACATACACAACCGGACCAACACTTTCCGTTAATGACCACTGACCCCGCGCTCTGGCGACATGTGCTCGTACCAGAGGAGAGGAGAAGCAAGAGTAAGGAAGATGCATGGGAAGAAGAGGGAAGGAGGTGCGAAGTAGCTAAAACATAAACTCTTTTTCGTCCGATGGGTTATCAAGGTATGGCTTGGGAGGAATTTCCAAATGTCAGACTACATTTTATATCATAATTGAGTATGATTTTATCTACAGTAACTTGATAACACAATCAAAGGTTGATACAACTGGCTTCTGCAATTAGCAGTTTGAAATAAAGTGATGGTGGAAGATATTGTCTACATTACTGGTCACAAATCAAATGCAGGATTACGGGGTCAACATAACAAACGATATACTCAATGATGAGCGTGTAAGTTGTACGATTAAAAGAATGACTAAAAAACTAGATCAAGCTTTAGTTCTACTCTACTTTTGATAGAAGCTTGTGGGTTGCCTTTATGAAATAATTTGATCAGCTTGGAAACGAATAGCCACATGGTGTATGGACATGGAAATACTTATATAGCAAGACCAAGTATAATTACTTAATACAAGCGGAAGAAAACATGACTGAATTTAAACAGGAAGCACTTGTTTGAGCTGCTCAGTGCGAGCATTATTAGGAGCAGTGGTTCTTGTGAAGCAGAACCATAGGAGTGAGACGTATTTGGAAGACTATCCATTAGTGACCAGTCTGATGTAAGTTGAACAAGAGAATGAACAGAAGTGGTAACAAGATGGGAGTCTGGCAGGTGATTCTCATTCACTTAAGATATATATCTCGCGGAAAGAGTTCGCATGTCATTCAGCCCTACCTTGTAATTGCCAGGAGAATACTCCTTGTCAGGTCTTTTGTGGATCTTCACATGACTCCCATCAATAGCTCCACACATGTTCTGGAGTCCAGTGCGGTCCTTGAAAGCAGTGATAATTTCGGCAAGAGTTTCACCACTTGGAATCTTGATATACTTTGAATACAGCTTGGTGGCTAAAGCCTTAGTAACCAGATCAGTATATTTCGTAATGGTTGCAGATCCAGTCTTGTACTCCGAAGCGATTCTTCTCAAATTGTGCCCACTTGACAGCCTATATAGAACCATTGCTACTGCAGCATCAGGTGGCATAGTTTCACCGCCATACAGTTCCTGCTTGAGGAGGAAGGGTTTCACCTCGTCCACAATCATCACGAAGAGAGGAAATGACATGCCATAGGCCTGCCGCCACTGAGTGTCCCGGATCGCAGGGTCCAAAGTCTTCATCTGCTCCGTGATCAAACTTCGGAAAGTCTTCTGCTGCTCAGTACTCCAATAATCCCCAGATGTTTCAGCGTAAAGAGCCGCAGCATGGGCCAACACGGTAATGAGGGTGAAGAACAGTAATGGAGCAGGTGAGGATGTATCTGAGCTTGGAGACTCCAAGCTATCCTGGAGCTGTAGTAAGCTAGAGAGCATCAAAACCAAGCTAAAGTCCATCTTAAAGAGATGAAAAAGTAATATTTTGATTTACAAGCTCAGACATGAACATGCTGATTCCAAAAAGGAGCTCTTCGGATGAATATCGAGAAGAATCATTTAGAACGGAGTCTTATTGCTGGAAATTCAACTCCACCTTCCTTGTTTCAAATATATAGGATGGGAGGTTGACTGGGCCTCAGACTGTTGTTGCAGCACAACTTTCTCTTCGTACGTTTCACAGAGGTCTTTGTCGTGGAGCAAGCACCCAGAGGTCAAAACCAATTGAGAAACAAACTGGGCCCCTGTTCTTGAGATCTCACAAGATGCGCCACACTTTCAAAGTATGTGAAACCAAAACCAAATCCAAAACTTCTTCTCATCTTCTGAAACTCGAACGACACTCTCATGTCATCAAACCTCATACTGCAACATACAATGTAAAACTTCAGGATTCAGGATGCAAAGCTTTACCAAGGGCACTAATCTTCAAGCAGGGAGCATGCAAATGCAGGCCTCAGTGGCCTGGCCATGCCTGATTTCGACGGTGCAAAACCTAAAAAGACAGCATGACTCAGACCCAGAAGACTCTTACGTAATAATAAAAGTGCACCACTCGGACAAAAAAAGCTGGCATTCTGTGGGCAGAGATTGAGCTGATCATACCGAAATCCATACCTGACGGGGAATTTGCAGATGTGCCTCCGAACGGAAGGAATGTGCTCATAAGTCTGAATGGGCTTCATCTCCCGCCCTGACATACATTTTAATGCCCCGCAGCCAAGCGCCGTCCTCAAGACTGGTGAATTGAGTTCGTGTACAGGAGATTGTGGCGAGGGCCAAGGAACATACAGAAGAGACGGCAGCTTGGGTTGGCGACCGAACAAATGTTCACATTGCTGGAAGCTGGCTAGAGTCCGCAAAACTCGAAGCGCTCACGAAGCGCCAGCTGAGAACAGCCCGCGCATGTTTAGGCACCCAACGTTTTGTCCGACTACTGACCGGGGGAAAAGTTGATTCAAAAGATTCTCTCTCTCCCGAGCGGGTGACAAGTATATCCCCTTCCCGATCTTTACGAACCCCTTCGACCGAACGGTAATATCGCGTTCGAGCCAACGTGGCGAGTAATGTTCCCGGTTGGGTCTCCGACACGTTTGACCGAAATAAAGCAGTTCTAGGGATAGAAGAAAAATAATATATCCAACACGTATTAAATTGGACCCCCTTTACTTTATACTCGAAGTGGAGCGAGTAAGGATGGACTTACAAGAGCTCTACCTCTTGAATATCATCCAAAATAATCTTCCACGCACTTTAGGGTGTATGAAATCTTTTTAAAAATTTCAAATCATTTCATGTGAACCTTTACTTGAAGATGTTATATATATATATGAACAAGCATGCAAACATCCACTTTGTAATTTCAGCGTCAAAACAATTGCTCGGAAACACTTCAATGAACAACATATGCAGTTTTGTCCCAAAAAGATACCAGCCACGCCAAGATGTTCTGGAAATTCTATATAGAACTTTGTAAGTAATTTTTCCTTAAATAAATAAACAAGTAGATAGATATGTATATATCATAATGGTTTTAACATAGTAATGCACATTGTTTTATTAATCCAGTTTCACTTTAGGAAGTGAAACTGGATTCCTTCAAGTTGTTCGAGGCCACTTCTTCCACTTCTACAAGTGCCCCCAAGAACCAGGTCGCAATATTCATGTTACATTTCGTCTCAATTGTAAATCTTACATGAATGCATGCTTTGGATCCAGAGACATTGAATAGAACAATTGCAAATTGTGAGCATACACTGATATTGATAGACCTTGTGAGATAAGTTTGAGAAAACTATTATTCAAAGCACTGAATTCAAACTTCTCATATTGAGTCAACTGTACTACATGAATTCAAGTCAATAGTTCTTCAACTCTTTCAATCCGCAGTTCCAAAGCGCACATAGGGCTCATAACCGAGTCTCATATTGTACTGCATAAACATTTCTTTATGCCATTGGTTCTAAACTGGAAACATTTCCAGTGTAAAGCTCAGATGTTCAGATATTTTGTAAAGGTTACAATACTTTTTAAGACCCGAAGGTAATGTCTGCAGGAGACATAATGCGCTCTACCAGTTCAGGTAATTGGATGTGACTGAAGCTTGATTCACCAGAATTCCGTGCACGTTACTGATGCTGTGCTTCAGATATGTTCATGGCTTAGAACTCGACGCCAGCCTTGCGTGCCTTCGCCCAGAGAAGTAGTTATGGTCGATTCTGCTTAACACAGTGAGGAAAACGGATTTTCATGGCTATTGACGGAATATAGCAAAATCGTTTCACAACATTGGTCATAGAAGCAGCTCGGCTGACTTACAATTTGGAAGTATCTGCTTACTCGTTCGTAGAATTTATGCACATCCAACACAGAGCTTGTTTTGAAGCCACTGTAACATTCTCCCGCAGTCCGCATGCCGGGATGGTCTGCAGAAATTGGAACGGCATTGTCTTCGAGTTATCGCTAGGCCTGAGACCATGGATCTTGCAAACGAGTGCAAAACGTGGCCGTGTCATCGTCGATTATCGGCACTCCATGCGTGTTCACTTGCCATGCGACGACTTCAAGTAATTACAAAGTGCGTAGAGCCTCGAATCAATTTCCTCCACTTCAACAGACATGGCATGCATGGTCCTGGGTCTAGGGGAAATCTTCCTGTTCAATTTCTCAGCTTTTTCTTTGTCGGCCCGACTGTGTGACAGCAGTCTAGATCTGAAGTCGTCACTGGAACCTTGCGAGGAGAAAGACAAAGGTCGCGAGGCTTTAGAACTGAAAGTCCCGGTGCTCCTTTCCTTCGCTGGTAAAGTGGTTCTCGTCGAGAATGGTCGCGGGAGTGTTGGTGGTTTTTCTCGCGTGCTATAATCAACGGATCCGCTTCTGGACCGATATGCTGGGCACGACGAGGATCTAGAGCCTGGGAGCGACGCAGATGATCGAGAACCTTGTTGCGATATGGAAGGGGACGCCAGCTTTCTTGTTGCACTTCTTGATTCGAGACTTGGACTTTTAGCCAGTCTTGGCCTGCTGGGACTGTCCGGGTATAGTCTTGGCCTGCTTCGAACAGGTGAGATATCTCTGAAGCTGCGGGATGGAGCGGGCGACACGTCTCGGACTCCTCTCATCGACAAACGTCCTTTCAAAAGACCTATCTCAAAAGCTTGTTCTTGCAGCTTGGCTGCCATTCTCTGTTCCACATCTTTGGCTCGTCTTATCTCTTCCATGAGGATACTGTTTTTCCTCAACAATTTCGCAATAGTTCTCTGGTTGGCTTCTGCCTCATCCATGCTACAACCTCTTCTTTCGGCTGGATCTCCGTGCACTTGAGATTCCCCGTGACACATGTTGCCATTTTGATCAGAAGCCCTAGCTGTGATATCAGGTGAACGAGGATGGGAGTCACTCTTGCGCACTTGAGCCTTCATATAGTCGAGTTCGCTCCGGAGCCTTTGAATGCATCTTTTCAAAGCTTCGGGTTCTGCATTATCTTCGTGTATAAGGGGCAAAGGATAATGAACTCTATCAAACTCGGTGACATATGTCAAGATGAGGTACCTTTTGTCTGAAGCTGAGGCGCTGTGGGAGTGTGCCGAATGAGAATCACCCGCTCCCCTCCTCACGGTAAGCTTCTCAAGATCGTGATATGTCAATAGATCCACGTGTAAAGCACTAGATTTTCGAAAGATAGCGCACTTTAACATCTCCACAAATGTCTTGAAGCTTTTCAGGTTGCCAACCCGCTGTGTAATCTCCTCAATGTATCGGGAGGTGAAGTCTCCTCGCCAGCGACATCCATCGGATTTCCGTTCGGCCTCGATGGACAAAGTGACTCCTTTAGCTTCACGCATACACACGTAGTAAGTGTGATGCTGAAATACAAGTTCAGCCTCCTGAAGCTCTCCGTTATCTTTATCCATCCTCTCTGCACAATTGCTCACGATCTCTTGATTCTCTTGAGCTGTTGTTTGAAGATCATGAAATCGATCATATTCTCATCATCGTGTCTCTCACATCCCTGTCTACTCTCGCTTGGTCCCGCAGCGATCGAAAGGCATACAAGTTCCGAACTCATGGCGTGGACAAGTGGAAGAATCACAATCATGCGACATTGGACGATCCTCCGGATGTAAGTGCTTCAGTGCATTTGCCGACCCCTTGTAGTGGCCGGCCCACGTTCAGACTCCCGCTTGCTTGCCTGCATCACCTCTTACTGCCTTCCCTCTCCTTCTATTTCTCCTTCTTTCTCCTCTGTCCGCATGGAATGTATCATCGTCACCACGGTGAGCCCGACTCTAAATGGTCACTCGCTGTCAGTGTCTGGATCTGAGTGCATACTCTTGAGCCACTTCGTCAGTACGAGCTCCAGTACTTCGAATCAAACATGCATCCTATTCTGTTCGGGGAGATATATCCATTCTTAAATGGACTTGAGAGTGTTGTTACGCATGTTTCCGATTTTCAAAATCATTAATTGGAATCATGGTTTATTGCATTCCAGATTGTATGCAGCAACTGAGCGTGTTCTCAGATTTCATTCTGTTTCTCTGACGACGAATAAACTGTTTAATAAATTCCAAATTTCAGTACCAGCAAAAAGTTACGATAAATTGAAGATGTGAAAATAAACTCCAAACAAATGGAAAAGCACAATCCCCTCGCTCGGTATCGTATATACCTAAACCTGTAATACTCAAATCGACGCATAAGCCGGCGTTTAGTCTTGTAAAATAAGATAATCCAACTCAAATGCTGGGTTGAACAACTTGTACGTAACTAGTCGTCATTAACTCGATCTGCTTATGATACTTCATCTGTGGTACACTCTTGTTAAGTCATCTGTGGTACGCTCTGGGAATTTTATTTTCTTACTCACAATAAATTTATGATAACAAAAAAAAAGAGAATTCCCAGAGTGTACCACACCCGATAAGCAGTAGTGCTGTATAGACACTCAAGAGAAATATTGGATGTGTGATTTGAAACTCATTCAAATGTGTAAAGGTTAGGGAATGACCCTAACCTTTATACCTACGTTGCAGAATGTAGAATAAAGCCATTGATAGACGTACTATTCAGTACTCCCTGTTTCCCCAAACAATTACTTGTCTTCCAAGTTTTAACTGACATTTCCCGCTTGCAAGCCATCCTCGCACGATTCACAGCAACGAGCGCGGAAATAATGACCCACATCGCTGTACCCCAAATCATGAAGTTTAAGTGTACCAAGAGATTTTTCTATTAGTTTCATGACATAGCGAATAATCTAAAACTTGTGAAATAAAATTTATGAAAATGATAGATCTAGAAGAATAATATGTACATTGCAAAGCTTGTAATATGAAATTGAATTCTACATTGGAAATAATGTAATGCTTCAAATAATCAAGATCTAGTATCTTGATTGCAATTATTTTTTGTTGTGATTTGGATGTTAAATTTAAGAGTAAATGCGTGCAAAAATAAATATTATAATTATGATTCTTAAACTATTTGTGGTTGAATTATATGACTTAATTTACAATATATATATTTATTTATGTTGATTTGTATGTATAAAAATCTATCTTTCAGCCTATTATCTTATATACCAAAATGATTCACGGAAATTTAGTATGACAACAAGTTGTATCCACAAGTTATGAGTATTTTTTTCATACATTAAACTCAATTTTCTATGTTTAAATCATTTTTATTATAAAATTTTCATTTTTAAAGTGAGATTTTTAACATTTTAGTGTAAGTTTTCAACATTTTAGAATTAAACTGTTGAAAACTTCAACTAGATACAATCATCTGAAGAAAAAAATATTTCAATGACGTGTTTAATCAAATGGTCATTGAATATATCTTTATGGTTGAATATCAAAGGTTGAGACTTTATATGTATTTGAGTCTATTCAAATTAGGTATTCAATATACATTTACTTCATAATATCTGCTTAGGACCTTTGTAAGAGAAACTTTGCATCAAAATAACATATTTAGTAGTCTGTATTATAATGCACAGTACGCTATGAATTACTTTAGGTTTTGATTAATTCAAATTAGTGTAGATTTGATTAGTCAGATTATTTAATCTACCGCTATATTTTAAGATTGGAAGAAGTTTCTTTTACACAAATTCAATTGAAATTGTGTAGCAAATTTCAATTGAAAAATTGTTTCATGGATATAATCTTGTGGATGTGAACCACACATTTCAAGTGATTATTTTTTTGGAAACATTTATATTTGTAAACATTGATCAAAACTACAAATTGGTATTAGAATTTGAAGGATACTAATGAGAATAGCGATATTTTGAAATATTCTAAGTGGGAGGAATTTCAAGAATACGATATAATATGTGAAATTTTAATTTGAATAAGACAACTTTCAGGACGTGTTGGTATTGTGTGCTGGCTTGATTTACCAAATCTGTTTTAATCCATGTTACACTTTGTGTACTATTTGCTTCTTGCTGGATAAGTTGCTTGTTTAATTCCATGACTCGAGACTTGGAATGCGATGGATAGGAATACCAGGAGAGGATCAGACAGGAGTAACCAGAGAAACCAATCTGGTTTCATCCATGTAATGCTGGAACGGCTCCTTATGGTTTGGTGCATCAGATGGTTTATTATTTCATCCCGTGACTCGAGACTTGGAATGCGGTGGATAGGGAGAGCGGGAGAGGGTACGACAGGACTCGCCAGAGAAACCACTTCGGTTTCATCCATTCAATACTTTGATTGGTTCCCGGTGTTGGGCTATAATAGCGGGGGCGCCTGAGTTCATTCCCTGACTCGAGGCTGGGAATGCGGTGGATAGGGGTACAGTGGTGAGAGAAACGAAGAGAGGATCTTGCATCTTAATCTCGCTGTTGCTCGCGGTCTCCGGAACCTTGACTTTTGGGCCGCAAGGCAGATTGTGGATCATCGGATCCAGAAAGCCCAGCAGCATCTGCGCATACTACCAACAGTTGTATAAACTTTCCAACAACACGCAACGCGTCTGCTCCGTTTATACAGCAGGAATACCGTCTTCTGCCTCGCGCCATTTAATTCCATCTCAGCGTGCCACGTTGGAAGCTACCACCGGGTTTCTTTAACTCGAACCCCGGGTGCCACGTAGGAAGACACCATCGGGTTTCTCCAACTCGAACCTCGGGTGCCACGTTGGAAGCCACCATCGGGTTTCTCTAACTCGAACCTCGGGTGCCACGTTGGAAGCCAGCACCGGGTTCTCTAACTCGAACGTCGGGTGAAGCCACGACCTGGTTTCTCTGACTCGAACCTAGGTTGCCACGTTGGAAGCCACAGCGGGTTTCGGGTAGTGTGGTAAGGCCCTTACTACCGGCAGCCGGCCCCAACCTCCTGGCTATAAGAAAACCAGGTTTTCGTAGGCCTAAGTTGGCCAGCTGGAGAGAATTCCATAACCTCTACCACACTACAGGTAGTGTCTTTGGAGTGAAAAGGGAAAAATATCTCTACTAATTACAACGCAGCGGTGAGAAGTCTTTGGAAGAGTACTCCAGAAGGCGTGAAAGTACACGTGGAGTCGATATATTTCGGAAAAACCGGATTTCCAGTCGGAAGTGCCTGGTAGTTTGGAGAAGTCGATTTCTTTGCCACCTAGGATATATCAAATTGCCACTCACTCCCGTGTGGTAAAGGGGAAGCTCGGGTGCCAATAACAAGCGAGGATTCGCTGCCGCTGCCGGTCGTGTGGTTAACTCGAACATCGGGTGCCACGGTGGAAACCACCACCGGGTTTCTCTAACTCGAACATCGGGTGCCACGGTGGAAACCACCAGGTTTCTATAACTCGAACCTCAGGTGCCATGTCGGAAGCCACCACCGGGTGCACGAAGGAGGAATCGCATGCACGTGGCATATGTTTACTGGGACGCTGATGAAACTGGGATGAGTGTAAGTGCTAATAAAGGTAGCGTGTCGAAGAGGTAACCGAGCCAAACCGAGAGCAGTTGGGTACTGTAGACTCTGAGGCTATCGTAGGGGTTACTGAGAATCATGGGTTGTACTTTTACCGCTGTCGTTTACTTCGTCGAGAAGTTTTATTTCAACCAAAAAAAAAAAACAAGCCTTCAATCTTCGATACCCTTAAATTTTTTTATTTTTGATCATTATTTCCCCGTGACCAAGATTTGTATTGAATGAATGCATCTCTCTCTCGCTCGACTCGCTTCTCGACATTTTAGTCTCACCGCTCCTGAAGCGGTGAGACTAAAATTATTTTGTTCGGAAGGCTCAACAGGCTCGGGTATAAAATGAACACATAATTGGGACATAAATATTTTTATCAATCTGAGTTCACAAAATCAGACAAATCGGTTGATAATCCGACCGTTGGATTCCAAACTGCGTGGCAGAATGGACAGAAATGGCGCAGAAGCGAAGATGTGGAATAATAGCAGTGGGAGCTACAATCGCAGCACATTCGACGTACAGTACTGTGTTGGGGGAACCTTCGGCGGGGGCTAGATTATTCGACCTGCTTAGAGGGAGCAATTTAGAGGGCAAGGATGAGGAATTGCTGAGACTCGCTGCATCAAGCCAACGAGCAAGCAATAAACGAGGGTTTTAAAAAATACGCACGCGCCAGAGACAAAGTCCGCAGAAGATGAGCCCGCGACCCCTACGATCCGGAGGATAAACTCGTCTCACGTCTGTAACTGGTCATTTGGGGCTGGGCTGGGATGTGCATTCTGGGATGTTCATACGAGCAGAGGCATGTCAGAACGGGACAATATATTATTCGGTAGCTTCCGTGCCACACTTCATGGAATTGGCGTCGCACCGGAGCGTCGCCAACTCGGAATTCGCCGGAACAGGACAAACTCGGTCCGGATCCGAACCCAAAGGTAGCTGCGGGTAGCTGGAGGCGGACGCTGGGAATTTTGCGCGTCCGAGCCTGATCTGAGTCTTGCGCTCGCTCTACTTGTTCGCCTTTGCGCTTTTACTCTGTCCGATTGTTTTTTGAGCACGGAGCGGAGACGAGGAGCAGGAGGAGGAGGCGGAGGAGAACTAGTGCTGCTGCTGCTGCGGGCGGGCGGGCGGTCTGGAGCTCCGTCGTTGTTGGCGAGATTGATTGATTGATTGTCGATGAGTTGAGGTCGAGCGAGTCGAGAAGATTGGTGCTCATGGTTACTAGCTAGCGCTTGCAGACTCCTTCTGCAGCCCGCTCCTCTGACATCCGCAACCGGACTGCGCCGAAGATTGCCATCTTTCGTGTTGCCTGCGTTGCGGGTGGAAGAGGAGTGGGGACAGTGGTGTCAAACATTCGAGCTGCAAATCCAGGAACGGGTGTTAGGGGTTTAGGGAAGACGCGCAGAGGAACGGAGGGGTTTAGCGGTTCTGCGCGTGTGGAATCGGTGGTGTACTTTGGAGCGTTGTTTACATCGTTTGAAAACGGCTGAACGGAGCCGCTGGCCTCTCGCGAAACTCGTGAGTGTTTCGTTTCAATTCCTTTGGTGTGTGGGGTGATGGTTTGGACAATCTCAGGATAGCGAGAGATGATGTGTAAGTTTCTTGGAACGGAGGGAATTTTCGGCGCACAAGTTCGGTCTATCGGATTTGCCGTAACTCCGAGAAGCGGCAGGGGGTTGTAGTGTGGTTTCTTGGCTGGCTTCGCCCCATCATATTGCGCCGATCACGTAGATTTTCTGTCTGTGTTGATTATCCGCGGATTTCGAGTTTGTGGATCCCTCCAAGCTTGCCTTGAATAGTTACGCGAACACTCTCTGACCCTGAGCAAATGAAGAATCGAGATCATCGAGGTGAAGATGGAGATAGATGTCTAGCTTGACCCTCTCACTACATATCACTCCCGATAAGAATGCTTGAATTTCCGAACATAGTGGGAGGCTAATTTTTTTAAGCTGGCATGCTCGGAGTGAGCTCTATCAGTTCCTGTAATGGACAAGTGGTATCTGTGTTTCGTCTAACCTGCCCAAAAGTCATCAATCGTTATCAGAGTGTGAGAAGGAACGGTTTTGAAATGATTGCTTTCTCAAGAGTAGCCGAGAGAAGTAATGAATTTGGGGCACAGGCACGGGTTTTTTTTCCTTTAGTCAGTTCAGCTGTAGAGCACAATGAAATTGGAATTCAACTGATTCTGTACGCTGTTTCCTCAACCCTGCCCGGAGTCGTAGTTGGAAATTTGTAATGCTTGGAATCGTCGTATGAAGTCCTATGTCTTTTGGTTCGCGAGACTCGAAGGGATACATTTACCTTTTTGTGAATGGAGCATGTAGGAAATCATGAACGGATCAAGGAAGTAAAATGTTCTCCCGAGAGGTACTTGTAGACATCTCTTTGTTTGTCACACATTCAGATATAACTCACTGAGGTTGAGACACAGACCGATTTCTGGCAGACTCTCACGACCACTTCATCGGTTTTCAGACAGGTGGGGTCGATTCATGGATCAGCTGGTTCGTCAAATTGATAATGCTACTCACCAGCGTAATGATGCCTACAGTCTGGCTCAGGATGACACAACTGCACTCCCTGGCCTGGAAGTAAGAGAAGATTGTCCATCTTGTGGCCATCATGTTGGCAGGAGGACGGTATACCTTTTCTCCCATCCCTTTGTACCTTTGGACTACGTACGAAGCTTATCTGTACTGAAAATGAAGCCTGCAGTAATCTTTAATCATAAGTTAAGTGTTCGTATGTATTAAAGGTATGGCATGAGGATGAGAATAGGAATGAGGGGTAGGATAATTACTTCTGAACCCAGTCAGATGGTAGAATTGCAGGCTATGGATTGGGTTGGCCTTCCAGCTGGGGTTCGTTTTGACCCAAGCGACGAGGAACTACTGCGACATCTTGCTGCTAAGGTGGGAGTCGGGAAGGAGGTTTCACATCCTAGAATCGATGACTTTATCTCTCACCTTGACGGCAATGATGGGATTTGTCAGACTCATCCTGAGAACCTTCCTGGTGAGTGTCCATTTCCTTCACTGCATAAAGAGCTTGGTCTTTTTCATATAAGGTCTCCATCCAATACTATCCAAGTCTTCTCATATGATCAGTGCGTCTGCAGGTGTGAAGACAGACGGAAGCAGCCGTCATTTCTTCCATAAACCAGCCAAGGCCTACACAACTGGTACGAGGAAGCGTCGTAAGATCCATAACGAGGATGAAGAATCAGGAGTGGAAACACGTTGGCACAAAACTGGGAAAACGAGGCCAGTTCTTGATGGTGGTCAACATTTGGGTTGGAAGAAGATAATGGTACTTTACAGGAACCTATATTCAGGGAAAAAGAAAGCAAAGTCGGAAAAAACCAACTGGATATTGCATCAATACCATTTAGGACCTGAGGAAGAGGAGAGAGATGGAGAATTGGTTGTATGTAAAGTTTTTTTCCAAAAGCAACCTCGGCAGTGTACGGGAGGAAAGCAATATGACGGTGTATTTGCCGAAGGTAATAGTTCTAAGGCCGAAACATGTCAACCCCAGCCTAGATCTAATCGAGAAATCGTCGTTGGGGCAAGTGTTAGTGATGTGTCAAGGGGTACTCTTATTACCCCGAAAAGAGATGCACCCGTCAGACCCCAGTTCTCTCGACATAGAACAAGGGAAGCGTCTCCTCCAGTGCAAGCACCTCCAGAGTCGGTAACCACTAGGACACCAACGCAGTCTGGGAGAGGCTCTGAAATGGTAAGAGTTTGTTTTTCCTTCCCATGGAATTATGCATCCCTGCATCGTCTTTGTTTTTCACACTGCTCCTCTTCTGAACAACGCGAAGCAAGCTCTCTGGTAGTGTTGACTTGTAGATATTAGTCAGTGAATGTAGACCAGTCTTTTATTTCCTCCCGACGATATCGACTTGCCGTTGACGGCATATGCTTCTTTTGTGCATTCTAATGCTTAGGCCCTATCTGATCTGTTCGATTGCAGACTGTTATGGGAAAATCAGACCACTTAACTTCCGAGCTGACATCCACCCTCGGAATATCTCACAGGCTTCCGCAGGTGATCATCACAAGTTCTTTGTCATAGCTACAGAGTTTGAAAACGCTGGGAGTGGAAGTTAGTGTTTTAGCGGCTCCCACGATAATTATAATGGAGTGTAAGAAGGATGCATGTGACAGCGGTCGTAGACTAACGTCTTGTCTCATGGTTTATCTGAACGCCTTACGAAGAAAATATTTCTTTCTAACACCAGCATTAAGTTGATGTCGAGAAGAAGAAATGCCCTAAAACTAAGTCTTTCAAGTGGTTGCACTTGGATGATGCAGAGCTTGACTCCTTGTGTGAAGACTGGAAGTCTTCAAAGTGGTGGATTGGTGCAGTCTGTTCCTTTTGAAGAACTTTTTTCTGAGAATGGTTCGCCTGACTTGTATGAAGAAGTTTCCACTTCTGGAAAGTCGTGTCAAAATGAAAATGCCATGGCGGCGGTTGAATATCCTCCACGAGATGATTATCATGAGCAACCATATCCCGTCATGGATACAGAGGGGAATGTGATCGGCTTGACTGATTTAGAGTGCGACGAAGAGCTCCTGCCGATTTCTTGGGATTGGGATGCTAATCTTGATATCGAGGGTGGTGGTGGTGTTGACGGTCTTCTCGACACACCTTACCACTTCAATCCGCATACCGACTACTTTTATACTTTTGATGAATATCTTTTGAGTACGCCTCCAGCTATTTTCCCGGTATATTCTACTTCTGTGTTCGTTATGATTTTGATGTGTTTGTTCAAGTAAGTTTCTTATCTTAAGTTCTTGTAAAGTAGATTTTTGACAGGAAAATCATTCTTTCTACATAGGGAACTGAAATCTTTATCCACACAGTATTGCTATGGTTGCTGGATGCATGGTGTGAACCAAATCCTTATTGTCTTTGATTTCAATCACAGGACCTGAAATTAACTTCCCAGGAAGCATCGGAAGTGATGAGGAGTATTGATCCGAATGACAATAGTGACAGCCTGTCCAGCACCTAAATGCATTAGGGATTCTCAGGTGTGTACGCCAGGGAGTGTGTTTAAAGGTTAATCTACTTTTTATGGAAGTTCTAGCTGCACGGTGTGTCCCATTTCATACGCTTTTATCTGAATTGTTATTTCATTATCAAAGCTTAGAAATGTGGTTTAGAAATTTCTCGTTTTAATGTACTAGAACGGAGGAAGAAACTTATCGACCAGAGTAGGATGTGTCTTCATCGCACAACTCAATTATTAGCACCACTGGCGTTTCTACTGGAGGGATGAGTACTCTAAGAAAAGTCGAAGACGAGAGAAAAAAGTCGAAGTATAGTGGGGTCCTCTTGTTGTGGATGAGATCAGTGTTAAGGTTCTAAATCTCAGCCGAAAAGCTGGTATATTATGATAACAGATGCCCAATCACAATGACAAAAAAAGTGCAGCTGTCTTCGGCTTTAGCTGAAGATTGGTTCGTGTAAACCTAAACCCCACCAACAGAAAAACGTAAAATCTTTCCATGTTAGAGAAAGAGGTGCCTATAATCGGTTATCGAACAGAAAGTTATATCCTCTCTGGACAAAACTACTGGTTACAAAACGTTTCCCAATCTTTCTCTCAGAATTAGAGGCTCAGCTCCATGCTAAATTTGAAGTTTTTGCGGCTCTATGCTACGGACGTCTCAGTTACGGAGATAACGTCTGAGGATGATGCCTTCGATCTCCAGCGTGTCGTAGGAACAACGTTATTTAATGCGATGTTTGCTTCCTCCCATCCAATTTCTGGGAGTGCTAGTAATTACCTTTGTCACCCGTCTCAAATTTACGAAGATTTTCTTGAACTTCTTGATCTGAGGATTTTTTCTGAAATGTTCAAGTTTTTATGTGATAGTTGCTTCTAGTAGACTGTAAACCATTGCATACTCGTCTAGTTTAGATGTAAGTCGTAGAGATGGTTTAGTAAGTTGAATGAAGGATCAAGTGACTTTGCACAATCCTGGACTTCCATTCAAAATTACCTGTTTCGGAACTCTTTGTAGTTGAAATTGGGACAAGGATTTTAATCTAGAGATTTTTAGATCATAGTTATAGGGTTACATGATTAGTTACAAAATGTTATCAGTCAAAAGGCTTTATTCTTACAGCAGAATATAATTGGCTCACAGTGGGGTTGTCAACATCCCCTCTCTAAGATAATGTCGTTGTACGTATAGTTTATGGCAGCAGTAAGTTGCCATGTCTATGTACTCCGCTACAAATAGCCTACCGTCGTTTGCGATTTGCTATGTTTTGAAGCGCTGTTGTTGAGAAGTCTCTAAATGTGACCTGGATGCCTATGGTGAAAATACCATTGGGTGTTTTGGGGACTCCCAGAAACCGAATTAGGTGGGGTGGATTACGGTGTTGAGTTTTCTGGAGCCTTATTAATTGTGTCTGTGATCAAAAACATGATGTAGTTGTGCTTCTGTTGGAATTTACATAAGGCTTTGTTCTCGAACTTTTTAGAGGAGTTCGTTTGAGTAAACAAGAATCCCTCCTATGAGAATATTTTTTCGCTCGTTTAGGTAATGCGCTCGAGGTGTGAAGGCCTTGCTGCTTAGCTGAAGATCTGGCAAGTCTCACCAGATTAATGTCACGGTTAAGTTGATCTTCACGTCTATAGTGGACTAGTAGTCTTCCTCTAGTTTATTGTTCAGTTTGAAATACACGCTGAAAATACCAATTTTGACAGGTTGCTATGTCTTAAGGTTATACATTAGACTAGCAATCCCTCGTGTTGACGGGAAGAAACTTGGATGGCAGGAGTTGTTTAACCCTCTGTAAGACTCCTCTGTCTAATGCTGATGTGCATATAGGATATGATATTTGGCATGATAGGTTTGTGAATGGTGAGTTTTTCTTGTCTCATTCATGTTCTCTGTTTCCTCTTGCAGGAGGACGTTGTACTTCGTGTTCGGATCCACCGTTACCTCTTGATGTACAGATTATCTAGTATGGCGTAATGACTCGCTGTTACCATGATGCTGCATATTCTTTTTAGGCGTCCAGTTGCCGACTATACATATATGGGCAAAATGATCAGCATTCAGATTTTTTCTGTCATAATTTGAGAGAAAACTCATAAAGAGGAGCTGTCCATCTGCTGTGAGAAACTTAGACAGTTGAGCGATATCACTCGACAGAAGGTACGGATGGACTTGTTTAGGAGGAAGAGGCTTCACTTCTTTACTATAAGCCAAATATTGATGCTCGTGGAGTGATTGATAGACTTGAGAAACTGTGTAGATGCATGTTTACTTACTGACAACCAATCCAGTTTAGAATTTTACACCAAGTCAAATCTCTCCACAGCATGGGAAAAGGCGCCTTCATCATTGAGGGCAAAATCCTGTGTTCTGAAAGGGGACAAAACTGGAACAGGGTTTCGAATCAGAGGGATGGAGATTAGAGAAATTGGTTACACTAGAGGATTGATTCAAACAAAAAGAGCAATTTTTGCTGTGTTGCCGGAGCATAAAGACTAAATTGAATTGTTCATCTGTATTAAGCCCAGCTGGATGATGTTCTTTGATCCTCTTTCATGAGACACTCATCATCTATAGTATTGTAATCTTAAGGCAGACATAGATTTTAGGCAGGAAACTCAAATTTTGGTTTCTAGATGATCAATTGTGAACTTCGGGTTTCCATTGTTTCACAATGAGCTGTAAGGCCCTAAAGCCTCCCACTTATCGTATGACCGGGAGGTCATCAATTCAAATGGCTCTTGCTCACATTTTTTTCCGTTTACTCTTTGATGTATCTTAGTTTTGGTAGCGGTTATGGCACCTAACTCAAAACATTTTAGATCAGAAGTACCTATATTACTGGTTTCCTCAAATATTCCCTCATGAGTGCAGGTTCGAAACCATGGAGCTCTTTGGTTAGGAATGTTCTGTTCCGAATTTATTCAGCTGCATCTTGATGGTGATATCCAAGTCTATCTTGGCGGTTGGTCCCTCTTTTTCATAGCAAATAATGACCATCAACAGCCTGCACCTCTTCCATGTTTGAGGAAGAATTTTACTCAACGTCGTAAGTCATGTGGGAATCACGCAGCTTCTTTCACGGTTTTTGTCAATATGAGAAGAAGATATCACTCTTCTACCTGGTAAGTTGGCAGGAGGTCAGAACGGTATGTTTGGTTTGCTTTTCCCTCCAGATCCTGAAGAAACTTAAGATTGCCTGTATTAGCCCTGGGAGATTCTACTAGTATCTTTTCTACTAGCAAACGTGGAAAATTCCTAGCTGTTTTGTGACATGCCACTGGACTTCCTCGGGTTGATGCTATATTCCCAATTGGAGGTGCTTGAAGTGTTGCTTTCATGTCTTTCCAATTGTTTGAAGTCTGCTAGTCATTGAATTCTCCAGGAAGGTAAAGATGTAAAGTCGTTGGAGAAAGTACGGATCATACCTCCATCCTAATGGTTTCTAACCAGTCTTCGGTCGATTGCAACTAGAGTGCGCAATTTGCTGTCATGAATTCTCAATAGAAACTGGTGAACAGACCTAAAGAGTGTCGGGAGAAGTTGAATTCCTTTCTCTAACCTTGCAATCGGGCTAATATTTCACAAGAATCAATTCCGACTTGGCGAAGTTTACACATCAGAACTGCAGACACGACAACCGATCAGAAATAACTATATTACTGTTCTGCATAGGTATGAGTAGTCTCTCATGCTCTTTGTATTTCTGCAGTGAAACGAGGTTTGAGTTAAAGTATCGCTGCAAGGAAAGCATACCAAACGTTTATATTCCAACTTCCATTGTCATTCAAGATGATGTTCTCTGAGCTTGAATGTCACAACAAAAGCTTGTGTGGAGTAAGAAACAGCTCCAAGTAGAGTCGTACTGAGAAGCGTGAAGGGACAAAAACGCTAGCTGTACACGAGTAATTGTTGAAGGAAGTAATCAAATATTTGAACAACAACGCGGACCAGGCCTGTAGGAGATGACCACTGTTAAGCGACGATAACACTATCTAGAAAGTCGAATATATGGTGTCAGCGTGGGTCTAATGTTTAGACACACGCAGTTTAGACTCTAAACTGCTGCCAAAATGAATCGAAATTTGGTCATAATCCAAAAAGGTTACAAAAGGGATTTTCCTCACGACGTAAGTAAGCCGAATACCTTGCGCTAACACCTCTTAGCTCACTATTCGCAATTCATCATTCCCCAGAGAAGTGGGCAATGATTAAGGTGAAAGGAATTGCAGTCATCTGCCTTAGCACTCGGGCGTTCGCCACGAGATTTCGTACATATTTCGTGAGACTGAACCACGCCTGTCACATCTAGTATATGGTCCCGCGCTGTGATTTGGAATTCCCACAGGTTTTCTGCGATATGTTGACAACAAACCGAGAGCATGGCGGTTTATGGGATACGTTGCAATGATGCGTGGTGTTATCTCCAGATCTTATTTACGAATATCAAAAAATGAGTGCGTTAGAGGTAGAACAGACACTTAGACTGTGATGATGGCTCATTGAACTCTGAAGAAGAGAGACTTCTTGTAATAGCGGCCACTGGGAATATAGAATTCCAAAATCTAAGCACTTGGTGCTTGAAATTAGAACTTTGATGGAAACATTTTTTTATTCTTTTTTTAAATTGTTAAATACACCACAATTTTTACTAAACACACACACACCCTTCCAAGCAGGGGGGTAGGGTGCTGGGGATACGGCGGAAAAGAGTGTCTGCTCCCTCGGGGCGTTACGAGGCGGCAAGATCGATCCGGCCCCACCAAGGCCTCAAGGAGGGATAGATGTTGTGGGGGAGTGAGAGTGAGTAGTGTTGGGATAGAGAGCCGAGTACTGCATCACACCTCAAAAGCATGCCCGAACCAGATCCATGCCCACGTATTCTCCGCTTGTGGTACCCGGAACCGAACGATATCCAAAGGGACAAAACCGAAACCCGAAACGAACCCAAGTCGCCTATGAATTGATACCCGACTGGACCCGAATGAACTCATCTCAATTGTCATTGTCACCTATGAGAAACCTCGAGAGTAATGGACGAAGAGAACAAGTGCGATTAGCACTGTGTCAAATCAAAAAATACTCCACGACCTTTGTACAGAGTAACCCTAATTTACATTTTTAAACGTAACCCTATTTCTAAACCATATTAAGAAAAGTCCAACCCGAAACCGAACCGGACCTTTCTAGCTTGGTCCAAACCCGAACCATACCCATCGGTTCGGGCGGGTTTGGTTCGGGTTTCGGGTATGGGTACCCGATGCAGTAATCTGATAGAGAGGTGTGGTGTGTTGTGTATTTAATAAAAAGTGTGGTGTATTTAACAATTTTTGTTTTTATATGTTACTATTTTCGTTAGGCGCAAATTCTCATTGGATTTTGTTTTTGGTATGGATTTGCTACTTGGAGTTTTGATACTCAGAAGTGAACACTATCTCGTGGTTACTGATGGCTCCAATTGACTAAATTACAGCTAATGGGAGAAAGTATATCTGTAGGATGCGGAGAATATTATCACTTTGAGCATATATTGTGACGAATCTTGGTAGTGAAAATAAGTTATATTGATTCTTCGATTAGTTTCCGTGGTTACCCACTTTAAAGACAATGGAGAACTATGTTCAGAAACATTACTATATTGCCTGCTTCTTGGATTTCAAATTATTGTGTTTGAATATGAGAGGTTCCTACCGCTTATGTTTTCCTGCAGTGCTTCGAATACAATTTGATTGGAAAATGAAAAAACATTTAAATACAAAGTTATGACGGTTTTGGGATTCTAAATGTCTTGAAAGTTAGCATTTGTTATTCGAGGTAGGATGTTATAGGGATGTGCAATTGTATATATGAGCAGAAAATTTGGAGTATTATGTGATACTTCTGTTTGTTTTGTGTTGTCTAAGTGTTTTGTTATAGATACTTGTCTTTTAATTCTTGCCTCAAACAGTTATGTAGAGCTTTTTACACAAACATTATGACTAGACCATTTGATATAGTCATGTGTATACATCCATTACATCAGAAGTATCACTTTGAGATTCATTCAAATTAAGTTCATAGTTTTATTGATATTTCTTGATGTAACTACAAAATCATGTGATCAATTAGAATCCCAATCATGTTATAATTTAGAGCTTTGTAACATCATACATCTTAAATCTACACTTACTTATTTTGTAGCTCATGCATTTACTCCATGAAATATATTTTTTTTAAATGATTGATTTGATATTATGTCTACATTAGAATGTTATTTTCTTATTTTCAATTGAATAAATATTTATTTAAATATTTGTTCTCTTGTAATTATAGAGATTTGAGAGATTTTTGGTAACATTGTTATAAAAAGTATATAAGTATAATATTGAATTACTAAGTATGAAGAGTTTGTACCTTATGATGTAAAAAAGCCTTTGCTAGACTCAACCACATGATAGTTTCAATCTTGTTGGATGAATTATTGATACATGTTGGAGATTACATCAAAGCTACATAACTCTTATCTTACTTTTGTAAGTTATGTATTTCTTTCTTGCATTTATTTACAAATAATGAATGGATTCAAAACATATGGCCTTTATACCATATGTTTAATCATGTTTATAATATTGAATTTATATAAGATTCATGCCCATTTTAAATTCTGAATTAAATGATACTTTCAAAAGACACATATATTTCTTTTAGTATACATCAACATTTGAAAAATGTCAGAAATTACCTTGTATTCTCAATCATCGTGTACAAGGAAAAACAATAATCAAGAAGCTTTACTTCATCTCCATAGCCAGCGTGATTACAAGTACTCTCTTGAAGCGATTTCGTAAAAATGAGCTAGAAGTTTTGAGATGAGTTTCGATCACTCTCCTCATAGAGTAGAAATCCTAACTACAACTATATATTGTTTGAAAACTCAAGTGCAACTCTAGCAATTTGACTAGGTCAATCATCTTCTCTAACATTGCTTCCCAAAGAAAATTGTATTCGACGTGATTAACTCTACGATCCATAATTTGATTAGTGATAAGATGAATGACAATTCAACTATAACAATGAAGACTAACCATATATGTTTTTGATCCCATATTTTGTAATAAGCTTGTTCAATTAAATTGCATCCTTTGTAGATTACACTGCTGTCATATAATTCGCTTTTGTTGTTGACTAAAAAAAATGCATCTTTGCAAAGTAGATATCAAACAAATGCATTCACCTCGAGTGTGAAGACATATTCTTTTGTAGACTTTTCTTGTTTTAATTTTGTCCATGATAAGCATCTACAAAGTCTATCAAGAATTTGGATTTTTCTAAATTATCATCACATAATAATTCCACATAATTTGAATTTTTTAGGTATCTAAGAATTCAAATAACGGCCTCCCAACGTATCTTATTTGGATTGCACATGTATATATTTACTTTGATTATAGCTCTGGTCTAATACAAATCATCAAGTAGATAAATCTTAATACTCCCTTATCATAAAGAATTTTGTACATGACATCTTTATAGTCATCTGAAATAGTACATTGAACATTAAAAAGCTTGGTATGAGTTGACAATGAGACATTCACGGCTTTACATGTGTCATGTTGAATATTGCAAGCACTTGCTCAATGTACTTGATTTAATTTAATCAAAGCTTGATTGATATTTTCCTTGATATCCATGCCAATAATCTTCTTCGTTTTGACTAGATTTTTCATCCGAAACTCATCATCCAATTGAGCTTTGAACTTATCGATATTGAATTATTTTTTAGCAAGAATAAACATATCATCATTAAACATTAGGATGAGATAATCAAAAGTGGAATTGCTAACAAGTTTCATATAAACACATTGATTATAGATGCTCCGTGCAAATCCAAGTGCTTCTATACATTCATCAAAACACTTATTTCATTGTTGAGAGATTGCTTCAATTTGTACAAAGATTTAAGTAGTCTACACATCCATATCTCTTTGCTATTTTAAGAAAATACTTGAAATTGTCTCATTTAGATTATCTCCACCAATGTCTTATGCTGAAAGGCTATAACAACATCCATTTGATCTAAAACACGTCATCATTGCATAAATCAGCCGAATTGTAGATTGTTTAGCTATTGAAAAAACACCCCATTGTAATCCAAATCATTTTCTCGTGTGTATCTTATGGCTACTAGACTTTCTTTATGAAGTTTTTTATACTCCTCTTTTGAATCATCTTTCAACTTTTACACCCATTTGCAATTCACAATAGATTGATTTTCAAGATGTTACACCAGTTCAATTGTCTCATTGTACTCAAGTAATTGCATCTTTGTTAATGTCAACATTTCATTCAAACTTGGCTTCACAAGCTCAAGTTTCATTATACAAAGAAGTTGAGACTTCTTCTAACATCAAACCATCATCATTTTTTTGCTATGTAACAATATCATTATCTTCAAGCAAAGAAAATTTGACCCATATTTCATATCTTTCAAAAGCTCTCCTAAATCTACTTGAAAATCTTATAGAAGTTGTTTCAGCTTGATCTTGATCTTCTAGGGCTATAATCAAGAGTTCAACAACGATTGCTTGCTTCTTGAGTTGCTCCTCATAGGATTTTCTACTTGTGACATGCTATTAAATATATAATAACTAATCTTTCTCATTCAATAGTATCGGGAAGAAAAATTTGTCCATGTTAGTAGCAGAAGTGTAAACATTTTTTCCCTTTTTTTTATTACTTTTGGTTCATTGAAAATAAAATTCTACCAACAATTATCTCACAAGTTACGGGATTTTATAATCTATAAGCTTTCCAATGGTAGCATATCCAAGAAAATTTCATTTAATAGCTTCAACATGGAACTATTTTTTTTCCAAGTGAAAAAATATGAATCACATCTAAAGACTCTTAATTCATTCTAATTAGCCATCCGTGTGTGACTTAGCATACACTATGATAAGAAATCAATTGTAGTTGAAATATAAATATTTATCAAATAAACCATAGTATTGATGGTTTAAGTCCAAATTTGTATAGTATACGAGGTTGACTCAACATACTCTACAATTTTTCAACACCGTCCTATTGAGTAGATCAGCAAAGTCATTTTGCTTTGAAGTGTAAATAGTTGTGAAATGACGAGTACTCTACTCGTCTTTACAATACCTTCCAAGCTAATTGAAACGATATTTTCCGTCATTATTAGAATTTTTACCTCTCCATTTTGAACTTTTTCACTTTATTCTCACTCTAAATCTTCACTCGTGCACTTCAACTATTAAACGTTGCAAAGACTTGAAATTTTTTGTGAGAAAATAGTACCATGTAAACCTTAAATAATCATATATAAAAAATGAATAATAAATTTTTTCAAAAAATGATTCTACATCATATATATATATATATATCTATATGTTTATTTATTCCGTTGTATCTAACATTCTCAATTATATCAAGTGCTTCATCATCTTAGGTATAAATCTAACTTTAATCATAATACATATGGCTCCGTCAAACATATCCAATTTATTCAATTTTACAATGTTTAAGTGCTCTCCGAACCGTACGGGATAGTCGCCCATCACACGGCTCTCTAACCTGACTTTCTTCGGAGCTTCTTCAAACCCGGAAAAATTATTATTGCCCATGAAAAATGGTACACTTATGTAGAAAATGAACAAAAAAAACTCTGGAATGTAACAAATGTGGCACTATCAAGAATCCTAAAATAGCCTTGATGATATGCAGAATGCACAATCATACCATCATATAGTTTAATCATCCATAGAAGAATCTTCAATTTAATGTAATTTTTAAATCATTTTATTTTTATTATTTCATAAAAGAAAATTCTTAAAACATATATATGATCTGATTGATAGCTTCATGTTTATTTTGTTTGTTACTATCAATTTTCATACACATTTGATATTTAAAGAACCAAATTATTATTTTTCATGCCAATGCTATGTCATTTACAAAGCTCATTTGATATCTAAGGTATTAGTAGTACCTTACATATTTTTTTGCAGTGATTATTTAGTAAAGAATAAGATATCTCATTACACATAATAATTTGAAAACAGTACAACTTTAGACTCTTTTATAGGCATGGACTTGTGAGCCATTAGATCAAGAGTTGCACCAATGAAATTTGAAAGTAACACTTGCTATCAAGTAGCAGCAGATAATAAGAAACTTTGAGAAGTTTGCTTACACCCTTCATCCAAAATCAAAAAAGCCACCGGAGAAAATGCAGTTGGCTTTATGACTCCTGCATCTTCATTTGACTCCAACTTGTCAATCATTGGTGGAATGTGATCCTTTCATAAAGTTGGAAAACTGGATTCGTCAAGTACAAAGTACCAGCCATAGACGTCAGTTTGAAGTCAAGGTCTCACATCTCGTCTATTTTTCGATGTTTGTGACTTCAGTTTCAATACCCATAACAATTACCATTAGCACACTCTTTGCAAGCCCCTTCGTTTGTCTCCATCGATGTAGTTACTGAGAAAGGAAGGAAGAAACGTAACATGTTCGAAGAAGAAAAAGTCTTCTTGTTTAGATGTTAATTTGCTCCTGCCGATGATCACCAGGCAAGCAGAGAAGAGAAGCAAAGCTTCAACAATCTAATTTAGTAACTATATTATGGAACTTTTCTTATGCAGATAATGGAAGATATTATGATAATGACAAAATCGACGACATAGAACCAACACTCTTCTATAAAGTGCTTCTTCAGGTTATTGGTCCTTGGATTCCGTTCGATCAACACAAAAATAAAAATTGAGATGACATCACATATGATTTATGGAATTGACTTATTTGAGGTAATTGTTGAGAAGGTAAATGAAACTATAGATGGCAATAATGATTATAGCTTTATGTTGTTGTAAGGAGGATTTTCAACTTTTTGAAGCAAAGTATTCAGTCTGGAATTCACTTCACCTTACTTTCATATGAGAATAACCTGATATGACGAGTATCAGTCAAGATACGTCTCCAGACTTAGACTTGAAATTTTTCGTTGAGCATGAAACATCTACTTTCTTCATTAGGTGGAGCACAAAGTAACTATGTATGCATAGCTCAATGGTGGAAGCATGTCAACCTCCTATTTATTAGGTTGTATTTGTGAAGAAATAAAATAATAATCAGTTATCCAATTATTGTATATGGAGTATCATGATTAAGTGCCATGGGGCACATGATCATAAACTTCAGGAAAATATTTTCACGGATAAAAAGATGATAAACAGATAAAATTAGAATAACGGGATAATTTTTGAAATAAAAAATAAAGATACTAAGAAAAATTTTCAAAATTAAAAGAAGATTACATGAGTTAGACATTAAATTCTAGATGAGATAATCCGTATTTTGTGAAGTGTAAAATTGTTATATTATGTTGATATTATATATGTTTAAACTTCTAGTTACTTCAACGTTACAGAACCATCTACAGGAAGAGAGTTAGTGTTCTATCTCTCTTCTTGGAAGAGAAAATGCGCATATATTTATTCCCAATGGTATAAAGCAGGTCTATGTTCCTCGTCCATCTAAGTTTTGTTGAATGCTTTAGAAGAATTCACGTGTGATATCAGAAATATTGCAAAAACCGCCATTTATGTCTTCTACTGAAAGAAATGTTTGAATGTTTGATCTCCGAAATCTAACGTACCTGCCTGCAATTGTCGACTGTTCGGAAGCATTAAGAATCTCGAGGAGAAGCTCACAGATATGAGCAATAAAAATACATTTGCAGAGAACAACGAAACGTAATAGCCAACAAGGAACCTACGGAGAAAAGGCAATGTCTTCGTGATCTGACCAGATCCCAGCCCAGAGCCACTGAGAGAACTGGAAGAGGCCTGTGATGTAACTTCATAAATGCACTTGCTGAAAGCTGTGGAAGAAAGCCGAATCTTAAATATCTGGATCTGTGATTCGACGTTGTACATGACACCCTCTTGTGACTTCACAGCGTTGCAAGCGACTTTGGCAGGGCACATGTTGGGCAGCAGTGGAGCTCCTCAATACAGTAGCAAAAGCTACGTGTGAGCTCCTGTACGGGGTAGACAAAAAGGTCGTGGCGATTGCATGCCCATGATGACGAGCACGACTGGATTTTCGTTGCATTTTTCTTATCGGATTATTGGGGAGAGATTTCTTGAGGATTCTACTGGAACACCGGATAGCCTTCAAAGGGCACTGGTCTCCTTCCATAACTTTGCCAAGCGAGGCTTCGGTGGAAAAAAGGGCGCTCTGCAAATGCGGATGATTTGTGATTGTTCTTGGTAGATGCTTCTGACAGGAATCAGAGAAGCGCTCGAGCTCGAGCCGATAATTACGAGACAGCGTTTGTGATCCGCACTTGAGAAATGTCGAGAGAAAAGTAAAGAAACGAGAGGCAATTTCCTCCCGTCGTCTCCGGCGCATGCCAACTGCACATGCCATCAAGAAACGGAAGAAATGGCAGGATCACGGCGACAGGAGGAATGCAGGCGGAGAGGAAGTCGGTCAGAAGGCTGAATCTTGAAGTTTAAGAAACAAGGAAGAGTGAGCAGGATCGCGGAGAGGAACGGGAGCAACTGGAAGTAAAGATGGCGTACGCACAGGCAGCAGCGGGTCTGGTAGGGGCAGGGGCAGGCGCAGCAGAAGCCAGGAAGATTGGAGCGATTCTTTCATCTACTTCTGGGAGACCTGGAATGCGGCTCGTGCTGTCGCGACTTGCCACCACCTTGAGCCTGCGTTCCACAAACGCTCTGTCGGCCCCCATTTGCTCCGTCGGGCGGTCTCGAAGGGCCAAGAAACTTGAGGGCTTTCGAGTAATTAATTGTGCTTCCCCGGTGAATCAGATTGGGTTGAACAATGTCCACGGCGTCGTCACTTCCGCTGGCGGCCTGGATGCTGATTCCATCGCGGACGAGGAGGAAAGATCAGCAGAGGCCAAGATTTTAAACAAAACCCATCCTTCGATTTCTTCTTTCATGGCCGATGTAACCAATTTGGTGAGGTTGGTGGATTCGAGAGACATTATCGAGCTAGAAATGAAGCACAAGGATTACGAACTCGTCATAAGGAAGAAGGAGGCGCTGCCACCACCGCCACCTCCTCCATCATCGATTCCTGGGCCGCATGTCATGGCGCACACTTCTTACCCAGAGTACCTTGCCCCACCTGCTGCACCTCAAGGCCCTGCCTGGGCCGATGCAACTCCTGCTCCCGAATCCGCTTCTGAAACTCCACAAGTGGCTCCGGCCTCGCTGTATCCCCCTATGCTGTCGCCCATGGCCGGAACCTTCTATAGAAGTCCTGCACCTGGTGAGCCAGCGTTCGTCCAGGTGGGCGACAAAATCACCAAGGGCCAGGTTATTTGCATTGTCGAAGCTATGAAGCTTATGAATGAGATCGAGGCGGATCAGTCGGGAACCATCTTGGAAATCGTAGCTGAAGATGGCAAGCCCGTCTCGATCGAATCACCTCTGTACATTATAAAGCCATGAGGACTGGCGGGAAGCGAACATGACAACCCGGCTGGTCACCGGAACTCTTCTGCATCTCTGAGAGCTCAAGGGAGGAGGTCGGTACTCTCATATATTTTAAGCAAAGCGATTCATAGCCATAGCAGCTGGAGTGGAATCTAGCATCTGCCTCAGCGAACTAGGTCAATAGGGCCATCTGTGAAGGGATTGATAAGTATGTGTACGTGATTGGGAGAACTGCAGCCCTGTCGTGTCTCTGGACTCCTCCATGTTTCATCGAATTTTAGGTCTCATGTGTCAGGCAGGAGTCCTAAAAATGGATTCCTCGCATGTTTCGAATCACGACAACATCAAGGAGTCCGGTTCCATTTTAGATCGTTCTTGTCCCATGCTTCTCTTTTGCCCTCCATTTCCGAATGCCAATCCAGTGAGTGTTTGTCTTATCGCCCTCCCCTTTCATTTCACGCTTTCCGGAAATCCGACGTTTGCATCAGAAGCACGGGACGATGAATGTCTATCTGTCATCTGCTGCTGGATCTCTCCAGTACTTGAACAGTATCTTCTGACTACACTGCGAAACACATTTTATCTTCAGGCAAATCTTGACTCCCTCACGGGCCAAATGCACACAGCACACATTGTCGAGCAGTGGCAAATGTTAACCTTTTACGTGTTGTTAGAACAGAACGCATCGGAATCACATTTTAACGTGTAATCTCCAAATCGGATGCAGTACATATAATGAGAACCCGAATGCAGTCCCTGATTACAATACTCTTAAATCTACAATTCTAATTGTCATTAGTATACTCTCACTGATTTGAACCCGGAATCGGAGCCACTATTAATATCTAAAGAGTTGTGTTTATTGTAGTGGGATAATTGGATTGGATGTTTTACTTACCCATGCATGTCTCATAATATAATATTGTGTATATATAATCAGAACATGACATTGGAATTCTGGATGAATTATAAGTTCATGGAACATAATATCACATATTGAATTGAAATTGCATATAGATTATAAATGTCTATTTCACATCAATTGATGATTTTTTTCTAATTTAATTTAAATTACAAGATAGAATTTTGAAATTAGTAAATTTAATAATAATAATATTAAATTATTATTATGATATGTATATGATGATGATATATTTTAAAAATGATATCAAAAAACACAACAATAAATAACAAAATAATATGTCAAGTAATATAAAATTCAAATAACATATTTGAGTGCTATGTAATGTTATTGTACAACATTGATTGTTGTTATTGAAAACTAATACTTTTCAATAATAGTGAATAATGTATAGTCCTATAACACGGAGTAAATTGTCTTATGAGATCTCATGATAACATAAATTATTTATTGGGACTTATCAAGTTTTGTTTCAACCTTTTGAATAACACCGATAACACAATGTAATCAAGTTCTAAAATCAAGATTTGTTCGTTTTTTGTTTTATAGTATGGGATTATATCGATTACACACTGTAATCAAGTTTTAAAACCAGTATTTGTTCGTGTTTTGTTTTAACCTTTGGGATTTGACCAATGACACACTACAATGAAGTTCTAAAACCGAGATTTGTTCATAAGAGTGATGAACAACAATTCTAGCCCTCGAGCATGTACTCTCTCGTCACAAGTGACGTACTCTGAGGATGCAGGGGCCTCTTCTGGCACAATGCCGCGAGATTGAACGACTCCTTGAACTCCTCGGGTTCTTTGAAGGATCTACCCGTCACAACTGACGTACTTTAGGGATGCAGGGGCCTCTTCTCGCACAATGCCGCGAGATTGAACGCCTCCTTGAACTCCTCGGGTTCTTTGAAGGATCTACCCGGATCCATGTTTGCAGCAGCACTACGACACGAAGCACCTTCTCTTCCAACATGTTGTGCAGCTAGTAACAAGCATCTGGCTTACGGAGACTGTCCCCGCTATCCACGATGTAGATCAATCAGAATTGCTAGCATCACAGTTGATTGATAATAGAACATGGATGACATGCGTAAACAATGGGATTCTATTGGGTAAAAAGACATATCACACTAAACAATATGTGTTACAATATGATACCATCAAGTAATCATCTCAATAATATGATATTGTTGCATTTGACTCTCTGGTAATAAGACATGTTGAAATTTTAAATTCTTTTTTGGTCGCGTCAAGTGATCTAATTCGACGTGTTCATCAATGGTAGCTACTTTGAAGGAGTCGTAGGTCCTAGCACGGTCACAATTGAAAACAAAATATATTTTCCATCATCATTGACTTACTTAGAGATTGCATAGCCTTGCTTGAAACTTCTAAAATATAAACAAGTATATAATTTCCTGTAAAAAATATCATTGAGTATGTTATTTGAAAAAAAAATTATTGCAAAATAATCAAACGCAGAAGATCAACTGAAAATTAAGCTAAATAATATCAATTTGACTTACAAAATGTGCTTTTGATATTTTTTCACTTAATTTAAAATATTGATATTAAAATTTCAATAATTTAATAGAATGAAAATGTATGATATTATTGATTTATATTCAGAAACTTCAGCTTAAATTATTTTTTTTATCTGAAATTTTCTATCAATTATCAAATAATTCACCATAAATTAAAAAATTTATGAATATTCATATGAATAAAAAAGAATTATAATATGCACTAATTTTATGAAATTTAGTCAAATTATGCTTCATTGAAACTTTGAAAATTTTAAAAATATTGAATTAATTTCTCATTGCTTATCGAAATTTGAATAAATTCTAGATTGAATATTTGAAAATGTAGATATTTTTTTTTTTTTTTTAATATTTCAAGATTTATCAACTAAAAGTGTCACTATGATATATATTTATTTTAAAAAAATGAAATAAATTTCTTCTTGTATAAAGTACAAAAAGTGAAAAGTGTCACTATTATATATAAGTATTAGAATTGAAAATTGATTTAATTTAAATTTTTTTACCAAAATTTAAGGCTTTAAAACTTAAAACATATAATATAAATTGTGACAACAACTTTGTAAATTGAACTAATAACTTTGAAATTTGAGTTATTTGTACAATGTATGTTTTATTTGTATATATTTTAAAAAAACAAAATTAGGTTGAAATTCAATCCATTTTAAGAGATTGAATATAATAACTCATTTAAATAAAATTATTGTTTTTATTTGAATATCCGATAGTTAGCTAAATAATCTACTAATCATGAGCAATTGATTTATCTTGTTATATCTTCTATCTTTAGTTATTTTGTATAAATTTAGGCTATTGATTATAAAAGAAGGTAAGTAGACCAAAAATTCAAAATTTTTTACATTCAAATATTTCAGATCACCTTCATTTGATGATTCCAACATAGTAACATATTAGAATCATGCCAAATTCATTTTGAGCTTCAAAAAGCCATATCTTTACATTTGAAAATAATGTAACCTAACCACACTTTTCCATCTTTAGAACTCAAAATTGCTCCTGAAGTAATAATTGCGTGAGTTTCTATCCCTTCAACCTTGATTGTCCTGATTGTGTTGCCGACCCTAAACATACTTCAGATGCAAATATCGGTAATTGACCTATGTACTCAATGTGCTATCTATGTATTATGCTTGCACACACCTATCTAGCTTTAACATAAGTGATGAGAAGGTACTAATTCCTCTTTGGATAAATCTCTGTTTCTACTGTAAACACTGAACAATTTTGCTACGAGCAATTGGCAAGAGATTTGGATCACACCAATTTATACTGTCATGGAATAATTCCATTATCGGATGTCCCTTCGGGGACGTCCGATAATATTACTAATGCTTGTTATAGATCCAAATAATAATTATTTAAATTTTTATATAGACATCTATTGTCTCAGCTAATGCTTATTGAAATTCGTTTTCTGCGTTACTTTACTAATGAATAAAAAGAAATAACGACAAACGCGATGCATTTAAAATCTCCACGTAAAGTTGTGCACAATCTAAACAGAAAGATCTACACATGTCGTAACAAAGCACCACCTCTAGGAAAAAAGTCATAATTTTGCAGTCTTGAAGCCAAGACTTTATTTAGTCTTGGCATCAAGTTTTTGCAGCTCCTCCTATTGCCAATTGTACTGCACATCATTTTTTTAATGCCTCGATTTCGTACTTCAAATGTCACAATGGTTTGTCCTAGACGTCCAGCTCAAGCAAAGATGGTGTCTCGGCCCAGTAGTTCTGGTAATATGGATCGTATTATTGGAGCCCCATCCCGATTCCTGACATCCTTCGAGGGAGGGAGAGCCTTCTGTGCAAATGGATGACGTTCGGGAAATCCCGCGCGAAGACTCAGGGGCTTGGGCTTACATCACAAGGCAAAGCGACGGAGTCTCGGACAGATCAGGTCGGCCCCGACAGATGGTTCGGCGCTCGAGACCCCACGTCGCGACGAGACCGACCTCCTCGGTGCAAAGAGCGCTCTCGCGGGACGAGTTATTGTGACTGGGAAAGAAAGCGTCGCAGCGTTGCGCGTTCGGACTTCCCGGTCGCAGTTACCGAGACAGGATCTCCGGCGGGAGGCGACGATTGCGAGTGTGAGATCGAGTGGCAAGTTGATTCCTAGGGCATCGTCCCGAACTTCGATCCGCAGGGTCGCCAGCGATCGGAGCCCTGAATCCCTTCCCTTGGCGAGAGAGAGGAGGGAAATCGATTTGGCCGAGCAGCAGGCGAAAGCATCGAGCGATTCGTGTCGGGGCGCAAGAATGGCAGCTCTTTCGGTGCAGATGGGCGCTCTGGCTGGCAGCGGAGTCACTCTGAGAAGCTCTGTGTATGGATCGAAGCTCAGCGGGCGTAAGATTCAAGGAATTTCTGCGTCGAGGATTGCGAGCAGGCCGCGCGCGGTGCGCATGGGATTGACCGAGAGTGGCCCTTCCGTCGCCGTGGTGGGTGTGACCGGTGCAGTGGGACAGGAGTTTCTGGCCGTGCTCTCGGAACGCAACTTCCCTTACAGCAAGTTGAAGCTTCTGGCGAGCAAGAGATCAGCCGGCAAGCACATTTCGTTCGAGGGTCGCGATTACGAGATTGAGGAGCTCACCAAAGAAAGTTTCGAGGGGATAGACATTTCCCTCTTCAGTGCCGGGGGTTCCATCAGTAAGGAGTATGGACCTCTGGCAGCAGAAATGGGATCCATCGTGGTCGACAACAGCTCTGCATTCCGAATGGTCGACGGAGTGCCGCTCATTGTTCCGGAGGTCAATGCCGATGCAATGGCTCACATAAAGCTCAGTAACAAGAAAGGAGCTATAATTGCGAACCCGAATTGTTCTACCATTATCTGCCTGATGGCCGCTACTCCTCTTCATCGCCACGCGAAGGTCAAGAGAATGGTCGTCAGTACGTATCAAGCGGCTAGCGGAGCTGGTGCCGCTGCCATGGCCGAGCTCGAGCAACAAACCCGCGAGGTCCTGGATGGACAAGAGCCGACGTGCAACATTTTCAATCGCCAGTACGCCTTCAACCTCTTCTCTCACAACTCGGCGGTGACGGGAAATGGATATAACGAGGAAGAGATGAAACTTGTCAAAGAAACCCGGAAGATTTGGAACGACCCGGAGGTTTTGGTGACAGCGACCTGCATCCGAGTGCCTGTGATGAGGGCCCACGCCGAATCCATCAATCTGCAGTTCGAGAGAGAACTGGATGAGAATACCGCCAGGGAGATTCTTTCCAAAGCAGAAGGTGTCGTCGTGGTCGATGATCGTTCGGGCAATAATTTTCCCACTCCTCTCGAGGTATCCAGCAAGGACGACGTGGCTGTCGGAAGAATCAGGAAGGATATTTCTCAGAAGGGCAACTTCGGACTCGACATTTTTGTCTGTGGAGACCAAATACGCAAAGGGGCAGCTCTGAATGCAGTACAGATCGCCGAGAAGCTTTTATAATTCTTAAACTTTCCGAAGCGTCTGTCACTCAGTTGGGTGCCTATGACGGGAACACGATTCGCGTATATCAGTGAACTGGGATTTAGAGACGTGATACTCTCGTAGATATTTGAGTGTCACTCGGTGGTCTCCAACTAAAGAAATCGTGGCTTATGGGAGATGGATTTCTAAGTGTGCCGGCTGCTTTCTTGTTGTTCAGCTTGTTTCATATCAGGGCATCGGCTTTGATCCCCTTGTATTTCGTGCAGCAGCAACGAATTATGGAGGATATAATTTTGTAGGAACTCTTGGCGCATTGCCAAGTACCTAGGTCACGCACATTTAAATCCTGTAATGACTCAACACATGTTTGGCACTTTGCCACCGCTCTGTCTGGAGTTGAGGGTTGGGTGTTGTTTGTTTTTGACCTGGCTGTACCTTTCCGGCGTGGGGTATTTGTGTCATCTTGATCGTCTGCATCTGAATCATGCAGCATGACATGATCGAGATCAGAACGGCGATGAGTGCATCGTATGGTGGGTCATGATGCACCGTTCCATACACTAATCTGCACAACAATTGCGTCAATGGCATTTGCATGGCTGTCGTGTCTCGGTGAATTGCCTTTCAAGGAAGCAGGTATAATGAAAGCGGATAGATGGCCTTGATAGCATAGGCATACTCCTGCACATGTGCCAATGAAGTGATTTGGTTGTCCACGTGTGGACCAGGAAGTCAACCCAAGATCGGTCCATAGTTGCATTCATGAGGTTACGTGAATTTCACCTGGAGCTTTGTGTCTTCATACATAATCGTTCGCGGTCTCTGTGTGCTCTACAACGAGTCTTTCTCAATAATCGAGCAGACTGAAGTAGTAGGTGAAGGGATGTGGTGCCGACATTCCAACCTGCGCGTCAAGATGTTAAGGCCTTTAACGATGGACAGATGCTGGACGGAGCTACATTCGCTCGATGGTCTGCCGCTAGTGCATCGTTGCTTCGACAGTAATCAACGCAGGACTGAATACCAATTGGGCTTCAAATGTCGCACTGCACGAAAACTGCACTCTGTCATAACGTACTCCGAGGAGGTGAAACAAAGCATAATCGTCGATCGTTAGAGCCTTGAAACTTTCTTTGATTGCTGAAATTAAGTGGTTAAAGGTTGGAAGCAGAGCGGAGTAGCAGATTCATATCTACAACTCCGGTTCAGAAGTTGGCCCAATTGCATGTGTAAACCAGGAGCTCTGGAGATACTTCTGTCCACAGTCTACAGACTCAATTCTGGTCCGAATGCTGTATGTTGGACACCATGCAGTCGTGAATGAGGCCGGAAAGAAATGGATATTCGGCCCAAAGTCGGAATGGAAATCTTCCTCTGTCCCTCTCAAGCTTCAAATGTTTTAGCTCTGGTGAATACAGAGAAGAAGGATGGAGAATCATGCTCAGCATGTTAGATACATCGTCAGTGTTATAATCACGCAGATCTTGTAGTTAGACCCTACTCAACATGCATACTCTTCAGCAATTACAATGCCGCGTCACTAAATAGATGATGGGGTTTGAGAGGTGACTTCAAACTAGACGCAAGGTTACGATGAAATGGGATGCACATTTGGAGCTTCACACCAAGTGGGGAGCAGAATCAGAAGTTGAAGTACACATCTGATATCAGTGTACGCCAATTCACCCCTATTTGACACTACTTGAACTTGTCCTATTTTGCTCTACTTACTTCAGTTAGTGTTTACTACCCTAAATGTACTCCAAGTAGAGATAGAGTGTAGAGGTCATGATTTCTCCATTATTTGATTGGTAAGTTATCATTTTCTAGCAGGAAGAGAAAGTCCATGTTCAAAGTCTAGCATTACAACCCATTACCATTTGACAATGGCTAGTCTCGGAACAAGAGACTTTTGAGCTTTTGACCTTGTTACATTCAACCATGGTACAATAAATCTCATTTGAGTATCTGTAAAGTAAGTAATCTGAAGTGAATATTTCGTAGATGGAAATATATTGGAAAACCAACTATGAACCTATCTATCTATCATGAGGTCTTATTGCAACTTGTTAGTTGCACCACGATCACATAAACCTGAAATTATCAAGGTTTGTATAGTATACTTTCTCAGGTAAAAATCTAAGAATATATGATATTTGAAAGTTAAGAACTCCAAGTTGGAAGTAGGCCAGTACAAGGTGAGATATCTACATTTTGATAATCGCGGAGATTATATTTTTTAGAGGTTTATAAGTTATGCAAACTTACAAGAATCACACATAATCTCATTATGATTTATACTCCCCAAGAGATTGATGTTGTTATGACTTTATACCATACAATGTTGGACTTACATACTATACTAAACAAATCTACTACACTATATAAGTTTTTTGATGAGATTGTTATCTTTGCAATGATCAGGTAATTTTTTTTATCTTTCAATTTAAATTTAAGTCACAAACCTATGATTAATGATAGATGTTTGAAAATATTTGATCTTCAAATTATTCTCTCGATTCTAAAGATATCATGACCAAATTGTATCTTGTATATAAGAAGTGTTATTTTCTTGACTATGCAAATAATGTTAATGATTTTAGGCTATATGATGCTATATTTTCTAAAATGATTGTTAGTATTAAGTTTTATCTCTAAAAAAATTGATATCAATAAATATATATAAAGATGTATCTTAGTTTTTCCGCACGGACAAGTATAGTTTTACTCATATATGTTATTGAAGATGAGATTCATCATTATAAATTTAATAAAATGACACAAGGAAAAAGTTTGATTTAGATGAAAGAAACTACTAAACAGCAAAAGACAACTACTTTTTTTTGAAAATATGGTTTTGATGATAGAGATCAACAAATTTATTTATTATCATCAAATCAAATGATACGCAAGGTATAATTTATGTGCTAGTTCACTCAGTTTTTAGGTCATGATATCAAAACAAAGTTTGATGATGATAATGCATTTATCTTGAAATGCGTGTAATATGCAATTTTATGTTTTGTCTAGCAAAAAAAAGGAATATAATATAAATGTTTCAAAACAAATCCATCAAAATTTTTGAAAAAAAATATTATAATTATTTTATAAAAAATAAATGAAATTTTGCTGTAGACAGGAATATCGATATCAAGATATGAAATACAGTAAACATGCAAAGAATCGATCTGTGGTATTTAATAAATAGATGTAGAAGTTGAAATAGAGTCCATGATAGAACAAAAAAATATTTCTAAAATCAAATGTAGATTTTTTACAAATAAACATTCAATTTTATTTTTTTCATGTCACATCTCTATCGATTTTTAGAATTGAATGTTTACATGAAACAATCTGTTGAATTTGAACCTAATTGTTTATAGATAGATTATTGAAAACAGTCTCACAAATATTGCTCACTGCAAATTTTAATGATTTCATTAATCTTTTATATATAAGTAAATTATTATTATTTGACTCCTAACGTTTATAATGTGTATAAGAAGTTTTTTTTACATATTAGCAATATGATCTTGATAGATCCAAAAATCTGAATCTAAAATAAAAGATACTCTCAAATCAAACATAATATTAGATTTGAATATTTACAAAGATTTTAAATAATTCTTGAAACCATGACTTCTAACATCAAAAAAATTTCTATGATATACCGTTAAAAAAATTTTAAGTGAATCACTTCTAAAATAGTTCAAATTTTTTATGACAAATAAAATATCATTTACTACCTAATCATGTGAAAAAAATGATACAAAATTTAATGATAGACCATACTAGGATTTTAAACATGAATCAAGCTCTAGTGAAATAAACTTTATCATACAAAATAATGTACACTAGCATAAACAAGATTATATTATTTTTCCCTTATAATATATAATAAAGATATAAATCTAGTGTAACAGGTTATACTATAACCGTTGTAGTATATTTAAAACCTATTCTCATCTCCAAAAATGTTAAACTTCATTCAATGTTATTTAAATTTAATATGTTCAAAAACTTAAGTTATATCTCATGTCATTTACAGATCTACATTAATCAAGGTAGGTTATATGTAATTTTATATTTAAATTTTAATTTATCCTATATAATTAGATTTAATAATATAAAATTAATTATAACTAAAAAAATATTTGAAATAAAAAATAAAGAATTAAGTTTTTATAAATGATGATAAAAACTCTACTTCAAAATTTATACATCATCATTAATTTCTTGGGTAAAAAATTTAAACAAGAAATTTTGAGACACATTGACCAGATTTATTATTATTATTAATCTTCATTCAAATTTTTTAAAATCACCACTCAAATCTCAATCCTAACATTATTGTCTTTTGTCTTGGAATTTATTTCACAAGCTAACAAAAGATATAGTCAAAATTATTTCAAATAAATTTCAATCCTCAATTTGAAATAAAAAAGACTACAATTTTGGTCAGATATGGAATCTAGATTAATAAATTTCACAATTGATTTTTGATTTTTTGAAATTCTTGCAAAAGAATTAAAATGAATCAAAGTACGACTCAACAGAATAGGTTTAAATTTTACTTTTCAATTTTGATAATTCATTTAAAAATGTATATCACTTAAAATATTTAAATTGTAAGTTGGTGCTTAGTTTATATTGTTAGGTTATATAGCTTACGTACTTACAAAATGTAATTGAGTTTGCTAGAATTTCAAATAATATTGAGTTTCAAATTTTAATTTTCAAATTTTTGAATTTGTTGCAAAAAATAAATTTTTGATTATAATTTTTTCATGAATATATATATAAAATAGACATCTTATTTATATTAAAAAAACGCTATTTAATTTTTCTAAAACACGTAGTCGAATACACTACTTAGTCCTAATATGAGAAATATATATAAGAATTAATGAAGGAACCAGATTACTTTGATTCGCACAAATTAGAATTTTTTTTCTTCAAAAATTTTCAAAAAAAAATAAACCATAACTTTAAAGAATGAAATACTTCATATTGCATTTATATAAAATTAAAAATAAATAGAAAAATTAAATATTAAATAATGCAATACTTGGCACAATAAAATACACACCGTTATTATGAAAACAGAATATCATTGTTAAGTCTTAAACTGCATCACATGAAATATGAAAAATAATTATATGTTCAAAATCTTTTGCATGAAAATTATACGGAAATTAAAATAATTTTAAATATGAATTGTATCAAAGAAGATTAAAAAATATTCCTAAAATGTTTTTATTTATAATTTCAAGTCACCTCTACTTTAATACATGATACATAATTTTTCAAATATGTATCATGAGATCTAGTTTTTATCGTTATTTTGATCATTAATGGTTGTATCAAATGTAGTCATTTTTTATAAT